ACACAAAGATAAAATTCATCAGATGTAAATAATTAGTCTCCCATTGATTCTATGGTCAACTGTCCCAACCTTGAGTTGTATAGTTTCCAGGTACAGTTGGGGACAAAAATAAATGACAGGTCGATTTTCGATCACCATTTCCTAATTATGGTGGTCTGAAAGCCCATAATTTCCAATATTGTCTAGATATATATCCCTTAAAATTTGTATATTTTACATTTTGTATAATCTCATCCACTGATGTATGGCCTCTTGTAAATTCTCTTATTTTTAACATGGGAAATCCTCACTTCAGCAAATCCACCTGTCATTTATTTATGTCCCCAACTGTAGTTGGGTTGTACTTGCCCGATGCCAGCTTTTACTAAGGGGGAAGCTTTTGCCAAGGGGGGGGGGGGACATTTTGACAATTTTGCTAAAAAATTGTGCTCAGATTGGTGAAATACTGCTTGATTTTGAAAGAATTCTAGCCAGGAGGGGGGGGGGGAGTTGAGAGCAGACCCGGCTCCTCCTTGGCTATGGGCCTGTAGTAGTTAGGTAAGCACAGGCGTTTTTTAAACAAACCATACAGTTTGTGCATGTATATGCTACAGACATGTGTTATTCAGGTGTTAATTAGGCCATATTCTCTTGTGTGGTAATTATTCATAATTATAATGATTGCAGCCGTTATAAACTCCATAACAATATCAATATTCATACAACTATGTCGTACAGTAATATTCTATTTGGCTCATCATTGTTTTTTTGTCATATATGATTGTAATTTGAGTATTCAATATACAATACAACCTATTTATAATGAACATATATTTTACAACTTAATATCGCAATTTGATCCATGAAGAATATATATTAGATTAGAGGAAATTCACTCCGTGTTTTTACCGACAAGATGAGAGAGTATGAAAAGAGAAAGTTCATTATTATTATTATTATATAATAGGGATCTGTTTCACCAAAGCATACTGCAAGCAAGAGGTTTTACTGTGCTATGTATAAATGGTATCACTCTCGCCATGTAACAAGGTTGAGCTATGTTGTTTTGAAAGATGAAACAGTTTTGGCAAGAACAACAGTTGGTTGGTTCAATGGTGATTATTTTTATCCTTCAAAAAAACTAGGGAAAGAGCCAAAACTAGTTGTTGTTTGTAAAAACAGGTATTATACCTAGTAGAGTCTTATGTTTTTAAAATTGAAACTGAAAATGTGAGAATACATCTTCATTGTTTCTGTTTATGTTTTTATAAGTTATTTTTATCACAAAGCAATAATTTTCAATAAAAGTACAATATATATGTTATACTCCATCAGTCTGCATTAGTTGAGCTTTGTTAGAGTGTTATAAATTAACAAATCTTCTCAAACACAAACATGTTCTGTTAAAAACTCTTCTTCTGCCTTATTCAACCACAGTTCTTTGTGCATTAACAAGTCATATTTTATACAAATGTGCTTTCTATAAAAGAAGTGTACATATTCCATACAAGCTCACGATAAAGACGTCATAGGACTAAGATATCTGAGATTCGCCCCTTGGTGTAAATAAACCCTGTTTACACAGTTGGTTCATAGAGGGTCTGAAAACTAAAAAATAAAGTTCTGATTATTTGATATATATATAATTGAAGTTTATGTTTAAGGACATGTTAGTACGTTTAGCATTTAATATGAATTTAAATATAGATTTTGTAAAAGCCACAAGTAATACCTGGGAACAATACTATAAAATGCGAGTTGAAACCACAAAGTACACAATTCACCTGAAAACTTTTGTCCTTGAAACATGTGTGAGTGCATTGAATATTTATTAGCCTAAAGCCCTGAATGCCAACATGCATGGGATGATATTAGCTTGTTTTAAGACTCTGTGACCCAACCAGATCTAACACAAATATATGGTCTAAGCAACTTTCATTCCTTGAATGGTCAACATTTCAATAAATCAAGCAACATTTTCAATGGGACAAGTAGCATATTTCATGAGTCGAGCAACATATTCAATGAGACAAGCAACATATTCAATAAGACAAGCAACATATTTCATAAGTCAAGCAACATATTCAATGAGACAAGCAACATATTCAATGAGACAAGCAACATATTCAATGAGACAGGCAACATATTCAATGAGACAAGCAACATATTAGTCTATATTTCATAAGTCGAGCAACACATTCAATGAAATATATGAAAGTCATTGAATGAGGCAATCAGCATATATTAAGTAGTAGGATTCCCATCTTGATTTGAACAGGAAAACAACTTGAAACAAAATGGTCGATTTATTGCGAATGAAATGAAAATGAATACGGTCACTGTGATCCGATCATTTAGTCCCGGAGAACTTCATTGTAATATTCCAAGGTTGTGATAACATTTCAGGAAGTACATCCATCTTGCCTATATCGGTTAATTAACTGTTTGTACCTCTGGCTTACAGTAAGGATGCATTTCAGTGTTGAAATAGAAGAGAAAATATATTTCCTTTTCTATCAATGACTCTTTATCTAAAAGTACACATTTTGTGCTACCTTTCTGTAATGATCATTCTTAACATATATGATGGAATATTTCAAAAATGCACGTTCTTGAGTCATAAGTTTTTCCCAGATTTTGTCCTAATTTTTTGTTATAAAATATAACTTTTTTCTCAAGTTAGAAAGATTAACCGTGTTAATGGCCGTTCCTTATATAGCTAGCCGATTGGGATTTGGAATATTAAGCTAATATGCTGAAAGGAGGAATGCTGAATGCTTTAAGGATGTATTACTAGGTATTTTATTAGCATCAACTTCAGCATTGTTTCTGTCATTCATTACTGGTACTTGATTGTTCAGAGTGTAGAAATCTCATATTGATTTCCCTTAACATTTGGCCTTTCCATTATATTGCATTATACTACTGTGCGATCACAAAACATTTGCGCAATATATATCTAACAGTATTCTCATTGTATGTTATGTTTAGATGAAACTGGGGGTTGAATTGCAAAAATGAGAAAGGGTTCAGTAAAACCTGTATAATCAGAACACTTCGGGGACTTGCCAAAATTGTTCAGATTGGCAGATCTCATTTCAAGGAGTTATAACATGGTAAGCAATGGCAGATTAAAACTAATAAACAAAAGGTGACAATCAAAAGATCACATTGAGAGGTCATTCTGATACTCACAGCATCTTTCTGTTTCACCTGAAACATGCATCATCTCAGGGTTGAGAAGATTTGAGATGTCATGGTTTATCATGATGTTGAGAGATGTATAGATTAGTGAAGTGTTCGGATATGCAGCTTTTACTGTATGTTATTGAACTTTCTGTTTGGTTTTCACATATATCGTGACTTGTACAGATGTTTTAATTGGGATAGCATGAATGGCAAGTTGCATTTAGAAAAGTGGTTGACATATTGATTCAATTTAGAAACCTTTACATGATTGCTTTCAATTTGTGATTGCTATTCATTAAGGTTATAGAGAAGAAAGAGATATTGTCTACCATTTGACATCTTTTAGCCGAGTTCATTTCAATTTGAATTGAATATAAGTGCAAGTATCGGAATTTAGAGTGAAGATGAAGCTCTCTTTTAAGTAGAATCACATTATCGGAAGGGGTACCAAAACATTGATATAAAATGACGTCTAAAGCTCTGTATGGATGCTGTTGTTGCAATATAGGCTTGGTCATCAAAACTACCTTAGAGTAGTATATGTGGGGGAGAAGATTACTAAGTAACAACTTTGGTTCTCGGAATTGATGTTTGATATCTGGAAATGATATTGGATTCATAGTTGTCTGGGTTGTTAGGTTAATCTGATCGCATTATTCAACGGGCGTCTGGTTCAAACTGCATCTCCGCTTCATCTCGCCACATAAAACATATAACAGGATGGTAGAATATTGCAGCTAAAGGTCTCAATTATCATAACAATTATCATTCATTGGAACTGGTCACGCATTAGACTTGTAACAAGCCCTTGTGCAGCTCCACAGTCTTTCTAGCATAGGGTTAGACGTTGATGTAGGGGAAGGGGGTGACCAGGGATTTGATACAAGACTACATCCTATTATTGATGTATCAAAAAGACAGGCGTAAATGTTGCCCTGGCATATAAATATATTCTATATTATGTCAGCTCGGTAAAAGAACTATAAAAATTAGACATTCATTAAACTAAACATACATAAAGAAAATGAGATATTTTACCATTTATCGACTGGTTTAGTACAAAAAGCGTGAAATTTTGAATTACATATACAATGAATAATCTATTTATTAACCCTGGCTTGTTTCATTATTTGTAATGAATCTTTGGGTTATCAGCTTATGCACACTCCTAGAATATGCATCAGAAAATTATTATAGTCTCCAAATTTTTTTGTGGATGCCATTTGGCGGCTGGCATTTGGCAGCTGTAACAAATGGCAAGTGGTGCCATTTTTGTTAATGCCTTGTTAGGACCATGCATTAGTCTGATAGATTCTAAATTGATTCATGATATCACCTTAATGTATCTGAACATTGATGTTATGTTTTTCTCTTCCTTCATTTGATAAATCATTAGAGAATGATGAAAGTTAATGAAATATTTTAGTATTGCTTGATGACAAATAAAGTGCATAAATAAACTAAACATAGAATGAACCCGGATGTAGCTCATTTGGCAGTATGTTCAGGTTTATGTAGGTAATGTTGATGGCATCGTGAAAACAATAATGGACATCATGTTACTATATTTATTGTTGTGTCATTTGTATAATGTACCTTCATGTATAATGCCATAGATATGACTATTTGAATGATGTCATATATAGAATATATATGATGTCATGTATACAATGCCGTATGTATTATATCATTTGCTTATATTTCATAATTTAGGTTTATCCCCTGGGAGGAGATTGAACCTTCATTCACCGACATTCAGTAAAGTTTTATTTGAACATGTTATCCTTACATTTATTAACACCTAACAACAGTCCCTAATTATGTATTTTCAGATGATATACATAGGGCGTACAGAAAAAAAGCTTTGCAATATCACCCTGATAGATCTCTTAAAGAAAAGGTGAGTAACTTCTCTCAAATGCAATTCTTTTTAAGAATTCTACCAACTTTAGATGCCAGTATAGTTTGATAAACAAAAACTGTACCTGAAGAACAATTAATAATATTGTACAATAATAACAACAACATTATACGACAATTATCATCATTTTACAACATTGTACAACAGTAACAACATTATATAACAATAACAATATTGTACAACAATAACAACACTGTATAACAATAACAACACTGTATAACAATAAACAACATTGTATAACAATTAACAACATTGTACTACAATAACAACACTGTATAACAATAAACAACATTGTACAACAATTAACAACATTGCACTACAATAACAACACTGTATATCAATAAACAACAATTAACAACATTATACAACAATAACAACATTGTACACCAATAACAACATTGTACAACAATGAACAACATTGTACTACAATGAACAACAATATATGTAACCCAGTAGGTATCTCTCCAATGTTAATCATAACACAGGAGCCTATTTTTGAAAACATGAATTAAGCTTTCTCAAATTCAATTGCTTTAAGTAACGGCCCCAAAATATGATTTGGTAGATCATATGAAAAAATTTATATGCAAGACTAGCACTATAACAGCACACTTTAGTTGAACTGATGGGTAAATGTAACTGAGTTAAAGGTTTTCAAGTTTCATTTTTCTTCTTGAGGTGATTATTGTATATGGTTACCATTACCATGATAATGTCTTGTAATAAGGAGATTCAATGCGCATCAGGATGGGTAGCTGTTTAATCTAACATAATTTACACATACATTTATTATTGATGTAAAAACAAGTCTATATACAATATTCTTGAGATATGAATCAATCGGTCTATGCATATTTTCACCTTGCAGTTTTATTTTCAGTTTATCTGACAATTCTAACCAAATCTAAATGTGTTATAGCAATTCCCGCTGAAAAAGTTACAATTTGATGTGCCATATATGAAAGAGCCAAGCAATCTATTACTTAAGTTCAGTACTAAGAAATACATTGACTTTCATCAATCTCTCTGTTCAAATAGGCTACCATTATGTTGATAACTCTCTTTATTATACTTTATTGTCTTGGTACAAAAAATTATTGCAAACCTTTTGCGCAAACCTTTTGCAACATAATATAAGATGAAATTGATCTTGCACATCAATCTCCCATACCTTATTTTTTCCTTCCTAATCCCTGACCCTCATTCCCTATTATGCTTCCCATTCCTATGCTATTATGCTACCCATTCCTATGCTATTATGCTACCCATTTCTATGCTCCTATGCTATTATGCTACCCATTCCTATGCTATTATGCTGCCCATTCCTATGCTATTATGCTGCCCATTCCTATGCTCCCCATTCTCTCAGTAACACACTGAGGAAACAGATGGCTAAGAGGTGACTTGATGGAGAAATCAAGTCATAAACAAATCAAACCATATTTGCAGAATTTTACAATTTCCGAGGGCAGGTTCAGTCTTATTCCAAAGCAAATTGGAGGTATTGGCAACTTACTACTTAAACATAGAGTATAATATATATGAACTTATTTGCCTTAAATTCATGAAATAAATACAGTACTCTACTCAACAATACATATATTGTATTCGATGGAATAATGCCATATTTAGACAATATAACCCCTGTTCAAATGTTTCTCTGATCAAATGCAAATCAAGACTTTTATGTCTAAAAATCTGATAAATCCAAATCTATTTTCTATTCTAAATCATTTTGAGAATTTTTCTCATGACCTTGTTTTATTTTATTCCATATTAGTTTTCTCCATTTTGGTGCTATGTCATTTCATTAAAATGAGTATTATGAAATATATCCCAGAGTACGTGATGTTGACAATTTTTGTTTCTTAAACCAAGAAAGAAATAAGATTTACTTCTGCCATTTCACTTTGAACGGTATAATATAATTATTTTAGCAAAGGATTTAAAGATTAGCGGTTTCTGTTCAAACATGATTTGTATTAACTATCAATCCAAGGTTTTTCATTTCATTTAGTTAGACCTTGCTGAAGTATTGCTTAATTCTTTAATACTACATCTATATTGTGTCTATCCTTGTATCGAATTAGTAATTGAATAGTAAATGGTTTTGCAATTTATTCTATAGTATTGCAGGATGGCCTCTGTCTGATATATATATATATATCGTATACTGTACAAGTACGTATGTAAATTCGAGTTCTAGGATTGGTATTGTATAACCTTGACTTGATTCAGGTCCATTTCTATTACAAAACTCCATAACATTGAATCATAAAGTTCCCAGTTTATCACTCTATGCATGATCCTGTTTGCTGATGAGTAGTTTATTATCAGTGATCTCCCCAGCATTAAAACAAGTAGGCGTAGCACCCACCTGAGATTTTGAAAATAGGTTGACACCCACCTGAAAATCTATTTGCACCGACTTGAAAAGCTTAAACTCTTTATTATGTCACCACCAAAAAGTGGTGACTTATTGTTATGGTCTTTTTTGTGACTGTGGTTGGCCATCAGTGGTTGGCGATGGTCATTTGGCGATTGGTGGTTGGTAGTTGGCATCTAACAAAAGGTGGTGATTGGTTCTTTGCGTGTGTCCTACTTCCAGTGGGAGATTCAAACATTTAAAAACAACCTTGAAGGCTAGACTCCACATTATCCCGATAAAATACATTACGTATATAATGTTTATATATTGATCACCAAAATACACACAGATATAATTGAAGACATAAACAGTAAGCACAAGCTAGTTTTAAAAATATCACACATTCAGTTTCAAAAATGATTTTTCGCTTCACATAGAATGCTCATTCAATCTGTACCAAGTGTTAATATGCACTGCTTCAGTCTGCATCGTTGATCGAGTAATATGAAGTATGACTCAGAATCACATTCCAGCACTTAATCAAACCAACAACTTGACTTTATAATATTGAAAATGTAGTTTTGCATAAATAAGTCAACCACCCCCTATATACTGATAGTATATAGTCCTGGTTTAGGTGAAGTTTGAAGGAGGTCACGAGGGCTCGATGCAAGACTAGAAAACCTGGTTTTAAAGCGAAGTCTCTCAAAGAAGTAGCAACTATCCTCTGAAGGATCATGAATGCGACAACTACAGTAAAACGAATAAATCAGAGCACCTCTCTAATCTGAACACCTCTCAATGTGAACATTTTATGGGTCCTAATTTTGTTATCTTCCATTTGATTTTGTGAGAAGGAATCTTTAAATGTGAACACCACACCTACTCATCTGAACACTTTTGACTGGTTCCAATTTTGTTTTGATGAGACGGGTTTTACTGTAATCTGAATATTGTACTTTGTATTCTTTTTGAATTTTAACATTTTACTTGTCTGTAATATTAACTGTACATGTATACTGTATATTTTGAGGACACTTACACATGACACAGAAGTAGAAATTATCTAGAGTGGCATATGATTGATGGATTTTTTCTAACATCGATAGAAGCTCATTAGTATATCATCTTATCCTCTTAGTGATTATTCATTTATTGGGCCCCTGACTTGAATATATATGTAGGCTCTTCCTAGCGATGGAGTAATTTGTGGGTCAGAATTGATAGAATGAAAAATGAAAGAATTTATAAATCATGTATTAAGTCAAATGTGAACATATACAATTACTCTAGATAAGATTAAGAGTCTATTATGTACAGTGTATTCAACTTTGCCATAACCCTGTCTTATACCTTAATTTCAGGCACTAAAACTTAAAATCATAAAGCTTATTTATTTATTTAAAGATGGATTGTTACTCATTATTTGAAATTGTTGAGTTTTTGTTGGAATGCAGTGCCAATTTTCAGATAAAGGAGCACTTTTTTGGACACATCTCAGAACACTGTTCTCATTTTAAGGAGTTTATTTGTGTTTTGAAAAAATAAAAATTTCACGATTTCTATATTAGTTTAATGCACAGTTCCAGGGAATCCAGGGATCCCATTTCATGTTTTTATGTCATCTTTTTTTCTGTTCAGATATGGTAGTTTGGAATCTGTAACAAATGGCATGTGGTGACATTTTGCATGTTATAATGCATTGTTTTGTATTTTTCAGGGAGATTCCTCTGATGCCAAATTTACAGAGATCACTGCTGCGTATAAATCTATTATAGCTGGTAAGTACCTGTTATTCCTTAACTACACTAGATGTATGAGGGGTGGGGGTAAGGCAGAGATGTGTCTTGTTCCTATATTGCACCCTGTCTCAAAAACAGTGGGTGGAAGAGAGACTCTTCAACACAGGACTGGTTGAACCAGTTACTTTCATTTAGACTTAAATCAAATATAGTGGGTGTGTTAATTCATACAATATCAGTTCAAACTTTGTCCTTGCAATAGATATGGCGATAATAGAAATGTTTTTAATGAACATTAAGCTTAAATATACAGTGGTATAGTTCATAAAATGATAAATGTATCATGCTAAGAATACCATTATGTTTACCAACCTTTTATTGTTTTAAAGTGATTGTAGCATCACCTTTGACGAGATTGTTATCTCCCAAATTATCCACAATATCTTTTGAAATGATGAGATTCAAATTGCAAAAAGTAATAAAATTATTCTGATAAAACTGATCTGGGTATCAACATTTATAGAAATATGAACTCATATATGTAAAATTCTTGAGTCTTCCTAGAAATTTTGGGGATTTTTTGAGAAAATATATGACAAGGAATTATATGAGCCCAAAAATATGTAAAATTGAAACCTTTTTCTATTCTATTGAACATACTCTAGATCTGATTGTCCCTTTAACTCCCATTTAATAATTGAATGAACTGACTGATCCGCAAGTTTTAATGCTTAAATCCACTTTTATAAGAACAGAAAAACTGTAATGAGATTTCTAATAACCAACAAAAACATTTTGATTTAAATTCCAAACTTATAATAGACTACATGTATTTTGTGTTTTTGGAAGCAGACTATTTTGTATTTTTGGAAGCAGACCATTTTGTTTTTTGGAAGCATATGTAACCTTCGTATATTTTCAACCTCTCGCACATAAATATGTATTCCTTCTTTATTTATAAGGGATTAAGCTTCTATTTTTACCCAAATCTTTTGTAAATACTAGTCTGATCTGGTTATTCCCCATGTATTTACTTACAGTGAAACCTGTGTATATTGGAACCCTTCTCAAGAGATTGATGTTATCAATACTCTTCAAATTTTAGATAATTATTATTAATTCGATCTATTATATATCCAATCAGAAAATCATCACTTTATGTACCACTTAAGTAATATAAGTAATAAAAAGCATTCATTTCACATTCAAAGTTCTATTTAAGGCCGTAAAGAGTGTTATCATATTGGTACCACAACTGAAATCATCTGTTTTTTAAGAGTGAGGTATTATGGCTAGCTTATATAAATTCAGGGTCACACATTGAATGCCTTTTGTACCATTGAAGTATTCACTAAACTTAGAGAATCCATTAAAAATGTAACATCAATACAGTCAATTGAAAAACATTTTTTGATGTTATTGGAATAAGTTGTGTAAAGATATTTTCATATTAAATGACACAAACATGTGTCAAAAAGAAAACATGCTATCGTTTTTTTGATGTTATATCAGATGAATGTTTTATATACAACATGTTAAACTTAATCAAAGTATGCTTCTTTATCAGGACTTTCGTATTTTCAATCGGGTACAAGTAGGTTATTTGTAGATAACAGCCAAGGGATTCCTTAGTATATAAATATGATTCTGTTCCGATGGTTAGATCACACACAGCAATCTTGCAGTATACTAAATGTTCCTTGTTTTTTATGATGCAGATACTGTATAATTTTATTACACAGTTGAATTTGGATTTATGAGGGGGTATCATTAATTAGTGAGAAAATTCTAGTCTGAGATTGAGAGGATGAGTTATTTCATGACACTTATTTTATATGTTTATAAGGGTGAGGGGATTGATCACATTTTCTGTAAGGAGATCAAACTTAACATAATTGAGTTTTTTTCTTTGAAAAGCAATGAGAAATTAGTCTTTCTCAAAGACTGTATCCACCCCCCCCCCCCCGTCACCTTCACTCTCTTTACCTGGCAATATATATATATAGAGAGAAGGATAAAGGGGGGGGGGTACAGGGTCTTTTAAGCAAGACTAATGAAAAATATACAAATATAAAACCCCATAGTCATATTTATGAAATTTATATCTCTACCTACCCATCATCATCTCATCACTACCCTGAACACCATACACCAGAGCTTAGTTAATTAGATGTTTATTGGGAAGGGTAATTCATTGGATATTCTCTACATCAGAGCTTAGTTAATTAGATCTTTATTGGGAAGGGTACTCCATTGGATATTTTCATTTTTGATGTCTAATGGTTTTCTTATCTTCACAAATAAAACATTCTTCCAGACGCAGACAAGATGTACTTCCGCGTAATGTTTCAGGGTTTCTAGGAAGTAGTATTTCCCGGATATGATTTTGTGTTGATTGCTGTGTTCAGCCACAAATGTTTTTTTGTATCTAACTTAAATTATTTGCTAATTGTTTTTGGCTATAGTGTTTTCTTTCTTAGGCTTATGACGAGTCTACTTATTAAGTATTTCATCCAAAGTTCCTTTGCTTTCATTTATCTACATTTGACTTTTGGCATTTCCAACACATTTCGCTGATACTGTTTGTTTCTTGATTTGCTTTTCTGGCAGTAGCAATCTGAGGAGGAGGTAAATCGATCCCATGATGCACTTTGGTAAAGATGTACTGGATTATTTGAAGATTAAGTTGATGTTCTAAGAGATCTTCTACATTGATTTTCTTATAAGACATTGTGCAGATAAATCTCTTGATTCTTCACTATATCCTTTTATTATGAAGAGTACTTAACAAATTCTGAATCTTAACACCTAAATGAGAGGAACTAAATATATGTTATATAATTTGTTTTTACCTTTACCTTTACATGTGTTAGTTAATTATATTTTGAACAAATGTTAATTTATGAAAGACAAATCAACAACATCCTATTTCTTACATTCAATAGAATTCTATATTTATGCTTTGAAACACAAGCTTTGAAAATGATTATCCAGGGACCAAGTAATATCTTAGTCTATTTTTCATTGGAGAAATCATTTTGTTGGAGTTTGTTATTTTCTTAGTACTAAATGGAACATTGCATGAAACATAATGAACATAAGAAAACTCATTCTGTTAAAAAAATATGAAGTGATAATATCTCCATGGTTACATCAACAGAGTAAGGCATTTATTAGCTTAGAATATTTCTTGAAGGTTAAAATCTTATTTTGCCAAATAAATCTCATTGTTTCTCACTCAGATCAGTCACCTTTATACAATTAAATATAAATTGAATTTGAACCAAGCGATGGCATGATAGTCAGCCATGATCACATCACGTTCAAGGGTAATAACATAAGACGTGTAATTAATTTTCATATCCTGTAGTCTTTTTCAAGAATGTATCACAACATGTAGGTTATTTAACAAAGACCTGGATATCACTATGGAGACGAGACAATTCCTGTTTTGTTGTCCTCCTTTCCAGGTTAAAATATAATTCTGTACATGATTTATACAAGATAGATAGGAAAAGGTCAAAGTATTATATTTTAATAATCCCAATTCAGGATATTCAATCAAAAGTCAAACGTGAATAATGTTGCCATTTGCAATCGTTTGACTTAGCTTCTTAAAAGATAGCTTCGTCTATATTATTTCAGTATAAGAGAAAGTCTGAATTTGCTAGACCAAAAAAATGACAGTGTGATAGGTTTGAATTGATTTTTGACCCAGGTATGTTGGCCATTAACAGTAAGGTGTGGAGCTGCTAAACAGCAAAATTATCTAAACCAATTAGAGGTTGGATAAAAACTCAACTCTGCGCCCAGAGCATAAGCATGTCCTTTAATATGTCTGGCTTTTTTCTCAACTTTTGAACTTAATATAATAATACATATTTTTCAAGATTCCCTACGGAGCTTCCTTTCTCCAGTTTTACTTAATGAAGAGTGTCTTGTCTCGTCTCTTGTCATTCATGGCCACTCTTTTCTACAGACATTAACACTCGGGCAGGAAACATTGACTTCTAATTGAGAACCAACTTTTCTCAGGCATACCATTCATAAATAGACACTAGGACCTGTCTAAATGCGTGGAGTTGTGAAAATGTTTGGGAAGTTTACTCCCTGACAGGTTTTACTCTTAGACTGACAGTGTTTGACATGACATAACATATTATAAAATTTGAATTTTATTTGTGTTCTTTCAGATGATATAGATGATAGTTTGGACAATGAACAGGTAAGACTACATATATCTATGACAGATCTAAATAATAAATAGAACTATTTGAGCAAGGATATTCTACAACAATTGAAAGACTTTGTAATATAACGAAATGGCATTCTGTAATAAGAAGTTGGAAATCTAAAAATTTATAAAAAATTTGGGAGCTTGGAAACATAAAAAATAATTGATTTTTGAATAAAAAGATTTATAAAAAAATGTGGGAGCTTATAAACATTCCAATATATCATGAATATCAAATTTTACAAATAAGTAGATACTCAGCAAGTTACAGTGTATATGAGTAATTTAAATTCAAAAATAACCGTTGAACCTAAGACCAGTCACTCTGTTGAACCTGTCTGGTCCATCATCACTTGCTGCATATACCAAGGGTGTTCTATTGATTCGTACTCTTGATACAAGTGCTTAAAGAGACAATCTGAGATTGAATCTTCTTTAATTTGTTTTAATCTTAGCAACTTTATGATCTATGATCTTTTTAGGCCTTGATTGGTGATATGCTATCATTATTTATAGTTTATAATCAGATTCAGTATAAGTTATTGATATAAAGTCTTCTATGTTTTGTGGTATTTGTTAAGTTTAAGAACAATAAGCTTTAGTAAATGGGCTATGTATATCGATTCACAGAGATTTAATTAAAGGTGCGCTTTTTCATTTGCTTTTAGTTGCCTGTAAATGACAAGAGACCTAATGTAATTTTAAAGATGAAGATAAAAATGGAAACATTAACCTATTAACCCTTTCATGAGTTCATTTAAAGTGAAAATGATACCAAAGAATCATGTTGATTGTTACATGGAAAAAGTAGCACACTTAGCAACACTTATGTATTACCACAAAACATTTGATTAAAAGAATTATAATTACTTGTTTTAATTAACAATGATCATAATGACAGAAAGATAGAAAGGGTATATAAACAACACAGGGTAACCATAAAATATCTTTATACTTAACACAGATTTTGTTTTAGTATTGTTAAGAGATTTTTTTGTCACCCCGTAAAATAAGCATCTAGGTGAGTTGTTTAATCCCCATAACTGCAATTATTTTTACAAGAAAATTCAAACCATGATACATCCTGCCAAATTCTGAACTTTGTTGGCAGTATTCTTTTTTATATGTAGATTGTTATCGCTGTTATGTTTGTATTTCATTCCGGGTATATAAAAATAATGATCTGTATGCTCATCTCATACTGACGCCTCGGTTAGCTAAGTTACACCATCATGTAATTATCAGGTCTCGGCCTGAAGCCCCAGTCACATTTACTATATGGTGGCCGTAACTTCACAAAATTAATATAGAGAATCTATCTCGTATTGCTTATCCCTTTGTGACATGCTGCATATTTCTATTCATTTTGGGAAGCTAACGACTGAGGCTTAAATCTTTGAATCATCTTAGTGTCTGCCATTACTCTGTTTATGCTCTTACATCATTGAGATGTCACTCATGTATGATATGACATCCCTATACATCTAAATGTCAACTATATATGACCTGACATATATCAGCCATGCCTCATAATCTCCTGATTTTGCAACCTGAGTAGTCATCTTTCCCAGTTAAGTTATTCATGTAAGGAGGGGTTCTCATTCACAATTAGACGATTGTTTATATACCATAACATTTCATAATCTATGTAATAAGTGAAAGCTGAAAGTGAAAATTATGAAACTTCAGAAATATGAAATTACATAAAAAGTGAAAGTACAATTAAGATTGATGCAAAGGAAGTAAAATTAATTTTGATTTTCATCATTTAATATTCAAAATAAAGTCAAAGTGGTATCATAATTGACTTTACAACTGGAATAACATTTAGAAATAAAGTTTGAAATATTGTTTGATTAACTTAGAAATTTTTATTTTTCCTTTTCTATTTCTACCATGTTATCTGACCCCAATTAGCTACCTGTCGGTGAAACTAGTAACTATACCATAGCATCTTAGCAATTGAGGAATTATATATATTTTAAGCCATAATCTTATAAATAGGAGAGGGCAATGATTAAGTTATTAAGATGAAACTTAATTGTATATAAATGTAGATCTTTTTGTAGCATGGAATACTCTGTGACATCAATGCTGTTTGATAATAGTTAATTTTGTGTTTTTTGTGTTTTTCAGATATTCTTTAACTTATTCCAAGATGTCCTTCTATCTAATAAAAGAGGTGAGTCAAAAAATTAATATTTGAAATCTATTATATCTTGATCCTTCAGGCTTTGAGTTAGATCCATGATCAAGCAATGTTTTACAGAAATGCATTATTTCAGTTCCAGGCTTTATTTTGAAATTGTTGATCTTATGATTTGGCTAAAATCTGTCTCCCACTTGTTCCCAAATTCAGATCTGAGAACATCTAAAAGATTATAATACTGTGATAAATATTGGTGGTAAGAATGAAGGAAGTGTACTTTAGTGTTATTTCTGTCAGAGTAAAATATGCTCTATCATGAAAGTGTTTGTTCAGGCAGTAGCTCTTATATCGTTATATGGTAAGGTATCACCTAATTCCAATCTGCCGTCTTAAGTCAGTTTGACTTTATATTTGAGAGTGGGAGGGTAATTTAGATTGCCTGGATCAATATTTTGTCATGTTTGTTCCTATCCTCGAATGAGTTGAACCAACAAAAAATAAATCTCTCTTTCTCAATTTGAATCTGCTTAAGAAGCAAGTAGCTTGGACAACATAAGGATTGAGCCAGTTAGTTTTCACCTAGGCAAGGTGACAAACTTGTATACAAAACACATGTTAAATGATTTTTTCCTTGTATATTGACCCATGCTGGAGATATGAGGAGTCAGTAAAAGAAATGTATATTATAACAAGTCCATCCTCTCATTTAAAATTGACCAAATGTCTCGAATGATCATGGTAGTCTCCGATAGAAGCAAATGTGTTGCTGTTCCATTCTGAATAATAATTAGTGAAGCTCTAAGAATATAAGAATAATCCATTCTGCCGCAGCCTAATGTTTTGAATGAAAATCCTGAATATTTATGTATTTGTAGTACAGTAAAGTGGAACATAGTATAAATGTAACACCCCCATAAGTAGAACACTTTTCACGGTCCAGTTATGCCTCAGTCAAATTTGATTCATGGCAACCATACAGCGGATGTAGCTTCCCAAAATTATGAGAATATATGTAGCTTAGAATATCGGGACAAGCAGTATGATGTAGATTGTCTAAATCAATTTTGTGAAGCTAAGGCTGTCGTAGAGCAAATGTTACTGAGGCTTAAACCATTAACTAATAATATCCTAGATGCGAGTAGAAATAATCTTGATTTACGTCATTATTCAAAATTCAGTCAAACTAATCTCATATTTGGAATCTACATGTAAATGTACATCTAGGAATATGGTTTTGAAAAGAGTTTATCAACTTTGAAAATTTAATTTTCTTTGAAAATGTGACTTCTAGGTCGGGGAGATTCCCCATAGACCCCATGTTGTAAAATCACAAAAATGGAAATATCTTTTCCTGTGTTGGGCAGATAATATTTTCTTTTACTGGATTTATTTCAATTTGTATAACTATCAGATACATAGGGGTAATGTGAAAAGTGAACCACTAAAACTGATGAATATTCAAGTTTAAAGGAATTTTGTAATACCCTGCCATGTAATTTCCCCCGAATCAGCCACCTGGTGGCGAAACTGGTAACTACCTACTCGCATCTGAGTAATTTAAGATGGTCTCTTTCAGTGAAGCTCTTACCAAGTAGAACATAATTTTGAGACACTTCTGAGGCATGTTCCTATACTGAAAATTGAAATGTAGAAATATAAATTGTGTTCCCTTTCTTTCAGAATTGGGTGTTTATACATTCTTCTCAAGTATTACATTAGGTAAGACTTTTTATGATTTATGTAATAATATGAGAATAAAAATTTTGGTAAAATATCATTATTCTGGCTATAATGGTTTAGAAAATTGGTTGCTATAGAAACATGGACATGCTAACAAAAAATTAAATAAATATCAGATAATGAGCAGTCGTGTTAATGCTTACATTTGACAGTATTCATTTGTCTGGTTTGTCAAACTTTGGAAGTAATTTTACAAAAAAGATCCGTGATTGAAATTGGTTGCCTTATCAAACATCATGTCTAAGGTTCTTTCAAATCCTGCATTACCAGATGGATGCTTTCATGCGCAGTTAATATGATACATCAAACATATTATTAATGTTGATGACTTAAGCTAGCTTCGAAGAAAATTATGTGTTAATGACTATGTATTGTTATGTTGTATAGTTGAGAACTCTTTAAGTAAAATATCATATTGATCAATAGCTTAAAATACAAGATCACAATTCTTGATAGAAAAGTAAAGAACTGGATAGGGTAATAATAGATATTTGATCGTTACATTCTAAATTCAATAGTTATTATCCAGAAATGCGACAGATCGGAGAATTCATTCACATATTAAAGGAAATGGTAATGCAATATACCTGAACTTAAGGTGAACTGTTATTATGTTGATTATTACTATAGTTATAGAGGTGTTGCACTGTCATTAATGCTTAACTTAAGATACATTATGTGGTATATGAAGCTCAACCAGTTGACAAATAGACTGCCATGATTCGAGACAATATTGATTTTCTTCTTAATATATATGGAATATAGAAAAAACTGTTTTTGATTATTACATATTTTTGTTTATGAACTAAAATATGAATAAAAATGGGGAGTGCATTTCACGCAGGTAAAAAATTTTTTAAATGTAAGCATTTTTTCTATTATTCTTATGGCATTTGGGAATAGATAGATAGAGTAGACAGAATCGTAATTTGAAAGGCCTGCTCGTGACATGACTACATATTATGAGATACGTGAAGTCTCAAATTGCTTGTTTTGTAGACATAGACGTAGACACTACTTTGTCCTTTGTTTAGCGCATTGTTGAAATCCATATTTCATTTTTCTGCTTTTTATTATGTTTATAATTATATTTTCTTTGTTATTTCCAGGTGCTACCCCCAATGCGGATGACATGTACATTGAAGATGTTGAACAATCATCAGAGTTTGATAAATTTGTAGAAATCATTAATAACAGTCGCAATAAGGGAAAACCAGTTCCAGACGAGTTTACCAATGATAAGGTGAGTAGGTCCTCCATCTGTCGATGATGTAAAAGAAATTATGATCCCCAGTGTTTATAGTCCCCTTTCTTTATGACGTTACTGTTTTATCATGCATGAACATATAGAAATTCATAGAGAAAATAACAAGGAATTTTATGCAAATTTATGAAAATTCCAGCAGTAGTTGAACTCACAACTTTTTGATTAAGATTCCATGTCAGTGAACTTTATTACTTGTCAATTCTCATATCGAGCCTAAGTGGAGAAGTATCATCACAGGAAGTCGAGTCTTCTCAGGGATTTTATAATTAGTCCATATAGTCTTGTATATACAGTATCATGCTTGAAGTTATGTCTGTGATTGAGAGTATTGTTTTAAGTCATGTAATAACAGGCTTTATCATTTTCCATTGAAGTGTTTTTCATAAAGAGATCGGGTCATTATAACCTCCATATTCATTAACTTAGTTTATTGCACACTTTATAGCCCTTCATATTGTGACAATTTTGTGGTTAATATTCTCACTTTCACAGGATGGAAAATGAAATTAGGAAGAAATACATTAAACAAACATAAGTATAAGCCAAGTATGCATTTTATATATATATGTGACATTACTGTATATAGAAATGAAGAAAAACAAAACACTGGAAAAAACAGCGCAAATAAATAATATTTTTGGAAGGATTGCCGATTGGGATTGTATCTAAATAAATTGAATTTGCTCAGAAACGTAAATGTATATGTAGTATTGAATATGATTAAATTTTTCTTGTACCCTTTTCCCAGAATATAATATTATTTACAAGTGATGCTGTAAACTTTATTCATATCTAGATTCATATATATTTGATATCTTGATGAAGATATCTTGAGGTTTCTGAGAAGTATAAGGAAATTGTTTCTTATAAGAATACAAAACAACTTTTTCACATGTTATTTATTTTCTTTCCAGTTGGATATTTTAAGAGAACAATTTAACGAAGAAAGAGAAATATATAAAGCTGATTTAGAGGAAAGAGACTCTAGTAGCAAATCAAAGCCTTCTACTCAGGTGCAGGTTTTAAAACCTAAACCCAAGTCGAAGAAACAAAAAGCCGCCGAACAAAAGAGGCGGGAGCGGGAAATGGAAAAGATTGCTGACGAACTTGCCGAGAAACAAAAACTTGAGGAAGTTCGTGCAGAGAAGAAGAAGAAAGTAAGTTCAGAGCACCCACGGACCAATATTATGTGACATTGGTTGGATATTTAACAGGGGTGGGAATTGTAGGAATGAGTATATTGTTGGTGACATACAACAAAATGACAGAGAAGTAGTATGGGCTCTCATTGTATTTTAAATTGGTTATTCAAATATAATTGTTCTAATTTGGAATGGCATAAAGATTTCATTGGGCACATCACAACATGAGTTGAGTAATTGTAAATCATAATTAAGTGACTTTTTAAATTGCCAAATTAAAGTCAAGTTGCAGTATTTAAATTTTTGATTTTCTCCAGGCAGAAATTGAAAAACAAAAACGCAACGAAGAAGAAAGGATAAAACAATTAGCTGAAGACAAGAAACAAAAAGAAAGGTACATAAAAGTTTTCTATCAATTTAGCTGAAACTGAGTAGGTGCCTTAGTTGACAGGTTAAGATAATGTTTAGAAGATGAGGTGAAATATCTCTCAGAACTTCAAATTGCTGAATTCCCTAAACTCAGGCATATGCATTTAAAAATCCTCACTTAGTGTTAAAAAACACATTTTGGCCAAGAAGCTAGAAGTTTTATGGAGAATTTTTGAGAAAAGATGAAATGGCATTGCATTGATTTACATTTTTAATTCAGGGAGGAGAAAGAGCGTTTAGAGCGCGAGAAACGCGACAAGCTCGAAGAGCATCAACGTCTCGCTGAAGAAGAGGAAAAACGTAAACGAGAACGTGAGAAAGAGGAGAAAAAGAAACAAAAGGCTACAGCAGCCAAACAGAAGGTGGCGTTTTAAATTAGTATTTAAATAAGAATTTGCATAAAAACCCTTTCTTCAATAAGATGCATGAAGTGCCATTTATTTCCTTTTAACACAATGTCACATTAAAACTCATTTTTATGTCGCCATCAAAAGTGGTGACATTGATATAGTCTCCAACTTTTTTGTGGATGGTGTTTGGCATTCGACCTCTGTAACAAAAGGCAGGTGGTGGTGACATTTTGCATCATAAAGCCTTGTTTATTTTTTTGCTCTAATTTTCCATATCACAGTTGGTTGTGTATTACATTTATATGCTTTGGAGATCACTACTCAATTTTGTACAGAATATGATGTCTGAGATTACATTTGAAGATAATTATTATTGAATGTTGTAGCAACAAGAACAAAAAGCTAAAGAAGACGAAGAGCGCAAGAAGAAAGAGAAAGCCAAGCAGCAACTAGCAGCTAGCCAAGCTGCGCAATTAGCTGCACAACAGCGCAATTATCCCCCAAGAGAGGTGCCGCCAAGATTTGCTCAAAAGCAACAAACCCAACAACAGAAGAAGTCACCAAGTTCGGGTCAGGTGACCCCTCAATTGTCACCACAGTCAACGACTTCGTCTAATACGTCGTCAGCGCAAAAAATAGCGTCACAAACAGTACAAAACATGCAACAAAATACAAAGAAACAAAATAATACAGGTAAGGATAGATATGCTACATTTTGTTTCAGCCATAAGATTTCCTAAATTATAATTTCATAATCTATTGTATGGCTGTCTTAGTACTATGTGTTCTTCTTCAGTGTTAAATGTTTTGTTTTTGTGCTCGTTACCACTCAAATCAAATGCTGTCATCATATTGGAGATGTGAAAAAATAATTGGAAAGTAAGACATAACAATTGGTTGTGCTGAGATGACCTGGGCAGACAGTGCAAAACAATTCATCATTACACACAATAAGCATATCAGTAAATCCAACATTAATACCAACATTTCATGAATACTAGTAATTGTCATTTAATACTAACGTTCCATGTAAACTGGTTTACATGATTGTTAATGCAAAAGTGCCTGGTTCTATATTTTTATGAAAACAGTTTTGTTAATATAGTGATAATGCAGTTAAACCTCTTGTTCAAGATTTTAAATTAAGAAATATAATTATAAATAATATTCAAAGATTTGATTGCAAAAAGCTCTCAATGTTTCAGTTTAATGCAGACATTTTCCTTATTTCTATATCATGGTAATGAACCACCATGGCACTATTTGAGAGTAATTCATGTTTCATTAAAATAATTAGTTTTCACCCAATTCAAGTTATCAGGATGATAAATATATCAACCAGTTTCTAATAATCCATGGATAAGGACCTTACTTTGATACTTTTTTCTTAAACTATTTGCCATAAAATTTCCTTTTCTATTTTATTACATTTCCTTAACTGGGGTAAATGTTCTTTGGAAACATTGGTCAACTTATCGTCAAAGCAGTCATACAGTTACTATTTATCATAAGAGGATGATCACTCTTGATCTACAATCCCCCACCCCCACCCCTACCCCCACCCCCACCCCCATTACAACCTTGCACGTTCTATAGCTACCCTTTGATTGTGCTTGTAGCTGTGAAACAAAACGTGTCAGGTGTATCAGATCAGTGGTCTGCGGGAACAGGAAGTACTAGTGCTGCCACTGGTTGGGGAAACGAGGAACCAGGTGACGGTGGTTGGAGCAGTGGTGCACACACTTCAGGAAGTGGGTGGACTGATATAGGAGGAGGAGGTGAATACTGAATAGTAGTAGATTACATGATCTTGGTTAACTATAACATTTTTAATATACCTTTCCTGACCAGTTGAAAAACAAAATTTGTGAGAAATGATTTGAATCTTATGGTAGAGTGTTATGATTGGGATTTCAGTATGAAAGTATGAAATGTAAAATGCAATGATTGTAGCAATAAAAGATGAGATTGTAGACATCATTAATTATCATGAATAATACTGATGATAATATGATTAATGTTCCAGAGAGTGATCCACAAGTGGAAGGTGCCGACAGTGGCTGGGGTGTAAGCAGCACAACTGAAGCCAATTGGGGAGGTTTAGGAACCTCACTCAAACAAAACAGTATCGTTATAGACACAAAGGACAAGGAGCAGTGGCCGAGTATCGGCAACCAATCAGAAAGTGCCTCAGAAGCAGGCGACGCTGACAACGCGTCAGTCAAATCAGGATCTGTGATATCAAGCTCAAGTAATCCCGGTGTGACGGGAAGTATCGACTTAGGTCAAGGGTCGAGTGCCATTCAGGTCGCAGCCTCTAGCGGCTGGGGAAGTACAGAGGAGGATAGTGGGTGGGGAGACGTTCCTACCAGTCAGAACTCTAATACAGTAGGAGGCTGGAATTCCAGCAACTCCACTAACCAGCAGGCCACAGTCAATATGCAACAGTCGAATCCACCAGTGTCTGCGCCTGCATCCAGTAGTAGCAGCGGAAGCAGTGCCCCAGACACACAAGTTACGCCTGCTACATCAGGTATAGATGTCTCTAGTAGTCTCGGATGGGGCACCAGTGTGGCCCCAGGTAGCAGCAGACCACCTGGCAGTATTTTAAGCAACACTGGTGCTCAAGGAGGGGAGTCAGGCCCCACTAGCGCCATAGGGGGCCTTTTCCAGGGTATTAATTTTAATCCGGGTAGTCTGCCTGGGCTCCAGAACCCAGGTGGAGCGAAAGAATCAGGCTGGAATATGAATTCTGGTCTCAGTATTTCCAGCAATGGTGCCGAGTCCAATGTCAATAATGCTGCAATAAAGGCTGATGGGGGAAGTGCTAACAATCAACAGTTTGGAGTATTCTCAGGAGGGTCATCTGGATGGGGTGTGCCACCCACCACCAGTGCCCCGCAACGTCAGGACAGCAAAGCTTCTGCCACCAGCTCCACAGGCTGGGGGGATCCTAGTCCCAATGCAAGTCCCAATCCTAACAGTGCAGGCTGGGGTAACCCGACACCATCATCAGCTGCTGGTCAGTGGGGTTCTACCCCAGGGGGGAGCGCCGTCAACTCCCAGTCAGGCCAATGGGGCCAAAATCCTGCCAACCCAAATCCTGCCACTGAGAAGCAACAGCAGCCGGCATCATTCGCCAATGCTGCAGCCAAGGGCCTGAATTTAGCTGCCCAGCAACAACAGACGCCTGCTCAGCTGCAAGCGCGCAGCCAAAGAGAGGAGATTGAGGCAGCCATCAATGACCCCACTGGCTGGGGACGCGGCGTCAAGCAAGACAGCCAATGGGACTGTGCACTCTCACCAAAGTCCAAACGCAAAAATCCAGAAGATGATTCGGTTTGGCATCAACCAAATGATGGAACTGCAATATGGGAATCATCCAAAGTGAACAAGGAGCCACCAGGGCCTCGACCTGGTGATTGCCCCAACTGGGACAACCCACCGCCACAGCCAGCCACTGATGGCTGGAACAACAAGCCTCCAACACAAAGTGCCAATTCAGACTGGGAAGGCCGTAGAAACAACCCAGAGAGCTGGAACAATGGACAGGGACGTAGCAATGAATGGGGAGGGACAACTAACAGTGTCAATAGCCGACCTAACAAGGAATGGGGAGGAGCACCTAACAGTAATCAATGGAATGGTAACCCTAGTAACCAACCACCTCCTAACAACCAGCCTCCACCTGGCAACCAGTCCTGGGGAGGCCAACAGGGACCACCCCCAAATAGAGCACCAGGAGGGCCTCCACCCAATGGCTGGAACAGTGCTGGTAATAATCAAGGGCGTCCTAGTAACAGTGGCTGGGACAGCAAACCCAACGCTGGTGGCTCAGACTGGAACAATCCTCCACCTGCAGTAAACAGCCAAAATAGTGGATGGGGAGGTAGCCAACCTAATGGACCCACCAGTAACAACCAGTGGGGGAACCAGCAAGCACCCCCTCAACAGCCACCACCTCAACAGAACAACTGGGGAGGCAGCAACCCCCAGCAGGCTAACAGCAACAATGAATGGGGTCAGAGCAAGGCTGACACATCAGGATGGGGAGGCACTCCTCAACAACCAGCCCAACAGGCTCCAGGACCCAAGATGTCCAGCTCCAGTTGGGACAGCACCGCTAGAGGCTCCACATCTAGCTGGGGTGACGGCAGCAACACTCCCACCACCCCAGGGCCTCAGCCCACAGGATGGACCGCAGGACCACCACAGGCAATTCCTGATGTGAAGAAGATTGAGCCTACTGGATGGGGTGATGCCAGTCCACCGTCATCTCGCAAGAACGGCTCTAATATAGATGCTGGAACATCATTCTGGGGTGACCCTAAGTCTCAAAAGCCCCAAGGTTGGGGAAGTCAAAGCAGTGCCCCTACCACCCCACAGACCCCAGGCCCACCAGGGGCAGGCCGTAAGATGGAGGATTATAATAGGATGAATGGACAGAAACCTAATGGAGGTTGGGGTGATGCTACTGGACCAGACAATCCAACAAATGATGCGGCTGGCTCCCTCTGGGGCTCCACAGGGCAGCAGGTGAGACACTTATGGCTGTTCTCATAACCCTTAGTAGCTCCAACAATACATTCTCATATTTGTTGGAATTATTCGACGTAATTCATTAGCATCTGATGTTTATATGAGATTGATTGGATGACATATATCTAACATAACCACAAACTTGTTACCAATATATTTAAGATCTTGAATGTCATTTATGGCCTGTGGAACCATCAATTTATCAGATTCATTCTTGTGGAACTGATTTAATGTTATTATTTTTGTGAAGATTCCCTCAAAAGTAAGATAACTTTTTGGGGACTAGTTGTACTCTAGAATTCTCCATTTTGTAATTGTTTTAACACTTTTGTCTCCCCTTAAAAACATGTTTCTATATATACATATTGAGAGCCTTAATGTGCATATTTCAGCAGAAAGGTGCACCAGGCCAGGGAGGAGGCTGGGGGGACAATCACTGGACTGGGGGGCCAGGAGGACAGCAGTCTGCACCCTCAGGACCCAAGCCTCAGGGATGGGGAGATAATGACAATGGATCTTGGAATGCCCCAGGCCAGAAGCGCGTAAGTTAAACTTAAGAATTCAGTTTGTTATTTCAAACAAGTTTGGAAATTAAACATTGAAAATATAGAACTATCAATACTCAGTAACTAATGTCCTTGACCAAATATTGGCAATGATGTCTATTTTGAGATATGATTTTAAAAAGCATTTAATTTAGTCTAAACAAAAAACGATCGTGATTGAATGTACCAGGAGTCTTGTAGAAATTCAATAATAATTTTGGCCAGACTAGTAGACTAAAGATTTTGAATGTTGACTGGTTTTCTCCTCCAATCAAAACATGCTCTGTATTTGTTTCTTCAGAATAATTCCTGGAATGAGGGTGGTTCTAAAGCTTGGAATGAGGACACAGACATGGGTGAATGGACCAGTGATGCTGAGAAGTCTGCTCTCTGGAGCAGTGCCCCTGGTCCTAGACCAAACACAAACTCAAATTGGGACAACAGAGATAATAATCCAGTCAGAAAGCCTTCATTTCCTGTAAGTACCTGCTCCCAACTGTTTTTGTTGATGGTGTTCGACAGTTGGCGTCTAGCAGTTTTTGTTCAGCATCTGTAACAATTTGCAATAAATTGGATGTATTTGCAGTATATGCATGAATTTACATCTACATGTACATTTAGATGCAATTTATGTGGATGAATAAGATACATTAGTTAGTCTTATACTTAAATCAAATGCTTGGTTTAAGTCTTTCCTGAATACATACTCAATTTGCTGAATTAAATATGAAGACTAATAAAATGTTGTTTTTTTGTGAAAAACTAAACATGTTTATTCCTTTGTAGACTATTGTAGTTTTTCAAAAAAATGGAATGAAATACAAAATAGAGTATCATATTCATGACAATCAATTTCATGTATAAATGCTTTGACTTTCCAGACTGGTGGTGCTATGACATACAATAAACAACCTCAAATGAGAGTATTCAGAACAGAACACTCATTTTCATGTATAAATGCTTTGACTTTTCAGACTGGTGGTGCTATGACGTACAATAGACAGCCTCAAATGAGAGTATTCAGAACAGAACACTCATTTTCATGTATAAATGCTTTGACTTTCCAGACTGGTGGTGCTATGACATACAATAAACAGCCTCAAATGAGAGTATTCAGAACAGAACACTCATTTTCATGTATAAATGCTTTGACTTTCCAGACTGGTGGTGCTATGACATACAATAAACAGCCTCAAATGAGAGTATTCAGAACAGAACACTCATTTTCATGTATAAATGCTTTGACTTTCCAGACTGGTGGTGCTATGACATACAATAAACAGCCTCAAATGAGAGTATTCAGAACAGAACACTCATTTTCATGTATAAATGCTTTGACTTTCCAGACTGGTGGTGCTATGACATACAATAAACAGCCTCAAATGAGAGTAAAACTGCTGCAGCAATTGATGGAGATGGGCTTTAAGAAAGATGAGGCCCAGCATGCTTTGATCAACAATAATCTTAACCTGGAGAGTGCCATTGGTAAGTTGAATTTATATTATACTTAATAAGTTAATTATCCTTCTGTATATCTGTTCATTCATGTCCAGGCGGTAAATCAAATACCAGTTGTTCAGTTAAAAAAATTTAAATATGCAGACCTTGGAGGCAAAGGACTTATGTTGGAGAAGAATTTTTCAATGTAGCCGCTCAATTGATAGTCATTAATATTAAAAGAAATTATTGATAACTCAAATATTATTTGTCTGATTTTGCTCAAATTTTATAAGCTGATTCCATGAGGCCAATTTTTTCACTTTAAATTTTTTGTGCAATATATGAAAAAGGAGAAAGTGTAAGGAAACTGTTTGAATACGAAAAAAACACAAGGACTTATAAAACATCAGCATCAGAAAATAAGAATGTAATTATTGTTGTTTTTTAGCTGACTTACTCCACGGTGCTAACAAGGATGAAATAAACTTGACTGGGCTGGGTGGTCTTCCGGGACGCCGGCCAACTTCATTCCAGGACCAACTGGCCGATCACATATCCGATACTCAGACCGACGCCAACTCGTTCAATGTGCCTGTCATCCCTGGCTCTATGCACAATACTCCTACAACCACCAATGCTCAACTCACCAACCTACAAGCCAATTCCGTCAAAGGTCCTAGTCTGAACCCTAGTCTCAGTATGCCCACCAATCACAGTATTAATCCCTCCCTCCAGCAGAAGTTGATACTTGCTCAACAGCAACAGCAGCAGCAACCCACTGCCAACAACCCCCCTCAGAATCAACAGCAGCAACAGGCAGCCATGCGCAACCAGATGCAGCAACCACCGCCACTTAATAACCCACAAATGGTTCACCAACAGCTGCAGAACCAAATCGTTCAGCAGCTACGTATGGCCGTACAGGCCGGCCTTATTAACCAGTCACTGTTGAATCAACAGCTGACTCCACAGATGTTAACCATGCTGCAACATCTGTTACAGCTGCAGGCTGTTCTGCAGAGGTTGTTGCAACAGCAGCAGATACTGCAACAGCAGAAGAATGCAAATCCGCAACAGCAGCGACAACAGCTGGGGGAGATCATGTTGATGATCCAGAAGATCAAACAGCAGATCCTCAGTCAGCAACAGAGCATTGCGCAGGCCCAACAGCCAGAAGGGCCTCAGGGCAATCAAGCCATGAAGCAAGATGTGCTCACCAACTTGCCATCAGACCTATCTCAACTCAAGATAGGTGCCGATATTCAGCCAAAAAGTAAATCTCGGCTGGAGATGTGGAAGCTCCCATCTCCAGAGAAAGACGAAGGTGCCGGCCTCAATAAAGCACCCGGATCAAAACTACCAATCCATCAATCGCATTCCACACCTAATTTGCAGTCCAAGATTCCGGAGCTGCCCTCTGTCGGGGGCGATAACCCTTGGTCGACATCGACCAGCAGCAGTTCTAATTGGCCAACATCTAGTGCCATTACAAGTACCAGCCAATCAGAAACAGATCCCAAACTTGAATCTCCCGCCAACGCGGAAGCAGATGACATGATAGCAGAGTTTGTTCCAGGGAAGCCATGGGCAGGCTTTAAGACGATTGAGGATGACCCAAACATGACACCAGGAAGTATCGCAAGTAGCTACAGTGTTGCTACACCCAAAGAAGAATCGATCCAGTCTCTACTAAACAAGACCACCATGGGCACCTCTGCCACGCAGTCATTTAGCAGTGGGCGCTCACTAAGCACATCTTCTGCAACATCTTGGAGCACAGGAGATGCACCTTCATCTACATCTCCCTGGAATGCTACTAGCAAAGCAAGCGCTGCTCCAGCCCGCCCACCTCCAGGACTTGGGGGCAAGAATAGTCGCCCTGGTTTGAATCGCAGCGAATCTTGGGCTCCAGGAGAAAGATCTGCTTTCCAACCAGGTATTCACTATATTAGATCCCTTTATTCTAATGTTATGCTTATAATTACCGTTTTAAACTTAATAGAAATTGAACATACTCTTAAATAAATATAAGATATTAAGATATTTTATAAATGAGATCTTAATTATAAGATTTTTACATTGAATGTTACAGAGAGAAATACAATAGCCATTACAAAGATTTTCGTTTGTTCATGTATTCTGTTCTGTTTATTTTTTCTCATTCTGTATTCCTTATTTGTTCTTATTTGTACTTTTAGTGAGCAGCTCTGGTTCAATGTATAATAACAACAATCTTGGCTGGATGGTGATGAGCAACCTGTCAGCTCAAGTAAGCCCTAATTCACCAAACAACTGGCAATGACTGAACAGCCCCTAAAGATGACGTTACAGACTACAATGTGAGAGCTTACTCACTTCGCAGTCTCATACAGCTCTTCTAGCAAATACTCTCACCCATTTTACTCCCCTTTAATTTCTTCAGCTTGATTTACGCTAATTGATCTATCACGTGGATTTATCCTATTTCTGATTTCTGCTCTTTTTAACTATAGAGTGAATTCATTTCTAACGCTCTATTAGAGAAATTCTAACCTAGTTCATACGAAATTCGTGTTTTCTTAATACTGCCTTACTTTTCACCGCAGATTGTAATTGTACCTAAAAATGGTTGTAGAGATTTGCTAGAAATTATGCTGTGTGCTAACCATCTTTCTAGGCGGGTTTGCAATCTTGACTAATGAGCATATTTTCATGCATTTATTATTCAAACACCGATTGTACACGAGTCCTGAACTTTGGCTTGGTAGCTAATTTTAGGGTGCTTCTGTCACTAATGCCCACTTTGCGTAGAATCTTACGGGATCTTGGCAGTCATTGTTTCTAATTTAGTGTTTTTCTAGGGTCTTGTCTTGAAATACACTTGCCTGCTTTATATTATGCAATACGCTTAGTAAAGGTAGTTTAGTTTGACTTCTGGCACAAGGCCCTTAAAAACCTGAATATGTGAACTTTCATTTATAATTTTACATAATGTAGATATGTAAAATACGAAAAGTTGACTGCCAGGATAAGATATGTTTGTTAAATATGACGTAGATTTTGAAAATACTGAATAAAAACTTAATGCAATCACTTGTAGTGTTAAGACTCATTTTCTCAATTGCATCAGTTGTTGCAGTACTTATCACTCAATCTAAAGCACAACAGTATGTTGAAGTTTATTAAACGCATTCAGTAAATGTTTAAATGGAGTGTTTGTTGCCTTTATTATTATGAGTCTGAATTATTACCTCATCCTCAACACACAACAGTTTTAGAATCAAAAAAGAAGATTGTAAAATTTTTATGTATTGTATTATTATGTCATTGCCTGTATCTGTAGTTTTGTGATTGACATTTCATTGAACTCTTATTTTACATGTTGTAAGTCAATGTCAAACAATTGAATATATTAAATAGTTGGTTGCTTTATTCATGTGTCCCTCAAATATTTCACAATTACTTTCTACACTTTCTGCACAAAAGATGGCTTTATGCTATAGTTCTCTGTATGTGTGTGTTAATTCATTTTGTTAATTGCTTCACAGAGATCACTCACTGATTCAACTTTCTTGGCAAAATGGTCATTGTAGAGGTGGAGAATCTTTGAAGAATTATTGCACCCAGTGAATGAAAACAATTGTGTGTAGAATTTTGAGTGAAATGTATGAGATGTATGTCGCCTAAGTGCAAGAAGTCCTTATTCATGCGTCACAATCCTGATTCATGTGTCCTTATTCAATGTATATTAACCTTTGTGATTATCTGTTATGTCTGATCTGTTTCAGTTCGATGGCAACACACTGAAGGCATTATGTGCACAACACGGTCTAGTACGCCAATTTTTCCCCAATTTGAGTTATGGGCACGCACTCGTGTGCTACGCTTCACTGGATGAGGCTATGAAGGCACAAAAAGCATTAAATAATTGTCCACTTGGAGGCAGTAGTATCCAGGCAGAGGTTGTGACGGAAGGAGATGCTCAGAAATATGTTGAGATGCAGAATTCCCTTGCCCCCACCGCTACAGCGCCATCAGCGATTAATGCTGGTCGGAACAGCATGTGGGGTGGAGGCAAGGATCCTGGCCAGTGGAACGGCAGCAGCTTTGGGCTTCAGGGGGGTATGTGGGGAGGGAGTATGGGGGGAGGTGGTCTCTGGGATGATAACCACCACAACCTCTTGACAGAAAACCTTTTAGGAGGGCAGTCTATGTAGTCTTATATCACTGCTGACAACTGAACTCTAATACAGTAGAAACATTCAACTATTCATCTATCGGACTACCAAGCCGACGGAACACAAATAAACAATAAAAAAACTACAAAACAAACAAAAACAATAATGTATGTCGTTTATAACATTAACATGTAATGATGAGCAACTTTTTATTATAACTTAGCATTTAAAGGGTCATTATCCCATGCAATCTGTTTGATCTCTGATCCCGGTCTACGGGGCAGTATTGTTGGAGCTTACGGCTGAGAGACGCAGCATTCCAAGTACGTAAATATAATATGACATAATAATCTGAATGCAAGGCTAATTTTATGGTGCTATTTGCTTCAAAGAAGCCAGGCACACATTGTATTGTATATTTTTAATTCAAACTTCATGTGGAAGTGTCGGCGATAGTGAGTCTTTCAAGTGTATGCTTTACTTATTATTATTAAAATAATTAACGGAGCTGTTTTACTTGCGAGATGCAACACCTCCATTCACCATGATATGATATATACCAAAAAATATTATTAATATAAAACTGAAAAAAATCGAAAAAAATACACTAAATGTCCAGTGCTCTCATATGAGTGGGTGTGGAATACATATTGAAGCATGCACAGTTGCCATGGTGTAGTAGCAGAGTTATTATTAGTATGTAGTAGTCAAATGCAATGATGTACATGTATGTACCATGTAATTGGAAACATATGATCTGTATCATGTTTTTAATGTCCCATATGGGTACCTATCTCTTCCACAATGTGTACTAGAGTGCTCAGGGGGCAGTGTTCTATATGCCTCTCGTGTCTTAAGTCTTTATCCAGTGTGATATAAATAGCAATGACAATGTATACTACCTAGTGGAAAAAAGTAAATATCAAATAAAATAAGCACTAGGAACCGTTTTTGGTTTCAAGCTGTACTACTTAAAAATCATATTATGAGTTGTGTTAAATGTTTCATAAAGATGTGTTGAACAAATTGTAAGTTATGCAATTCCAAAAACTGACCCCTGGATGTACCTGTATTTGAAGCCCTGCATTTGGAGGATGAAGATTTGGTCTGGGGTCCATTTCTCCAAATGAGTCAATTGCTTAATATATTGTGAGAACTCCATAAATCTAAGCAAAACAATTGATTTTCAGATCCAATACCTTATAGGGTTTTTAGCTGAAGTCCTCGTCCTTATCAAGACCACTCGGAGTGACAAAATTTTTAGTTCCCTAAGAAATGACCTTGAAACCTAGATTGACGAGATAATCTGTCACAAAAATGTTGGCTACTTGATAAAATTGCTGTTGTTATTTTCATTTTCATCCAATTTACATAAAAAAATATTTTAAAATGTATAGAAGTGATCTCTGCCAACACTAAATTGAGCACTGGTTTCAAACAGATTTTAGAGACTGGAATTCAAGAGGTTAATAACCAGAAATATTTTTTGATTCATAATGGTATGTTACTTTACCTCTTGAATCCCAGGTTATGCCTTGGTCACCTTTGCTCCGATTTACACTACGGCGCCTGGGCGATTGAGTATTTTGTTCAAAATTGAATACGATATTGAACAAAACACTCAATCGGCCAGGCGCCGGCCGATGGATCGAAGCATATGTGACCCAGGCATTATAAAATTGGGTTTAAAACCAGGGAATTTCTCATTTTTGCCAACATTTGATTTTACTTCATACATATTCAACAGGTGATGCTCAATTTAGTGCTATTAGTTGGCAGGGATCATTTCTACACTTTTTAAAACACTTTGATTTGTCCAAATTAGAGCAATTTTTGTGAAAAATTTTGTGACTGAGTTTCTCAACACTCAAGGTTTCAAGGTCATTTCTAAGGTGATGAGATATCTCATCACTCTGGGTAGTCAAGAGATATCTCATCACTCTGGGTAGTCAAGAGATTAAACAATCGGTAGACTTGAACACAAATATCTGAAAATATGAAAGCTATACATATATACTGAATAAAGTAAAATGATTAATTAGGATGAGAATTATAAATTCTTGAAAATATTCGAAGAGAACTGAACACTGGCAAAGATGAATACATGCCACATGATTATGACATTTTACAAAGCATTATAGCCCCTTCCCTCAGCTATAACATCAAGCAAACTCAGTATTGTCAGGTCTGATTAGAAGCTTTTATCATAGCATAAGAGACTACTTCCTTTAGAAGTACTTCCTTTTGTTGAATTAATATCGCATGCAATCTGATAGCAATATAATCTGGAAAGTACCCTATTATCATGATGTATGAAGAAACTGACCTTTTAAAGATGGATATTTGCTTTACAACACCAATATTTTTGTATGGCTGTCTGAGTATCATCCAATTAATGAAAATATTAATCTGAAGCTGATACCCTGTATACATTGTCATATATTATACCTAAAGAAGGATTGTACATTGTGTTTATCCAGAGGGATATGATACCTCGCCCAGGTCCCTTGTGAAGATGTCCTATCTCTCTGGATAAACGCAATAAACAGTCCCTCCCTATTTAAAACCTCAATGTACTTCAAGTACACTACAGAAATTTTTAAATCTTGGAGAACTAAATTTAGAGACGAATAGTATGTGTGTACACTGACAGAGCCCTGTACGATTAGGCAAACTATTTCAGACTGATATCTTGGATTGTGGGTTTTCAACATGAAGATTGTTAAAACCCAGCTCAAAGTCGCCATCTTTTGAGATGTTGAATTACTATTTACAATATTCTTAGATGTCATTCTGCCCTTTCTACAAAGGATGTCTTTCAAACCAACAATACATAAATTAACACACAAAACTTCAATTCATTTTTTACAAAGTTTATTGAGCATAATACAAAGAACCATACCCAAGTAAATATATAACATGTATAATGAAGCATTGTAAATAGTCTACAAAAAGCGGCAATTGCACATCTAAGTAATCTGATGATACAGTATTATATTGTTGAAAAGACCTATACATGTATGCCTATCTCATATATATTAAATTAATCACCAATTGGAACTTATAAGAAAGCACTCTTTATCACAATATGTGTTTTTAAAGTCTGGTTATAGTCTTGCACCATGTCCTTGTGACCCCCTCCCACATGCATTCACCTCAACCTTACTCAAGAATGGGATGTTGATAAGGGGGGGGGGGGGGGTGCCAGAGACTTGATGCGAGCCTAGTTAATCCTTTTACATTTTTACATATTATCTCATTACATTCTCTCATTAGAAGTATAAACTCACTTTACAAGATGTCCCTCAGTAATGCAACCAGTTTACAGAAAATGTAGAACATACAGCTAAATGCGGAACATGAAGGTAAATGAAGAACATACAGCAATATATGTAAAGCATAAACCTAACTGTAGAACATACAGCTAAATGAAAAACATACAGCTAAATGTTGAACAGCTTGATTAAAGTTAGAAAGCTTTTAAAACATCCAAAAATGCTTGAATGCCAACCTTGTACCCTGTTGATATGGTGTAAATACTGAATATCAATCTTATATCATAACATGAATTAATGGATTCAACATTACTTTTCAGATGAATATCTCCATTTTATCCAATTTGGTTCTATGCAATTCGCAGTAAAACATACACTATATTTACCAATTCATAGAACAAGACTTATGTCTACATAAATTATGTTTGAAAGGATGTCATAGCTTTTCAGTTAATACACATTCACTGGGTCTACACAGTACACAACAAAGAAAATACATGATTTTTCAAATGCAAATAATATACTGGTAATAAAGAAAAATCTACTTTGAATGTTTGCAATACAATACATGTATTTTTTTTCTTAAATAAGCTAGGAAACTAAATCTCATAAATAATCTGTATACCTGTATACTATTCTCTATTACCTTGTAATATATATATAATATATAAATCTATAACATATCGTAACATATACAACTTGAATTTATTTTTATATAAAGTAGCCACTCATACTTTTTAAGCTTTTAACAATCATAATATATACAATATGTATAACAGTAAAGCAACATACAGTAAAGCCTGTCTCATCTGAATGCCACTTGGACCAACCAAAAAGTAAATATCTTTTTGCATTACATATTCTCAGGTTTCATTAATTAGCAGAAGGCAAGACAATTTTATCAAAATCGTGTATGGTGTCAGTATTCAAGGTTGATTACTTTTACACCTTCAACATTTGGCAACATTTTCTCAAACATTGGGGAAATGTCAACATCTAATTGAAATATTCTGATTTAATTCTACAAAACTGACCCATAGCCAAAAATTCTTTCAAAATCATGCAGTTTTTCATAATTTGGAGCATGCTTAGAGAGATTTAGGGCCAAAATTTTCATCAATTATGGTTAAATTTTATCATGAATCTCATCATACTGATCTACCTTAACTATCCATGTAACATTTAGAGAAATACCATACATGTCACTCTTTATGGTACATTATACATGTATATCTTACTGCACAACCAGTTATTGAAAAGACCTTTCCAATAAATCCTGACCTACTTTGGTCAACCAAGGAAACAAAGGTATATTATTGGTTGGATTGATGATGTCATACTTTGATGGTAGCAATTTTTAACGAAATTATTTAACAAAATAACAGTTAGTTCATCATATTTCTGCCCCTAAACTAAGAATGACATCATCACCAATAGATGGCACAAATGGTTTATTGCAACATGGTCTTTCTTGCACCATCCATAAAATATTATTTTTTATTATTTCTTACTACAAAAATGTAATGTAAACAATTCTACACAGGCGAATTACATCAGGGCCCATACGAGGAGTATGCTCTTTTTGCCCATACTTACTTTTAATTTTCAAGCCTCGTTCAAGCTTGTACGAGGCCCTTTATAATTTACATGTGTTTGATATGATTTTTAACGTAAATTGGAGATACAGTAAAACCTGTCTATCCGAACATCACCGCCACCGACCGCAAGTGTCAAGAATAGCATATGTTCACAATCAAGGTTTCCTCAACAGAGGAGTCAATGGGGGACTGGAAAGTGTTCATATTGAGAGGTATTCAGATTACAGAGGGATTCAGATATACAGGTTTTACTGTACAATTAAGACTAAAAAGCATTTAGAAAAAGATAACATATTCATGGGAACTTCAGTCCCTCCTTGTGTATCTCAAATATACAAAATAAAGAACTGATATCACATTCTTATTGCAGATCATGAATCATATTCAATTTTTCCAGAATATTATCATATATAAATATGTTTGATGAGACATTTGTTATATTAACAGTGCAATCCAAGCATTTGGGGCTGTGTTTTAGTAATAAATCTGCTACATGATATGAAAAAAGCATATGCCAAAGTGTCAAGTCAAAAATGACTTTCGTCAATAGACAAAAAATTATGTTTTGGCAATGAGGTAAAAGCACTTTTCATGAAAATTATCCGTAATTTTTTGACTTGACTCTTAACTAGGTTGTGCTACCACACTGAGGAAGTTAGAATATTCCATGGCAATCAGGTTTTTAGATAACAACAATCTTGATACTCAATTTTGATTGGTCAAAAGGGTTGTTATAGTTTTCACTATTATCTGTGCAATTACAATAGTTTTTCTAAAATGTCATTTCTGTACCAAAAAAACGGGGACTTTAGTCTATATACGTTCAGTACTACTTTTCTCGGTAGTTTATTTTACAAACTTCAGATTTGTCAAAATGGCTGCCATGAAATATAACTACAAAAAGTTTTAAGTACCAGTATTAAGGTTTTAAGGTTAAAGCAAAGAGTGGAAAAATACTTGAGACAGCTTTCAAGTGTTATTCAAAGACTTTAATCTCCATAAACTATTTAGTCCACACCCGTGCCATTAGATGGTGTTGTGCGCAGTAATGGAATAACAATGTCATCCATATTTGGCATTACCACAATACGCTGTAAATATATTAATAAACAATAAAATAAGGCAATGCTTTAAATTGATATATCACTTCAAGAACCAAAATGCAGAAATAAGAAACTATTGAAAGAACATAACATACAGTGCCATACACAAAACAAGAGAATGAAGCTAGGATTAGGATAAGGATTCCCAAGTAAATCTACCATCTACAAATTAAGAAAGAGCTAAATTAGAAGTTAAGATTAAGCAATGAATTTGGCAAAAAGTATGCATTATTATTGTACATGCACTTGTATTATTGCATGTATTATGTAAACTAAAAGGGTTTTCATCAAAATGTGACACTCAACGTTTTGATGAGCCACAGATGGTATTCCTCAGTCTCAAACTGGCCTACAATATGTAGTCATTTAAAACAACACTCTAATTAAAACTTTTCTTGAAACGTTGTCTTCAATTAACAATTGAATGGATCTTACATCATCAAAAATGTTGAGTGTCCTTTATGATGCCCATTTAGTTAACAAAGTGGAACTTTATAAGAACAACGAGTAACTACAGGAGTGCAAAGTGGAACTAAATATAAAGTGTAATAATTATGAGAATGCAGAGTGTAACTGTAGGAGTGCAAAATGTAACTGCAAGTGAAAAAAAATGTGAAAAATGAGAAAACTCTTTCTAAGGAATCACAATTAATTGGCTTCTAGGCTCAAACTTAAGAGCTTTGAGTAAATCAACAATAGCTGAAGCTTAGACTGGACTGACACCAGGTGTCTCCGGAGTAAACAACAGCACTGGATTTTATTTAAGACATTGTGACATCATTTTGCTTTATAAAATTCCGAATCTACTGGACAAAATTGTAAAGGAACCAGAACGATGTAATAATTTCTATAAATGTGAAAATGACTTGGCTCGGTGTATCTGTTCTGGTGCTTATCAAACACCCTGGTATTAACATTATGTGTGCTATTTTTATGGCGCACCATGTTATGTGCATTCTCTTAGTTGAACATTGCTCATGTAAAACTGATGGACTCTCTTATTAAAAGTGGGTTCTTCACACCTTTGTATCTAGAACATGTGTGAGCGTGGCACCAGAGATATACCAAGTACGAAAGGATGTACCTATGAAACCAGAAATAGTCAGATTTCCCAAAGCAGAAGCAAATTTTTTTCCAGAAGGGCATGCTACAGGAGCCTGCAAGTTCATCCCCCAATAGACTGCATCTCACAGAGGCATAGTAATTCATATTTACATTACTATACCCTTAAGTTCATAACATAGCACTGATAAATGTCTATCATGATGCAATAGATTCTGTTGGTGTTGAAGCATCATTGTTCACTGCAGGAGGCACATTGGGTTGGCCAGACACAAGCAGAGGGATCGCCAGGTCATCCATGTTAGGCATAACTACCAGTCTCTACAATTCAAATAATAACACGTGTGCCTTATATGAATACTTTATTTGGATTTTCTGTGGATATTATGCCAATGGGGTGACATCAACCTCAGAGCTGTGTCTTTTTACCTCTTGTTACTTTGAATAAATCAAAAAGTTAATCAATATTAATTTTGGCATTATACTATAAATAGCACCATAATTTAGGCTATACGGGGTATTAACTAGTTTTGAAACTTACAATAAGAATATTTTTATGATGCAATGAACAATGATAAAAATGACAATGGACATATATTGTTGAAAAGTATATCAAAATAAAATTGCTAGAATAGGTTTAACCTGCATTTCTGTGTAGCATTTACTTCCCACCCATCACTTTTGTATGAAATACTCAGAAATGGTTATGTAGTGAGTGAACCACATTTGTGACAAATTAGTAGTCTCTATTTTAGATAATATGAAAGTTAATTGCCATTATATTAGGTCAATATATTTGGGACCTTTAAAATAGTCACAAACATATGATCAGAATGAGGAGTTTTCACAATATACATGTCTGATTTCTTTAAGTCCAAAGCATCATGAAAAATACCATAATTTGTGGCCTATTTTTTTAATCACCTTGTACATGTTATGTCTATATACCATATCACGAGTGCAAAAATCTCTATAGGCCATATTTTAAAATGAAAGTAAAAGACAAAAACCTTATTATATTAAGTCCTCATTTGTGAAAATGTATTAAAACAATGAGAGTCTAGAATCTAGAATTTAGCACTGGACTAACATTCAATTGAGCTGTCATTTTTTAAGTGTAATACTGCAATATATACCTGAAATTCTGTGGCCAGTTTCTTCTCGATCCAATCAGTTACATGAGAAACAGATATCTGACGCTCTCCAACCTTCGGTTTTGCTGACAGCCAGAGACGAGGATTTGTGCGGAATCCATACCTGTCATGAAAAGGAAATTTTTGAATTCAAATGTGAAAAGAAGTTGACAAGAATCTGATATTGGTCTTGGTATGAAAAGCTACTTGAATAAAAAATATGTCATTAATGCCTGGGTCACATTTGCTCTGATCCATCGGCCGGCGCCCGGCCGATTGAGTGTTTAGCTCAATATTGTATTCAATTTTGAACAAAATACTCAATCGGCTGGGCGCTGTTGTGAAAATCGGAGCAAATGTGACCAAGGCATTAGATATAGTGAAAAATTGAAAAATAAAAAAATCACTCAGAAAACTATTTGAACACCAAATAAATGCTGTTTCAGTGCATATCTCATTATATTTACAATTTCCATATAGCACGTTTCAGCCAAATATACTAGATTGTAATAAATCATGCCACAGTGTTTCTTTGGTACAGATTGAATATGAATTTTTTTTATTTTATAAATTGTGTTTGACTGCAGGTAGGCCAGATCTATTTTCTCTCATATAAAGACCGTTGAAGAAGATAAGCTCTTTGATAGGTCTGGCCAAATCAACATCAAATTAAAGCTCACCACAAGCGATCAGATGGTGGAGGGGGTATATTGATTGCTAGATTCCCAACCAGGCTCTTTAACTCCACTGTCATTATGAGAGGCGTATTCGAAACACTCTCCATCGCACGTTTGATGTACTTGTTGTCCGTGACCTGTTGGAAGTACTTCGATGCGGTCACTTTGTCGACGATACGGAGCAGTTTTTTACTCGTTCTCTCATTGTTGGCTGTACTGTAAGAGAGAAAATATAGTACATGACGTTTACTAGTAAATGTTTAACTTGGGAAAGAGGGAAAAATCCCAGGATTAATAGGTGAATCTATCCCCATGTAAAGATGAACCTCTAGGAATTCTGGGGAATTTCCTCCCCTTGCATTCAATACAATACAAATTCATAAATGACGAACAGATCACTAACATTCATGGTCGAAAATGCTTCACAAGCCTAAGGCATCTTCAACAAGGTTCATCAGAGTTTGAAGAAATAATGAAAAAACATGCTGAATGTTGTCTCCTGTCTACTGAATGCCAATTGCCAAACACCATCAACAAAAAATTTGGAAAATATAACAATATATCACTACCAGAAATAAAAAATAGTAACTAATAAGAAATATGTAAACCCAAATTCTAGATGTGACATTCTGACCTTACATTCTGATAATTACACAAATGCCAAGTATCATATACATACATGTATTATTATAAGATGTTTGCATTGACATTTCTGTCAATAGAAAGTCACAAATCATACACTGTACATGGAAGTTATTACCATTCATACTTGGCAAATTAGACATGTCAGATATATCAAGAATATTACGCATTTCTAAAATGTCACTCTTTGTTCAATTAACTTAGTTTCAATAAGATACATGATGCCAAAATCATTAAACGATTTTATGGTCTGAAATTCAATTATGTTTTTTTGTTTTTTAGTTCAATATATTAGAACAAAAATGAGCAAACATGATTTAGGATCTTGATTCAGATACATGTACATCATATTACCTTATAAGGCCATTCTAGTTGATAAAGGTTCTCAAATGTCAAATGTATTTGCATAATAACATATATATCTTGTGTCTATTAGATTGACTATTCCCTCTCTATAGACTTGTTCAATAATTGTTCACTTACAAATACTGAACGTTTTTTCTTGGCAAAAAATGTTCAATGCAGAGGTTTTGCAGTAACTGTACTCTTAATAAGCTCACGAGAGAGTCAGAAACTTCTATCAAGAAAAGCAAGAATTCAAAACAAACAAAAACTAAATGCAGGAAAAAAAGATTTGGAATGAATCTATTGATATCTGAAGGACAACTATTTGCGATTTTACACAATTTGGAAATCCACCTAGAAATCCCCAGTGAATAATTTTTTGGTTGCTCAGGTTTCCAGTTTCTTGTAAATGTTGTGAATTAAAGATTAATTTTAAATCACCCATTTGTGCTTTGTACATGTCAGAAAGTCTTTTTAATATACCAATTCTAATTTTCATTTTTAAACTCTTCTTAGTTTTCCAAATGCAACTCTTAATTTTTCAAATAAACTAAGCCCAATTGAATGAATCAGATTTCAGATGTCCCTCAAATCTCAATGATTCACCCTTATAGCAGAAAGAAAATCTACCCAGCATGCATTGTAGAATCTGTGTTGTTGGCGTGCAGTTTGTTTCTTGTGATGCGTTGCCACATCCCCTTAATGGGTGAGCCAGGCTGTGCAAATACTATCCCACTACAATATAGTTTAAGATTAGAAAGACATGTTAGCATTGTTAGACATGTAGAACTTATCTATTTAGCAACATGCTTATGAAAATCCCAAACTACCAGGCATGCTATGGTATATTTGGCCAAAATGGTAAAATATCAAATAAGTTTGGAAAAAGAGACTGGAAAATGACAATCTTGGTAACGGAAGGTCCGGGAAAATGGGGATATAGGTCACGCCAAAAAATCCTTAACAATTTTTGCCATGTCGATATGGAAAAGTCGGTCTATCCTAAAGCTCTGACAGAACATGTGATGTAAGGGCAGTGTGTTAAAGACTTACTGGAGTAGACTAACTTTTCCACATCAGTCCTAAGCACAGGATTCAATTATGCACTTGGATAACTAAAAAGCTAAGATGCTAAACAGACAATAAATTTTAAAGGTCTAAGAGAATACAATTTTGAGAAATAAACAAAGAAAACAACAGAACAGTGGCAAGGATTCTAGCTATGTTTTATGAAAACACAACACTTAAAGATGCAACCCTACCTTAAATATATTTTTTAAAATGGCTTAAGCCTTACATGTACATGTAGCTTTATTTCCTTATGATTATAATCATCAACTGTTCTATCAACTGGCAAAGTGGTTCATGTATGGCACTCAAGTTCAAAATGCTTAAGTACAGAGTGAGCCAAAAAGGTAACCCAAACAAATGTTAATAACTCCGTCTTCCAGCATGGATTTCAAATTATAATTGACAAAATTAAACCTTGTTCAATGTTCCTTCATTCTACTAAGTTTCATTGTTCAATTCCTAATGATCACAATGTTAGAGCCATTTTACAAAACAAGATCCAAATGTGGAAAATCGCCCAAAATGAATCCCTTCGAACCCCCCTTTTGTTATAAAATGAACCACCAGCCGGGAACAACCCTTTTCTGAAATATCAACAAACCACAAGAATGAACCACACTCTCAGAAAGATGACTATTTTGCGCAAACAATGAATCACATATTTATACTTGCTATTTGATGATGTGTGCACTATACTCTGCAATTAAATTGGTTTGTTGAAACCATTTCTGCGTCGCCTTGAAGACCCCCTTTCTTTATAAAACGAACCACCAATCTGGGGAAAAAATTGAACCCCCCCTTGATAAATCCACATTACAACCATCAGAGACTAAGAGATAAAAAGGATGATTTGCGCCATTACACAAGATATCTGAGAGCTGTTGCGCGAAATATGATTTCAAACCCATGCTTCATATCAATATTTGTTAAGGCTACCTTTTTTGACTCACCCTGTATGAGGATCCGATTAAGTTAAAGATAATCACAAGGTTTTATCTTTTTCCAAGAAAGAATCAAAACGATGGTCAAACTTTTTCACAATATTGTTCCATCACGCAATGAAAACAGGGTGGGACTGCATCTATATATTACTTAAGAGACATCTCTGCAAAGGGTACATGTAATTACTAATGATGAATAGAGCCATGGCAGAAGCTTTCTACAGCTCAAGGATTAAATGCAAATCTGTTACACATTACACATGAATAATAAGTTAATATCGAAGAAAACTCCAATTGATGAAACCTGCACATTGCCTCAAAACCCAATATGTAAACATAAATCATTTTTCCATTTTTGATACAGCAAACAAGATTATAATCGCCCAACTATAAAGTTGAGTTGGTAATAATCTGCTTTTTCTGGGTAATGTCAGAGCACAACCATTTAGTTAAAAACGTTTGAAAAAATACCATGCAGGGATTTTAACCATGGCAATATGCCTGACGATCAAGCTTTCTACCCCTGGACCACTGACTTGTACAGTAGCTTAGGAAAATTCATGCGTATTACTTCAAACGCTCTTATTCAGTAGTGACGTCATATTCTAAATTTAGAAACCTTCTAAAAATCAAACTGTCGCCGACAATCCAAGCAATTGAAGGAACATAGTCACAATGACACATTCATCGTGAGTATCTGTACACAAGATTTGTCCCATTTGTTCACCATCGTATATTCTTTGATTATAGATCAAAATCTTACAGATGGCCGTGGAACAACCCAAGATTGCGTTCTAGGGCAATGTGCAGGATTAAAAGCAGTGAAAAGTATTCAGTGTGCAATATTATTTGAATAGTTATAGAAAGGGGGAGGGTGGCTCTTACTTGTCTACTGGCTGTTCTATTGTATTTTCTTCCTCCTCTTCATCAGTTGAGCTTTCAGCAGAATCCTCTTCTTCTGAATCAGTGATAGGAGACCTGCAACAATCATGGTGTATAAGTATAAAACTGTATGTATGACAATGTATATAAGTGGCAACTGGCAACATGAATATTAATTTATCAAAATGTCCCACTGTTATTACAACCCTTTACGAGAACTTCAGCAACATTCTTTAAATTGAGATAATTTTGATCCGATCAGGATACGTTACCAGATAGCATATTTTCTGTCTCTAAATAGCTGAAATTCATTATGAAGTCAAGCATTTCACAAGGCATTAACTCGCAAAATATCACCACTTGCCATCTGTTACAGATGCCTAACACTGACTGCTGAATACCAACTGCCAACAACCGAACACTGTCCACATAAAATTTAGAGACTATAACAATATGTCACTTGTGGTGGTGACATAAAAACTAATGAAAGCTACTATTGGGATCATCAAGATCAAAATCACAAGTTCTGCAAAATCATTATTATGAGAGTGTAATATGTTGAGATGATGTAGACTCAGGGTAGGATTAAGATATTGCATAATCAGCAGCATTATAAAATAAAAAATATGGAACTAAAAAAATTATTCCTCTTGGCCTTTGCCTATGGGGAAAATCAATAGAGAGTGGGACAGTAATCTCTGGGGGGTCATCATATTATAAGGTCTCTTAAAAATGTGTAGTTAACCTTCCTAATACAAATACTACAGGTCATGATTCAAGTGAAATAGAGAAAAAATAATATGCCAGAGACATTTCTTAGGATGCTGTATATGTTATCTTTATAGTTGTTTAATGAAAATACATTGTTGATGTCAGCATGTAACACCCGATGATGTCAGATTAGACATCTGCAAATAGAACCAGAACAACGGCAACGCCAAAGCGTAGCGAATCCCATCGAACATTTTTCAAAACGGGCACCTTCTACCAAAAGTGTCATTAGACAGTGTGCCATGCTTATAATATTCACATACCAAATATGAACAAAATCGCTCCACTACTTTTTGAGCTATAGTAAAAAACGTTAAAATGGCCACCATTTTGAAAAATGGCCACCTTCTACCAAAAGTGTCATTAAACAGTGTGCCATGCTGATACGTATTCACGTACCAAATATGAACAAAATCGCTCCACTACTTTTCGAATAATAGTAAAATAAGTTAAAATGGCAGCCATTTTTCAAAATGTCCGCCATTTTTCAAAATGGCCGCCTTCTACCAAAAGTGTCATTAGACAGTGTGCCATGCTTACAGTATTCACATACCGAATATGAACAAAATCGCTCCACTACTTTTCGAGTTATAGTAAAATACGTTAAAATGGCGGCCATTTTGAAAAATGATCGCCCTCTACCAAAAGTGTCATTAGACAGTGTGCCATGCTTATACGTATTCACATACCAAATATGAACAAAATTGCTCCACTACTTTTCGAGTTTTAGTAAAATAAGTTAAAATGGCGGCATTTTTTTAAACTGTCCGCCATTTTTCAAAATGGCCGCCTTCTACCAAAAGTGTCATTAGACAGTGTGCCATGCCTATAGTATTCACATACCAAATATGAACAAAATCGCTCCACTACTTTTCGAGTTACAGCAAAAATCGTAAAATAACGAGTAAAGGCCGCCATTTTTCAAGATGGCTGCCATGTGCTTTTTTAATATCTACATTTCTAGCTTTATTAATGTCCTATATAATTTTTTTACATTTAAAACATATTGCTATTACAGTTTTACATATTGCACCTAAATTACTGTAAAATCGGCACTAAAATGGCCGCCATTTTTAAATGAGCGGCCATTTTGAAAATCGGCTTTCGAGCAGAACTTCTACCCCCATAGGGTATATGTGTACAAAATATGAATAAAATCAGGCCAACGGTATTTGAGTTATTGCCCGGACGGACGGACGGACGGACGTACGGACGGACGTACGTACGGACGGACGGACGTACGTACGTACGGACGGACGGACGGAGGCGTTCCCTATATCCCTCCGAACTTCGTTCGATGGGATAATAAATTGACATCATATGAATCCGATTGCTAGCAACTATAAAATCGTGAAATAAATCATAATATAAATTGACTAGTTATATCAATCATAATGTTTTTCAAACTAAATCATGTTTCTATTTCAGATTTTCCCATTTAATCAACATTATTTAACGAAAACATCTTTCAATGTCACAAGATCTAGGGTGTATTTCATCTTAAAGTCAGTGTGACTATTAATAGCAGAAAACCACTAGACTTGAAATAAAATAAAAGTTTATCATGACATGAAAATGAGAGTATGATTTGGAAATAGCTTGCAAAAGGAGGCTAGAGCCAAAAGTTTAATCATCATGGACTTCCACACTCCCAAGGTGTTACATCATGATAAACCATGACATCTCAATTCTTCTCAGCCCTGAAATGTTTCAAGTGAAACAGAAAGATGCTATGAGAATCAGAATGAAGGTATTATAACACACCACGGATATGCAAATGGTTATTTTTCTGTTCTGTTACTATGTGGATGGCCATAAAGATCATCAGGGAACCAATCAAAAGTTTCCAAATATTTATTTCACCAAGTTACACTTTTTCATTTTATGGGCCTTAATTGGCCTTAATAGAGTTTCTTAAGAAAGATGCCCTGAATTGATGTTTATCTTACATAATCATAACAAGGCCCGGGTATACTGTCATTAATAAAAAAATCAGTCTTATTCTTATCCATTAAGCTTATAAAAATCAGTCTTATCCTTATACATGTAAAAAAAACGCATTAACAACTCAGTACACTAGCGGACATTTTAAACATTTTTAACATATTCCTGGGCCTCGGTTTAGAACACTAGTAACATTTTGTTTTGTTTACTCAGTAAATGTGGATTCATTCTTGGATTATCAAGGTGAAGTTGGAGTAACTGAAACCTTATGAATCAAAGTGAGTTTAATGCCATTTTAGAAATCTAACAAGTTTTGCTTCTGATCCCACATCCCTTAAAATTTAAATGAACTTGCAAAATATTGAAACTTGACAATTATTCAAAATAGATTTGATTGCGAGACCTCTTAAAAGAACATAACTTAAAGCAATATGAGAAATGTGATTTAAATGTGTGGATTTCTTTACATAAATCATTAGTCATAATACAGTACATTTATCGATTTAAAGTCAGTTTCACAAATAACTCACACATTGCAGAAAGATACATTTCAGGAATATTCAAAAATTATTGATAGAATTGCTTTTCTTAACCACAAGCATTCCTGGTATGACATTGATTTCTAACAGCTGTTCTAAGTTTGTGACAATCTCTGCATTTGAACAAACATTACCAATAAGCTCAATTAAAATGACATACAGCCTTTAAATGATATACTAAATGTAGCAGAGTTGATATTAACAAGAGGCTTTAACAACATAATATGTCGCTTGAAAGGTAAAGTGGTTATTGTTTTACCTGAGCAACTACACGATCACCCTATTGCTTAGATTAAAAGGCTGGCGGCTTTAAGATTGCCATGGTGTTTTGCTATTAAAAGCTGAGACATCAAACACATTGCTCTCTTAAAAATGTAATAAATTAGATAATATTTTTCATATTTTTATGATATGGTAGAATACATAGAACTTTTTTTCGGTAAAAAATGAAATCTTACCTTTTGTCCAATGGTGTACCAACCTCATCATCTTCAGGGACACTTCCTGGCTGTTTCTTTAGCTTCATCAGGTTCACCTTTGTCTCTAATGTCATCTGGAATCCCCCGCTATAAGCAAGGTCAAGGTCAATCCAAAGACCCTGCTCATCTATATAAGGCTTGGACATTCGTCGTATAATTGGCATTTCGTGACCAAGGTTGATATCTGTTACTAGGAGCTTGTCAATAAAAAATGGTAGCTGAAAATAGGAAAATTAGCACTAATCAGAAATATAAATCGTGACTATGGAAATTACCATTTTAAACATTTTTTTACCCAAAAATCTTAATAAAAGCTGGTAGATCTGAAAAGCTGAAAATGTCAACTTTCCAATTGTACCAACTTTTTGAAATCCAACTATTCTTACACTGATATACATGGTGATCACAAACTACAGACTTTCTGTCTAAGTCTCTTATTGGTAGAAGTTTGTGTCTTGTTCATGAAATGTTAAATGAAACAAGTTCTTCCAGGAAATGTAAAACACGTCTTTCTATGTTAAAAATGATGGTAATTTTGGGCCAGTACAGAGTATTCCACATACACAAGTTCTACTGTATCTACATACATAGGCACATTTACTCAATTTTGTTCACAAGACTTTATATAGAGTGATAACAAATGCAAAATGGAGTCATGTTTTGTTCACTAGATCCAGGTATTAAAGCCATGTGAGCTAATAAAAACGTAATGAGGTAATCGAAATTATAACTGTTATCAATCACCATTGAGAAATTAAAGCTGTGATATTATGAATGTAACCAGAGTATTCTCAATTTATTTTACTTCACTACTAATACAATAACAATCAATCTGTAGTAATCTGTTGCATTAGATGTTATGGTGACACTTCTTAATGATAAAAAATCAATGATATTGGTTGGTTGGATGTTGGTATTTGTTTGAATGGATATACGAGTTGCAGTTACATCACTGAGGTGGCATCTTCATGACATTTATAATAAGTTTAATTCTAGTTTCATATAAAAATGTACAGTAAAATCTGCAAAGTGGAACACCTCTGTTAGTGGAACATTATTCAGACTACCAAGACCAATTGACTTAATGTTCAATTAACTTCTATAAGTGGAACACCTCCCAAATTAGTATTTTAAACATTTTTTACCCCAAAATCTTAACAAAAGCTGGTAGATCCAAAAAGCTGAAAATCTCAGCTTTCCAATAGTACCAACTTTTTTGAAGTCCAACTATTCTTACACTGATATACATGGTGATCGCAAATTGCAGACTTTCTGTCCGAGTCTCTCATAGGTAGAAGTTTGTGTCTTGTTCATATCTACATATGATAGGCACATTTACTCAATGTTGTTCACAAGACTTGATATAGAGTGATAACAGATGCAAAATGGAGTCATGTTTTGTTCACTAGATCCAGGTATTAAAGCCATGTGAGCTAATAAAAACGTAATGAGGTAATCGAAATTATAACTGTTATCAATCACTGTTGAAAATTATAGCTGTGATATTATAAATGTAACCAGAGAATTCTCAATTTATTCTACTTCATTAATAACTACTTATAAAATAACAATCAATTTGTAGTAATCTGTTGCATTAGATGTTATGGTGACACTTCTTAATGATAAAAATCAATGATATTGGTTGGATGTTGGTATTTGTTTGAATGGATATATATTTGCAGTTGCGTCAGCGTCACTGAGGTGGCATCTTCGTGATTTTCATGCTTAGCTTAATTCTAGTTTCATATGAAAATGTACAGTAAAATCTGCAAAATAGAACACCTCTAGAGGAAGAACACCTCTGTTAGTGGAACACTTTTCAGACTACCAAGACCAACTGACTTAATGTTCAATTAACCTCTATAAGTGGAACACCTCAGCAACGGCGCCCGGCCGATGAGTATTCTGTTCAAAATTGAATACAATTTTGAACAAAATACTCAATCGGCCAGGCGCCGTAGTAAAAATCGGAGCAAATGTGACCACAGCATAAGGAACACCTACCCTTTGGATAACATTTGACTTTGGATCTCGACATGATGAATTTGTCAATATGACACTTTAAATAAAAAAAATCTTTGATCTACCCTTTCCCATCAGAAAAGGCATTAACATTGAAAATGTCACCACCTGCCATTGTTTCTCTGAATGCCAACAACTTAAGTGGTTGTGCCATAAAAACCACATTAAAAAGAGGCAGAAATTAAAACTTATTCAGAAAAGAATTATATTAAAATATACAACACACTAAACTAGAAAAACAGCAACTCCCAAGTAGCAAATCCCACCGAACAAAATATGTTTTGACAAAAAAAATTGAGCCAAATTCATCCACTGGTATTTGAATTATCAAAGATTATGTCTTTATGAAACATGGTTGCCATTTTGAAATTCAGCTGTCATCTTTAGATTTCTTCTTTAGCAGAGAATGTCCGTCCAATGGTATCTGGGTTATCAAAGATTACTTTTTTAATGAAAAATGGCAGCCATTTTGAAATTGAGCTATTGACTTTGAAATTTCTTCTGAAGCAGATCTCATTTTTCCCTAAACATCAGCATATAAAATTGGAACCAAATCCATCAACTAGTATTTGAGTTATCATTAATTACGTTTTTTACGAAAAATGGCGGCCATTTTGAAATTCAGTGGCCATCTTGAAAATTTATTTTTGAGCAGAACTTCTTTGTCTCTAGGCATCAGCATATAGAATTTGAACCAAATCCGTCAACTGGTATTTGAGTTATCAAAGGTTACGTTCTTTTATGAAAAATGGTGGCCATTTTGAATTTAGCTACAACCTTGAACATCCCTTCTTGAGCAGAGCTCCTATGTCCCTAGGCATCAGCATCTAAAATTTAAACCAAATCCATTCAATGGTATTTGAGTTATCAAAGATAACGTTTTTTACGAAAAATGGCCGCCATTTTGAAATTTAGCTGCCATCTTGAAAATCCTTTCTCGAGCAGAGCTCCTATGTCCCTAGGCATCAGCATCTAAAATTTGAACCAAATCCATTCAATGGTCTTTGAGTTATCAAAGATAACGTTTTTTTACGAAAAATGGCCACCATTTTGAAATTTGGTGGCCATCTTGACAATGTCTTCTTGAGCAAGGCTCCTTTGCACCAAGGCAACAGCATATAAAATTTGAACCAAATCCATCCACTAATATTTGAGTTATTAAAGATTATATTTTTTCCGAAAATTGGCCGCCATTTTGAATTAAGCAGCCACATTGAAGATTCCTTCTCGAGAAGAGGTCCTACACCCATAAGGCATAAGCCTATAAAATTTGAATGAAATCCATCAACCGGTATTTGAGTTATTCCCCGGACACACGAACGGACGGACGAACGGACGGACGAATGGATGGACGAATGGACGGACGGACGGACGGACGAACGGACGAACGAACGAACGAACAGACGGACGGACGGACGGCTTTTCTATATCCCCCTCGAACTTCGTTCGGTGGGATAACATTATGGACACTTAGATAGGAACATACCACTTTACTGTACATGATCTATTAGCACTGGATTAGCACAAAGCTAAACAATTCATCATGAGCAATACTTCTAAGAAGACCTTTCACTTTTAACATGTATAAAAGAAAGGATACTCCAGGATAATGCTTATCACTATGGAGACCTAATATTAATCAAATAACAAGGCACAGACGTGAACAATATCGTACCTAAAACACAGCATTGTGGTCTTGTTGACCAAGAAAGCAAGATGGCCGCAGAAAAGTTAATCAGCTCTAGAACTTATCACTGTGTAACATATGTAAAAATTTGAACGGTTTGGCTGGAAACCTGTAGATAAGCCTCGATAGACAAGATTTTAGGACGGAAAATCCAAAATGGCCACCTTAAAATTTACCCAGAATTCCCAAAAACCAATCAGTTCTTGACGTTGATATGTAGAAACATCCCTGAAAATTTCAGATGAATCCCTCAAATGGTTTGGCTGAAAATCTGTAGACAAGTCTTGAAAGTGAAGATTTTAGGACAGAAAATCCAAAATGGCCACCTTAAAATTTAACCAGAATGCCCAAAAACTAATCAGTTCTTGACGTTGATATGTAGAAACATCCCTGAAAATTTCAGATGAATCCCTCAAAAGGTCTGGCTGGAAACCTGTAGACAAGTCTTGAAAGTAAAGATTTTAGGACGGAAAATCCAAAATGGCCACCTTAAAATTTACCCAGAATGCCCAAAAACTAATCAGTTCTTGACGTTGATATGTAGCAACATCCCTGAAAATTTCAGATGAATCCCTCAAATGGTTTGGCTGAAAACCTGTAGACAAGTCTTGAAAGTGAAAATTTTAGGACGGAAAATCCAAAATGGCCACCTTAAAATTTACCCAGAATGCCCAAAAACTAATCAGTTCTTGATGTTGATATGTAGAAACATCCCTGAAAATTTCAGATGAATCCCTCAAATGGTTTGGCTGGAAACCTGTAGACAAGTCTTGAAAGTGAAGATTTTAGGACGGAAAATCCAAAATGGCCACCTTAAGATTTACCCAGAATGCCCAAAAACTAATCAGTTCTTGACGTTGATATGTAGAAACATCCCTGAAAATTTCAGATGAATCCCTGAAATGATTTGGCTGGAAACCTGTAGACAAGCTGAAAAGTGAGACGCCGCCCGCCCGCCCGCCCACCCTCTGCCCGTCAAGCTGACTACAATATCGTACCTCTTGTTAGGTACGATAAAAAGCATTGAAATATATTGGATATATACAGAACTTGAATTGAAAAGTCATGCAACTTGCCAAATTAATGTAACTTTCATGTTTTTTTCGAATGGTATCCCACACTTGATTAAATTTGTCATTAGTTTTGTGATAAAGGAGTGTTACAAATAGAGGATGAGACCTGAACAAATGAGCGTAAAAATGGACCAACTAACCGATCAACCAAACAACCAACCAACCAATCAATTAAACAAACAAACAACCAACCAAGCAACCAACCAAACAACCAACTAGCCGACCGATCAAACAAACAAACCAACCTCTCAATTAAACAAACAACAAAATAAACAACAAACCAAACAACCAGCCAAAAGACCAGCTAAATAACCAATCAACCAACCAGCCAGCCAACCAAACCAACCAAACAACCAATCAACCTACACAACCTTCTCAGTGCCTTGATATTCAGTATTTCAAGAAAAACAAGAATAATACCCTCAAGGGTCTCATATCCAATTCCATAAAATAATGAAGATATAATAAATATGTTTGTCTCTGATGACATCACTGACTTATGACATGGTGAGAAATAATGAGAAATTTTCCAATTATCTCGCTAAATTTATAGCCCTTTGAATGTCAAAGTGATCGTGTTACTTTCGAAATAGCAATGAAAATACTCAGTAAAGGGAATAACAAGGAAATTATGTTATTCAGGAAATTATCTGAAATATTTCAGACTAAACAGGATTCTAAAATTGCTAAGTCAGGATATTTATCTTTTAAGAGATCACAAGATGAATGGAATTAATATAGCTGATTTTGTTATTGAAGAATTTTTGATCAACAATATTCTCAACACAAAGCATTTTTATGTTCAAGTCTGATTTCCCATATTCTCAATTATACATATCAGCCCCATAGTCAAGATCAGCCTAAATATTTTTTTAAATATTGTTTTTAAAAATATTTTTTGACAAAATCCTTTATAATCCATTAAGACAAAATTTCACTACCTGCCATTTGCTACAGATGCTGACCACTGAACACCAATTGCTTAACACCATTCACAAAATATACTAAAAGATGTTAATACTGTATACAGCTATGCTGTCTTATATTACTGGTAGATCCAACCTCATTATGAAAAAGTGATGAGATCAGAAGATTAGAAGCAAAACCCAGATCACCAATTCATTTTATAGAATATGCCATTTGGAAATAATTGACCCATTTATTTGTTGATTATATTCTCAAATGTGTGATTTGTCAAAGTACAGTTTATACATATGATTTATCGATGATTTGAAAAGAGGTCAATTCCAAGATACAGTATTAAACAGAAATGCAAATAAAACAATGAAATAAAGTAAAATTCTTTGTCAAAAGAAACTGAAAAATGTCTAGAATAATTGACAGATCCACTATATGTTGAGAATTACAGTTAAGACCAACACAATCTGGTACAAATGGCCTGCGGCAAATACTGGATACAGTTATGTATACAGATATAGACTGTGTTACATTAAAATGTGACCCTTAACCACAATGGTGTCTTTAACGGGCACTAAAGCGGCTTATGATTCTGTATGTGGATAGGAATCAATACATATCTGATTGTATTTCTAATATTCTGTAGACATATTCTCTGATGGCATTTTCTAAATATATCTAATTATCATGATTCATGATTAGTATTATATGATCATCATTCATGGGAATCTATTAGATTATATTGATCACATTAGGCAACTCAAGTAATTTCCATTAAGGCCTTTAATTGCTTTCGACCTCAACATTGAAGATCTATGCAGAAATTGCTGCAATTTTTACAAGTCAAAAAATGAATTTGACCAATGACCAGAAGGATTCATTTTTATTTCAAATGTGGGCAAAGTTTGGCCTTCATTACTTCCTTTGATCTAGAAGTCCCATTTTAATATTGACACTTCAACCTTTCTGTGACATCATTGTTTCAACAATGTTTTTTCTTGCAAATCATATTTCATACTTACATGGATCTTGTCAAGCTTCCTGATTATCTTATCCTTCATTTTCTCCTGCCAGTAGCCGTCACGAAGAAAGTCCCAGAATGTTCTATAAATAAGAGCATTGAAGCAGAACATGTTAGGTTCACAGCCAAGCATCTGCGCCTTCCATTCACTGAGCACTTTGGATTCATCAGACGGCATCACTTTCGACATATACCTTAGATATTCTGTCAGGAGCTTATTTGGATCCTCGGGGGCAGGAGGTATCTTGTTTTCAACTTCAAGTGTCTCTTCCGTACCTCCAGAACCTACCGAGGTGGTAGAATCTGTAGAACCTTGCCGCTTATGCTTATATGGTGTTGCATGGTTGAACCGAGGATCTGAATGACTAGTATGCATGAAAGACAGCTGTTTTAAAGATGGAAGACATGTAGGAAGAGGTGAACTCATAGAGGCTGCCTCAAGCCTCCTATACCATAATTCTTTCTCTCGACCAGTTCGGGCAAATAAATACAATGTCACATCAGTTCTGGAAGCATCATTATTTTCATCACTGTCAACAGATGTACCCTGATGTGAGGGCACCACTGGTATTGTTAAAACAATCGGGTATTTCTTACTCCAGATTCGCTTTTTTACTAAACCGGGTGGCAATAAAGTAATTTTTGAATTTTTTAAATCATAAAATCGTTGATGAATAAACACTGGGTTGTAATGTTCCTCATCCCACATTGCACGTTTTGGGACATTGTGACGCGGGCGCTGGAGTCGGAGGGCAGTGCCCTCTATTGAGACAAAAACAGAGTTGGTTTGATTGATGTGGTAATCCTCCATTGTATAGCTGGACAGCTCATTCATCCATCCCTGGAAATACAAAAAGACATATTACATTGAACATCATATTTTAAAAAGAAAAATAAATGGGGAGGAAAAGTCAATTATATTTGCAAGACTAGTGATAAAAGTAAACCCTGATGCACAATTGGTCTACTGACTGTAAACAAATAATTTTACATCTTTGAATGCTAATTAGCACAAGGTATCAAGGTGCAAAATGTCACCACCTGCCATTTGTTACAGATGCTGAATTATGACCCCAAAATGGCAAACACTGTCTACAAAAAAGTTACAACATTAACAATATTTCATCACTTCTGGTGATATAACAAGACTGAATATGATGTGAATATGACATGAATTAGCAGTGTTAAGCAGTAATGGTGACATTATTTTCTAACCACATTATACTGATTTGATACAGATTTAAATAAAATTTTGTTGTCTCTAAATGGCGAAAATGAAGTTCTTGCAAACAGAATCCTTTTTCCAAATCAACATTTTTACGACATGTATACATCATTTATAACCACAAAGTATTGACTATTGATATTTGTCTAATCATATGATACAATATGTCAATAAAAGTTATATTCTCCATGATCATTGCCAGAGCTTCAACACTAAATCCTTCTATAAACACAGTACATGACTGACAATTCTAGAACCAAAGATGACTGACAATTCTAGAACCAAAGAGAGAGTGATTTTCTTGCAAGTTGCTTGCACTTTTTTTGGACAGATTGTCTCTTGAAAGCCCATGTTACAACCAATGACATCATCAATAAAGCCAATATATCCTTGCTTCTTTGAAATACCAAAAGGTGGCAGAGTTTATCATAATGGTCTATTACCTTCAGTTTGTTTTAGGCAAAACCTAATAATTACACCATAGGATATTCCTGCATTCTGACATAAATCAGCCCTGCAAACTTAATACAGAAACCTAAATCAGCCCTGTAAACTTAACACAAAATGGGCATTCTAGAGAAAACTACTATAGCATAAATATAGTCAGTATTAACATAGTGTGTATGTATGTTTATAAAATGATAAATAAAAAACATAATGTTTAAATATGAAGCCTTACGGATGAGGTTATTTGTCAACTAAAATACACAAAAGAAACTATTTTTTGCAGTTAAAACTAACCTAACCTTTAGCCATTAAATAATGTTTATATATAAAAAATGTGACATTTTCTCCAAATCAAAAAGAAAAGTTCAAGGATGTAGTTAACTATAAATAGCATTATATTTAACAACCTAAATTACGCAGTTTGGAGTATGATGGTCTTTTTTAGGCAAAGCAATGATAATGACATTGAATATTCATACACTCCCAATCAGCATTCTGAAATCTTGGTACCCTATGGTACTGTTCAAGTATGGTGCTGTTCAAGTATGGTACTGTTCAATGTTAACGGTACTGTATCGGTACTGCTTTAGTCTACAGTACCGTACAATACCACATTTTACGGAAATGTACAGTACTGTAGCCAAAACAGTAATATACTGTACTTTAAGAGACTGGATTGAAAAAAAACTTTGAAATGATAAATTAACATAAAGAAGTTCGATAATTGCTTTTAAAACAAAATACAAAAATCTGACAAGAGTTGAAGTGTTTTAAGAAACTAAACAGGAGTTCCTATTATTATTGAATATTGTGAGCACGCAAATATTCTTATTGTTCATATTGTTACTTTGATTACAGTACTGAGGAAACTGGAAATCAGATAAAGACATTGATGACTGTAATTAAATATCAATAAATATTCTCTAGTAACAACCCTGGATAACTTAGTGCATAAAGGGTACATAATAAAATCATTTGGAATTGTTTTTGCAGCTAATTCAATTTGGTCACATATGCAGGGGCGGATCCGGGAACCAACAAGGGGGGGGGGGCCAATTTTCAGGTCGGAGAAAAAAAACTTCCACGCTATAAACTATCAAAGGATATATGTATACATGAACTGAATGCTTTGCAATGACTGCATTTTGAGATATTCTGGTCAAATTAGGTAAAAGAAGGTTAAGACAAAATCCTATAGAGATACTGCACATATGACTTAAATTAAGCCATGGTTCTAGCATATATACATTTTTCTGAGAACGGTGACTCACAAGTATTCTGCACAACCAGCCAAAAGAGAAAGTAGAAGAATTTATTTTACTCTTCCCTTCAACCTTCAACAAATCAAAACCAATGCTTCACATGAAATAAAATTCCTGTAGATGTAGTCTAATATAAAAGCTGAGCATAGTTTTCTGCAAGGACAGAATCCAATCATGAATCCCAATAAAGGATCAGTCTGATCACAGAGATAGCCTAAGGTTAGAAATGAAAGTAGCTTATTTGGCTACAACCTAGTTTGATCAAATGGGTATCATTAACCCTTGAGTGTCTTCTTTGCAATTTTAATTCAACACAATTACTGACAGTCCAATTCTCATCATTCAGTATGATTTCATATGTTTTATAGGGGTTCATTCAGTTTTTAACCAGATATAATATAAACACGGAGCTTACTGTAAAACCAGTAAATAGGTTTTGAATAAGTATCATCTTACTTTCTCAATATTTCTTTACAGATCCATTTCATGAGGCTAGATTATTTCTATATCACATAGAATTTATAACGCAAATTACCAGTGTTCAGCCACTCAAAGTCTAGATGCAATGAAAGGTATTTATTACTTGAAGATGTATGCTCTCGTTCATCCTGCAGGTAATATACTTTAGATAAATCCCATAGAACTCATGTTAGACCTATAACTTGTAAGAGCATCTATCTGTTTTGAATGATATTTTGTAGACTATTTCACTGTTCGATGAATAAAAGTGTATAATGTATATGCCTTAATAAAAGAAGACGAGGCATTAGACATGCAAATATCACCACCTGCCATTTGTAACAGATGCTGTTAGCCAAACGCTGAATGCCGCAACCCGGGCCCCTCCCCCCAGATCCGCCATTGAGTGACCACTTGTATATAGTGGTGCAACTGCACTCAAAGGTAGTGCTGGAGATCTCTGATATTAGTGAAGAGGAAAGGATTCATTTAATGTTAATACAGAAAATGTTAAAGGCTTATGAGAGCTGCAAAATACATATCAGAAGTCTCATAAAGCAGGAATCAATTAAAAGCTTTCTCATTTCTAATATTTTCAATAAGGCCACTGACACCCCCAATCTATCATACCTTAGCACTTTTGACAATTTATGTAAAACATTTCATATAATAGTACAATAACGTCATTTCTAAGGGCAATATAGTGAAATATTGGACCGAGGGCCGAAGGTCCAATATTTCACTATATTGCTCGCAGAAATGACGTTATTAGTATTATTACCACCGTTAACGACCAGGGCTGAAATAGCAAGAAAATCTTACACACTGAACGATATCTAATTTCCCGGGAAAAAATTGCCACTCCAGAATATATTCTAGACCGGTCCATATGGACCACCACTATGACATCACACATTTCTCAGGTCGATATAGTAAAATGAATGCCTTCTAAACTAGCACTAAAACCCCTAGAACTGGCCCGGTAAGGTGGTAATAATGAGCATTATTACCACCTTACCGGGCCAGTTCTAGGGGTTTTAGTGCTAGTTTAGAAGGCGTTTATTTTACTATATCGACCTGAGAAATGTGTGACGTCATAGTGGTGGTCCATATGGACCAGTCTAGAATATATTCTGGACCGGCAATTTTCCCCGGGAAATTAGATATCGTTCAATGTGTAAGATTTTCTTGCTGTTTCAGTCCTGGTCGTTAACGGTGGTAATAATACTAATAACGTCATTTCTGCGAGCGATATAGTGAAATATTGGACCTTGGGCCTTCAGCCCTCGGTCCAATATTTCATTATATCGCCCTTAGAAATGACGTTTTTGTACTATTATATACGATGTATAGCAATAATTTTGAAAGATGCTGGTCCTCATCATGATACACCATGACATCTTATTTCTTCTCAGCCCTGAGATGTTTCAGGTGAAACAGAAAGATGCTATGAGTATCAGAATGGCTGGTCCTAGAAAACATAAAAGTCAAGCTGTAAGTCTCAACTTCTTGTGTAAATATCTCATTGATGTAATATTCATCATTATGTCATAAATTATCATTAAATCATATATGATCAAGTGCACTGAAAACGGTAGAGGATGGTACTAGCTAGCGTTAAACCTACAGTATTATGTACTACACTTCAAGCTAAAGATCAGTATGCGAGAGATAAGGCATATATAAAGTATATTGCTCATTCGTATTGATTTTTCAACATGATATTAGTTTGTATATGTCACTGCCAATGCCAGTGATGATACAAACAAGTTGATTTGTGAAAATGTTGTTGATGGCAAAGTTTTTAATGATGAAAACAGTGAGCCAACAGATTGCCTGTTTGCCATGGATGTTAGTCATGAGATTGCCTATCTGTCCACAGACTGGCACACTATCAAGGGTAACAAGCATCCTGGTTCAGTTGTCTATACATATTGAACCACTTTTAAAAAGGGCAATATAAAATTTTGACCAGTTTAGAAGTATTTGTCCAACTTTAGAAAAAAATTATCCAAATTTGGACAAATACTTCCAAACTGGTCATAGTTTTATAGTCAAAGCATTACTGATGAAATATCACCAAGCAATTTGTCTTCACACATTTTGAAATTACTGGACTAGTCTTTATTTATCTGACACAATTATTCAAACTTGAGGCCTTATTCGTACACTGCCTACAATGAAATATAGCCCACCCTCCTTCTCTGGTACATGGGGCAGATATCATTTACTTTATTCCATCAAGTAGATGATGTCTAAAACCCTATATTCTGAGGCGGATGTCTCTGGCACATAATAAAGTCTCTCCAATGAACATCTTCCCCTCTCAATTAATTAGCAACTCTCTCATGCTCTGCAATTGACATCTCAAGTAGAAACTTTCAGACATTTCAGAATTGGTCTATGGAAAACATATTTCCACTGACTCCATTGATTAACACATAATCAGAGCATGTCAACCTAGGTACATCATGATAAACCATGACATCTCATTTCTTCCCAGCCCTAATATGTTTCAGGTGAAACAGAAAGATGCTATGAGAATCAGAATGACCTGTATATCAATTTTGTACTTTTTCAGCGGCAAAAATTACTGATCCGTTGTATGATGACCCATATCTACTGAATATATTATTACTGAGCACATGTCCTTATATGCAAGTAGGTCCTGCACCCAGTTGAAGTTTTGAAAGTAGGCTTGCACCCTCAAAATCAAATTGCACCTATTTGAAGATGAGAAAAAAATCTTGAAAAGAAGGCGTATTTTGACCAAGGGTCATGAATTCTACTATGTTACCTGCTAAAATGAGATTATTACTATTATCATCACCTATTGAAAACTAAGTGTAAACTTGGATAATGACCACTATGGCTCACCACAATTACTAAAGTCAATATAGTAAAATATATGAGCCTTCTAAACAAGTACTAATATTCCAAGAACAGCCGGTCGCAAAATGTTGATAATATGCAACATCGTGTACTCCTAAGCAATATCATGACTTGCTTTTCTACGCCAAGATTTAGAAAGATACAAGAAATAAGTAAAAGTTAATTAAAGAGAGAATCAGATATAGCGAGCAGGCTAAACAAAAAATTGTTCCAATTTTAGAATATTTTGGGTTCATGTCATTCCTTGTCATGTCTATTTTCTAAAAATCACAAAAGTGCATACTTTATTCCAGGAAAACTAAAACATTTTACATTAATGTATCATTTTTCTATAAGAATGGTTACCATTCTTATTATTTGGGAGAATTTAAACATTTATCACTCATTTTTGCACTTTGAATCATTAATAACTTCACCAATTTATAACATATCGTGAATCTTTTGGGAGATATTGTATTTGATATTGTAAGGAATAGATTGGTTGGTCAATTATACATGTTGCTTGTAATTTTGTCACCCCCTATAGATCAGATTCTGCCGTTAAATATCTCACTGATAGGAAGTAATCAGATAATACATGGTGAAAATTTTGCATGAAACAAACAGGTAGTAAATAAGGTAAACTGTGGGTTATCTCCTCCAGTGGGAATTCAAGCTAAAAGGACACATGTTCTACAAGGAAGAAAAACATAATGTTATCATCACTAGATAACTCTGTAACCAGGACAACTGAGTTATGGTCACATAAATTAATAAATCATAACTTGGTTCAGGACCTTTTGTGTAATCAAATGATTTGATAAATAGAAATCCTGGTTGACTAGTCTCCTCGAAAAATTCTGCTAACCATTGTATTAACCTGTATACCATATTGTACTTTATAATTGTACGGCATCATTGTACAACATTTGTAACAAACACAGTTCACAATCTTTACACTGTACATGATTCACTAAATGTTAAGAGCTAATCAAGAGCATTTAGTCAGGTGACAATTACAGGTATTGATAACATCACATTAACCTTTAACATTTCTAATCAAATTACAAACAAAAAATATATATGTGAGGAGTGATTCAGAAATAATGAGTTTTTTTGAGGCAGTATTTCTCTCACAACTTATGAATCACCCCTCGTATGTATTTTATCAAACTATTTCACCACATAGATCTATCATTTATGCATTGCTATATGACTGTATTCATAATTAAAATTAAACCATATTTGAACTTTGGAACAACACCAGATCTTTCTCTGATTAGAATCTAAAACATTGATGCCATGCACCATAATTTTTACCATTTTTACAAGACCTAATTACGACTATTTCCCTCAGACCTTTATACTCAATTGGGCAAGTAGATACTACAAAAGGGAGAACTTATCCTCAGAGGACCACAATTCTTCATATTGGTGTATAGATTCTCATGAAAAGGGTTAAGTCAAGGAATCAGTTATACAATAGAACTAATAAAAGAAAATTGGAGAGAAATTGAATCGAATCAAATATGCAGTCTTGGCATCTTGACATCGTTTACTTGACAGATAACCCAGAGATAGCTAAATAAGCCCATGCTCCACCAATCATCAATGACAGAATAATTCAGCTAATGTATTTATGAACATCAAAGAGCCCAAATCAAATTTCCCAGTAAGGCAATTTCTTCCTGATTATGTGATATAAGTCATTCAACAGGATGACCGGAGACACTGAAAAATACAAGATCATTTTGTTGGGCTTGAATAATGGAAGATTCGCTGAACGAAAATTGAGACAAAAGAGACGTACATCGAGTTCTCCTCTACAGAGGCTTATTCTCTCTATCACGAGAGGGAGAGGGTGACAGGGTGAGGGGAAAACTTACACAAAATTTGGCGAGTACAAGAGAATGTAAAACCCATCAAACTAAGAACATGGTTCAATACTAAGGTTAAAAACATGAATGCCACAATTCCCCATGAATATGGTATTCTTTTCTACTTTCTAATAGGCAACCAGTTTTCAGAGTCTTTTGCCATGAGTAATAAAACATCAGCATTGGCACTCAGGCAGCTGTGAGATTTGAGCCCAGTCTTAGATACACCAAGTTTCCAATATCATTGTTTCAAATCCTCTTTCAAATATGAGGGCAACAAATGACAAACGAAAAATATTCTTGAGTCATAATTATTTCTCATATATGGCACTTTCATTTTGTTTCTTAGCAAGCTAAAACTATATGAAAAAGGAAATACTTAGTAATGTAGCTGCCTAAATATGTTTAAGATTCCTCAAAAGACATCAATTAGAAAAACATACTGCCAAATAGACAAGAAATCAATTGCCAATTACACTTCCAAGTGCTGAATTACTGAAGTTGGTTTGTTTGAGAATCATGGTGGTGAGACGATTGAAAGTGACACACAAGCTGTTTCTATAATTTTCTGAATAGTTAAAATTCATAGCTCCAATTCCAAATCCATACACTTGGGACAACTCTTTTATTCATTAAAAAACCTGGGAAAGCTTTTCAGATTTACAAAAACATGTTTTGTTATCTAATTAAAGAGTAAAATCTGTTAGAAATTAAATTAAAATATTGGGGCTCACCTTAAATTTTCCATCATTATTCTTGGCATGTTTCATCTCAGGAACTTGAAGGGGAGGCAGGGTTCTAAGATCTGGAAGTTCGTACTTCTCCTTAGGGGTGGAAGCTTGATTCAGCCATGCATGAATGCACCAGGCACACCAAACCAAAAAGGCACCAAATATTGCACCAGACAGGAATGTTGGGAATGGTACGATATAATAGACAAATAAACATATCACAACACCTATGGCTTTTTGTATTGGAACTGCTTGCGGTAAATCTGTATTTTCTTTTTTTACGTCAATCTCTTTCGGAATGTCTGGTTTTGGCACATCCTGTTTTAGACCTGAATCTAATTCATAAAAAACTTCTCCAGTTTCTTCCATACTTTCTTGAGATGTCAAAGAAGACATTGAAATTTCAGTTCTCACGGGAGTTTTAAATTTAGAAATATGGTCTCCACTGTAAGATCGTTTATGTAAAGTGGACTCCTTAGTATCAGTGGCGAAGAAATCATCCACTATTTCAAATGATTTCTCTACATCAGTGAATGAACTGAAACTGTCGTGACCACTTGATTCAAATGACAGAGCTCGAGTTTTTTTCAGTGGTTTTTCAATGTTACCTTTTATTGAAGGATGGTCTATATCCACAGACTGTGCTTTAGAGATAGGAGGAGCCTTTACTGCAGTTTCAAAATCTTTTTGTTGATCAGAATTTGTTTTTTCCTCTTCCGGGCTTGAACTTGAATCTCCAGAAATTTCTTCTAATTTCTTAGTTATGACACTATAAAGGGGTGCATCAGTGATCCGTTCTTTGATTCCATCGAAGAAAGATTTCTCCTCTTTTTCTGGAGAGCTCCCTTTGGATTCCTTTGCAATCAGATCATCTGATTCGGATGCAGCAGTGGCTATTTCGATCAAACCAGGGGTTTCTGTGTTAAAATCATCAACATCATCCTCATATGCTGCTGCATTGAATCTGATTGTCATTGAGGACAAACTGCTACTTTTTTTGTCACTTGAAATTTTTGGAGCAGGAGGTCGTGGTGGAGTGCCTCGTTTTGACATTGTTGACCTTGAGTGAGGGCTGCACTGGATTACATATAAGGCATCACAAGTATGAGCTCCTAGTTATTCGATTTTGGACTCCATTTTCCAGGAAATGTAGCCCTATAAAAACAAGTACATTGACTTAGTTATATATGAATAAACCTACACTTAGTGTGTAAGCCATTTTCAATGGTTTTTACTCGCAGTGAGTAGTAAATATTCCATTAGAGACTATATGTAGGGTATGAGAGTACTTCGCACTGAACATGCCTTTTCTCTGAGCATGGACTCTATTGAAAGCCCATGCTCCTACATGTAGCGTTACTGGCCAAACAGAAGTGAAGATGAACTGCAAATGATTCAAAATATCAAACTGAGATGTAAACAACAGAGGTGTGCCTTCTGTATTTTTCAGAAGATTTTCAGATGGCATGGTATTGTTACTCATGTTTCATATTAATACATATTATGTAAACCTTCAGTTCATATGAAGAGGGGGAGAAACCCCAGGGTTCAAAGATGACGTACATTTATGATGCAAATCTGTATTGAGAGATGACCTGATCCTGATTGGTCCAAATCCAAATGGTGGATTCGAATTTCTCTAATAACGCTTTGAATAATATTATATGTTAATTTCTGGCGTGTTAACCAATATCATAGCTTGTTATGGGCTTTCAAGAGAAGGGTATGCAACTCTGTGTTATATACATCAGAACTTCAAATGAGCAGTGCCATGCTTCCCTTTTTATGATAATAATTCAAAAAGTATTAGATAATGTATATGTTTTAGTTATTATCTTTAATTAAAATCAATTTGTAATATGATTAAAGCATAAACCGTGTTTAATCTTATGTAAAAGTAAACAAAAAAGACCAATAAGAAAACGAGGTATCAAAATGTTTGAAAGCCCATGTTTTTTCACATCAAGATAAACAAAGATGGATTATGCTCACAATGAGATTTACTCACTTCGAGAGCCATGTTAGATTTTAAAACTTATGGCTCTCCAACGGAGAAATGGACAACTGTATAATAGTGACCTCTGAAACACGAATTAAGTTGATCAGGGGCTTACTTTTGTTCTCTAACTACATTATCATCCTTCCGTGCAAGTATTGGAGCGCTGAAGTACTTCCTTTTCGATCAAGACTTGTAATTGTTAGTCGAGTGAATGTTTTTTCTGCCAAATTCCAATATGGCGTTTTCTGCTTGGACATTTTCGTAAATCTCCGGAGGTTGACCGAACCTAACTCATTCTCAAAATTAATTTTGTTCATTGTGTATCTCGCTCCTAGCAAACCGCCATATTGGAAATGGGTCGAAAAAACATTCACTCGATGAACAATTTACAAGTCTTGATCGAAAAAGAAGTATTTCAGCGCTCCAATACTTGCACGGATTGATGATACTGATGTAAGACATAGTTAGAGACCAAAAGTAAGCCCCGGATCTCATTATTTATGTTTTAAAGGTCACTGTTATTCAGCTGTCCAAGTGCGCTGTGGGAAAGTTATTATATCAAAATCCACATAGCTTTCGCAGGAAGTAAAACGAGATGTTATATTCGAAAACTAACTGATGAGAATTTGCACAAAGAAAGGTCGTACGCAAGAGACGTTAGGCTTTATGTCTGTCATCGCTAAAGTGGGTTTCGCTCTTTTTGTTCATATGTGAAAAATTTAGCTCTGACATCATAATCAGATTTTACAAAAACTTTGCCCAGATTGCAACTCTAATAGCAGCATCGTCAGAAACTGAATCTATTTCAAAATTAACAAACATGGAAACATGATATTCAAATACAAGGAAATGTTATGCTTACCTATCTTACCTCACTCTATACACTAACAAACTCAAAATGATCCAAAAATGAAAATTTATGACTGCTGTTTATTTTTGAGGAAGTGAATAAAAGTAGCCAATCAACAGCCTTGTAACAAAACTTCATTTTCAATTAATTCATTAGCTAATTAATAAATTTAGAATCACACCTTAAATGGGATTAATAGTATAACTAAGAGAATTATGATACCTAATTTAGCAAAAAAGTGTGTATGAATTTAATGTAGAGACTTGAAATAGATCACTTCCGCATTTTTTAAAGAAAAGTTGTTCTCACTTTGGATCTCTTTTTGTCTTGCAATTTGATATTATACCATGTCTTGGGGTGGTCAGGTAAGATGCAACATAATCATAGTCAATGTCTTTGCATAAATTGAATATATATTGCAACGTTACAAGCGATATAAGTGACGCAAAATATTTTTTTGAAATATGGTGGGTGATAATATGTGTTATTGTTAAGTAAATATGAGATGTGAATATATTCTAAGGCTGTATTATCAATAGATTAGAGAATCTATAGCCTAGAAGAACTTCTACTGTTCTAGTATCAATTCAATTGATAAAGCCTAATCCTGTGATAGAATATTCGATAACCCTTGTGCTTTGAACAGTGCCGTCATCAGAGGCCCAGGGAACATGTATACAAAATTGAGTCGACATTTGTATATAACTGTTGGTGACGCTGCACCTTTTTTAATTTAAAACTGAGAAGACTTACCATATTTTCCCTTGTTGTGCGCCTATTCAATTTAGCGATTCAATAGAGGAGTTTCTAAATAGCTTTGAAATCTCGCTAATTCTCGTTCTTACATGAGATTTTAAGAGATTTGCACTTTTTTCCTCAAATGAATTACTTTTTTTATTTTTGATAGCATATTTGGATTAAGTGACAAATTTTCTCCCAACAATAGCTTTGATTTACACAGTTATGTCATTTAAATCATTTTCCATGACATTTTAAAAAAACTTGGGCCAAATCTCCATTGGTGCAATGCTGAAATTCATTAAAACCTTGATTTATTCTTATGGCAACCAATAATTTCATGTTTAATCACAATGTGTACATTGACAGGGCCATCCAATAGTATTCCATTCGAGTTTCAGACAGCTATTCAACCAACACTTTTTGATAAATCATGAAATTAAGTGACTATTAAGTTTCTAGCATTGAAGTGGGTGGAGGTCTGGCCCTAGAAAATCAAAGAAAAGCAAGGGTGACATCTATTATGTAAGCATTTTTCTGCATGCTATTTAGAAACTATACAATTGTAAACTTTCTCTTGAAAAAATAAATCTTCCATATTTGTTGAATTTTCAAGTGAAAGTCAGCTACTCCCTCCTCCGTTCATTTCTTCCAATCACCGGGTGTGTTTTCAGGTCAATCAAATAACTATGAATATAAATAAAATTCAAATCTTGGAGATTGCTGAGATAATTTGAAATCATTTTATTTTTTGCAGCAAGGTTATGGAAGACCTGGAGCTCCACCACAAGGTCAGTATGGAGCTGCCCCTCCTGGCCAGTATGGGGCACCACCCGCTGGGCAGTATGGAGCGCCACCTGCTGGGCAATATGGGGCTCCCCCTCCTGGGCAGTATGGGGCACCACCTGCTGGGCAGTATGGAGCACCACCTCCTGGACAACATGGGGCTCCACCTCCTGGCCAGTATGGAGCACCCCCTGCTTGACAGCATGGAGCACCACCTGCTGGGCAGTATGGAGCACCCCCTGCTGGACAACATGGAGTGCCACCTGCTGGTCAATATGGAGCGCCACCTGCTGGACGATATGGGGCGCCCCCTCAGGGACAGTATGGAGCACCCCCTGCTGGACAATATGGAGCTCCTCCTGCTGGTCAATATGGAGCAAGTGCTCCTCCGCAAAATCAGTATGGAGCACAATCTGCACCATATGGAGCTAATCCAGAGCTTTGGCATTGGTTTCAGGTGAACACATAGATAAATATTGAAAAATGTTGAACACATAGATAAATACTGAAAAATGTTGAACCTTAGAGTGATTAATGCTGTTGGTGGCGCTATACTTGAAGGCCAGGGGGTCTAGTGAGAAAGGGTACAGTATATCTAAGCTTAAGTATAAGTACTCCGGGATGGTGCTAGTATTCAACATACCACTTCAGAGAGCAAATCTTTAGTCTCAGCTTCAACCATAAGGTGGCATTTTCACCTAAATTCATTAACATCATTGGTAAATCTTGAGAACTTATTGGTTCCATTGCACATATTAGGGAGTTTAAGCTTGCAATGTTTTTCACAACCTTAATGTGAACTGAAAATACTTAAGCGATGGATTTGTATGGGTGATTGGTCATACGGATAGGTTGGCGTTTTGATTTTATATGATATGCAAGCTTAAACTCCATATTAATTGATAAACCCTGACTTATATATTACATATTTTAATCAATGACAATACTATTCCATGTTTTCAGACAGTTGATGCTGACAGGTCAGGAAAGATAACTGCAATAGAATTGCAGCAAGCTTTGCTCAATGGCAATTGGTCACATTTTAACCCAGAGACGTGTCGCTTAATGATTGGGATGTTTGATAAAGATAGGTAGGTTGTTCACTTACTTTAATATGGTTTGTATTAGTACTATTTTATTTGGAGAACTTCTCCATCCAAACTTTTTGTTTATTGTAGCGTTAATTTGGAAGATCCATAGTAATTAGCTAATTTTACAATTGTTTGTCAAGTGTTTTTAGGCGATAAATGGGATACCATGGGCTTGAAAGCCCATGGGGATACTAAGAAGCAATGTCGGTTACAGTGGCTTATTAGATAAAATAAAGCAAAATATTACGAAGCAATAGAGATTAAGGTGCAGCATGTTGTTGTCCAACATGACATAGTAGTAGTTGAAATTTAATAGCTGCGAAATTGTGTTTTCTCGAAATTCGCGAAATTAAATCTCGCGAAATTATACGGGAGTACAGTATTTTTTTTATTTGTAGGAATGGTACCATAGATTTCAATGAATTCTCAGCACTCTGGAAATACATTCAAGAATGGAAAACAACTTTTGATAGGTAGGATAAGGCTTTTCTAATCAATTTAGCAGTTAATTTTGGTGAAAAAAAAAAGAAGTACCGTATTCTCTGTAATTAGCGCCCAGGGCGTTTAGAAAATTAAAAATACATTATTTAGACCATTCTAATAAGCGCCCATGTATGAAAGAAATCAGAAATCCCGAGGAATTTCATGTATCATGGCAATTTTTCTTGACAAGAATGCATTTTCTTCAACATATTTTTATAATAATATGACAAGTGCTGTTATTGGAGAGAATACGGTAAAGATCGCTTAGACAATATTGACAGTGGTTGAAGACCCGTCTATGTCTAATTTATTTCCGGCACGCCCACTTTGTCATTATCGCCGATTACCTTCAATATTTCCACTAGAGACTGCTGGATATCGATCTAAAGTTATACATTATTTCTAATTTGATGAGAGATCATCATTATTCGTGCAAAAGTCGTGTAAAAGTCGAGAAATATTAAAAAGAAACCAGAAAATTCACGACCTTGACATGCGCAGAACATCTGCGCAGTAGCTTTTGAAATTTCTGAATGCCGATAAAGAACAATTCCTTCATTCATTATGGACTATTTGGAGACAATATTAGCATGGTATGGTGTGGGAAGCACCCATCGATAGATATGTATCGAGAGGATGCATAGAATTACAAAACGCGTCGTGTTTACAGCAGTTTTAGGGTAAGTACTCTATTATCGCCCGCTCGTGAATTTTGAGAAATGTTTTTTTCCTGATATATTCTTCAATTCTTGTTGATTCCTCGATGTTTCTTGAACTTTGTGAAGCGGGGTGGGCGCTTATTAGAGAGTGGGCGCTAATTACAGAGAATACGGTAAATCTTATTAACTCAAAATGATAAAAACCTAAAGAGACAACAGGCAATTAAAGTTCAAGGTGCAACAATTAGTGCAGAGGGGCCATTCAACGTTCATGGACCAGTGTCTAGTTGAAAGCCCATGGTCAAGCCAAATATTGACCTGATAGCTCAGAAAAAGTAAAAATTTTCGAATTTTCTCTCTACAGTCCTTGTTGCCCCTTTAAGATTAGTGCCTCATAGTTAGATTTATTACTAGGGTAAATTAGTAGAACATTAATAGGGAATTCTTATTTGGTTTTCAGAAATTCTTGAAATAAAACGTTATATAAACCCTACAACCTACTGAGTTCTAAAGAGTCGAAATTCGTAAGTTTTATACTCTCCAGTGGCGTAGCATGGGTATTTTGTAAGTGAACGAGTGAGTGAGGGAAATGAACATGCTTTGAGGTGGATTCGGGGGATATCCCCAAGAAAATTTGAAAATGAGATTGCATTTGAAGGGTTCCGGGGCATTTTGAAATACGAAAATCCGACTATTATGAACTAATAAATGAATAATATGTAAATTATTGGGTATTTTTCCATTTTTAAAGTGTGGGGTAAATCAATATAAAGATCAACTGTTTTATGTGTAAATGATGCTACGCCATTGCTCACAGTGGTGTATGTAGTACAAAGGTTGAAGGGTTTTTAGACCATCCCAAATATATATATTTCTGTACCTCAGAGAGATTCCACGGTTTCTGGTATTGCTAGATGTTACTGAATAATATGATTTCATCAGCAGACAATTTGAAATACGGAGGCCTTGAATATTGTAATGTAAAACTTTAATTTTAGATTTGACAGGGATAGGTCTGGCAACATAGACTGTAATGAACTACAAACTGCCTTAAAATCATTTGGTTACAACATGTAAGTAAAGCACCAGATCTAAGCATGGCTTGAATATATTTTAGAAGCTTTCTTGTACATGTATATACATGTATGGTAAATTATAGTAGATAAAGAATCTTGAGTGTACATGTATAAGTGAGCAATCATTACATTTATTTACATTAAAATGTCCAAATAAGTTCTCATAAGTAATACCTTTGAGGTTTCAAAATCTGGACAAAAATTCTTGGAAAAATTCAAAACAGTCACCAATTTTTTTGCGTAAAAAAAGCAATTTTGGAGCCAAGTTCTGCGGTCATTGCTTCGATAATCAATTAGAATGTTCATTTGATCTCATATCTAATGTCAATGAGGTTTTGAAGTCAATGTGGCTGTCAACTGAAATGACCTCATCACGTTACCGCATCAACGCATATCAGTTATCTTATCATCTGTAAAACCAAAATCCCAATTAGCTTCCCTTAAGCAGTAGAAGATATCATTTGAACTGTGAAGCCTACGCATGGCATGAACAAATGATCATACTCCAAAGTTTTCATATCATATGTGCTTGATATAGTTCAAATTTTAAAGCATTACGTTAAGAATAAAGTTGTTTAATTCGATGAAACCTAAAAATATCGAAATTGACACATACTGTCCGTCATCTTTGATGCGAAGGTAACGTCCGTTGATAGTGATCATTAATTATTTATTTGTTAAATAAATTGTGCAAAATTCTTAAACTTTCTAATTATTTATTTGTTAAATAAATTGTGCAAAATTCTTAAACTTTCTTAGTAAAATGTCATGCTACAGTCCCTTCTCAAGACAAGACACTCCCATCCATGTAATGTTATATGAATGGTGTGACACTGAAACTGTACTTTATTTTTCAGATCACCTCAGATGTGTCAGCTCATGGTACGAGTATTTGATCGTGAACACAGAAATGTCATGAAGTTCGATGACTTTATCCAGTCGTGTGTGTTGCTTGCAAATCTTACAAATAAATTTCAAAAGAGAGATACAAACCGTAATGGCTGGGTAGAAATAGGTTATGAAGAGGTATGCAGAGCAAAAATATGTATTTGAAGATATTCTCTTCATGAATGCATTATTTAGCAAAGGATGTGTCTGGATATATGCCCTTTTGGTCCCTGAGTCAATGTATGTGAAATATGGTTTTTATTACTGTCCTACTTATATTTGACAAGTATATTCACTTTTTCCCGAGTTTTGATGCATAATTAACCCCCTGCTGAGAGTCAGAATAAGTATCTTAACAACAAAAAAATAGTCATTATCATAGAAAAAAACACCAATGGCAACATGTATGACATACAAAGAAGAAATAACTAAAGACCAATGAAGAAGTAAAAAGAAAATCATATTTTTGAAATATATTTAAGGATTAAAATTTTTTTCAAATTTTTGAATTTCCCGGCAGTTTAATTTGAAGGGGGGAAAACAAAATGGCTGCCATTTGATGTTAGTTTTTATGGTTTCTTTATTTTACTTTACAAAATTATCTACAAATGACAGGGCCGAGGCTGAAATCAGCATTATTGGCCCATTTGATGTAAGAAATATCAGAAAAAAAGTTGCTTCACTTTTAGTTTTCACAATGAGCACAGTTTTCCAGTTTAGGTTTAGACTGATTCTGACTCTTCATCACTCACATCAATCATGTATAGAGATTATAATAATAATAATAATTCAGTTTAGTCAATTTTTACAATAACATATTATAAAATTGAAACCAAAATGCTGTGCTCAGCATGAATTTGACTGAAATATGTGTAACTTCACCACCTGGGGGGTTCACTGTGTACAAAATTTGGCAGGGGTCCTAGGCTGAACCCTCAGATATCAATATATTCCCATACCAAAATGTCAAATTTGAATGTGTTCCCATACCAACCGATATAGTGCCCAAAAGCCATCCCAAATGCCCAAATATGAAACCAATGCCATACCAAATGTCAAAATATAGGACCAATGCCATACCAATGCCATGACTGGTCCAAAGTAGAATATTTCCTGGGAAAAAAAGCTATTTATTTATACTGAAGAAGGTCCCAAGAAGAAGGCAATCTTTGAGGAAAACAAACCAAAACAACCTCATATTAGGATATGTGTAACTGCTAGACCAATTCCATACCATAATTGTGAGATAACATATTTTCCATGACCATTCTCATACCAGAAAGTTGAAAAATCTGACCATTTCCATCCCTCAAAAGTTTAATGAGGGGGCATTCTCATACCACATCTTAAAATTTGGGTCCATTGCCATACCAAATGTCCAAAAAAAGGTACCCCATGTGCGCCGAGGGTCCCCGTCAAGGTTTATATACAGTGAACCCCCTGGGCTTCACCAACACAATTGAAGTCTCAAAACTGGATGCTCAGTAACTTTGAGTGACTATAATCCCTTGATTACCCAGATAAACACCAATTCACTTATCCAGAAATACCATTCAATGTCTATAGAAAGAAAGTAAGCAACGTTTTGGAGGATATGTTTCAAACTTTTTGTACAAATAATTCATTTAATATTTGCCATTGATTTTTTTTCAATTCTGACAAAGTGATATGCACTGTCTTTGATGCCAATATTCTTCATCAATTGTGATACAAATTGATATTTTTGTAATCTCAGAAGAAGGATAAGATATTGAAGTTTAATATTATGTGTGATTGAGTTGGTTTTTCAGACATTACAATTTTCAATATTTTCTAAGTCGATACCCAGACTCATTCCCAGACTCATCTAGTTGAAAGCCCATGGTAGTACATAAAAAAAACATTTTTTCAATTTTTCCAAAAATTGACCAGTCATGAAGAGTTTTTACCTAGACTGTCTAGATGCTCCAGTTAATTTGAAATTATGAGTACATGTTTATCCAATATTTTATACTTACATTTTATTTGAAACTATCAGTTTGTAGTAATGGCCCCTGTTCCATGCAGTTGTGCCATCTTTGTTTGGAAGTTATATGCTTACATGCTTGACAGTGCCATCTTTTTGTTTCCAGTTCCTCACCATGGCATTGGACCACTGATGTACTTTCTACACGGGCATTTGATAGATATTATGTTGGACTTCACGTTGCCTAGTGTATCAACAAAGAAACAAAGATCATTGTGATGATACACTCAATTGTGCAATCATCATCAGTTCCACATATTGTGATGTCATCAACTCTCATATAAATAAGATCAGAGAATAGACAGTGGTATTCAGTCACTGCTCTGTATAATATTAAGGACATATTACATTATTATGTACACCCTTGATGAGAAAGTTGGAAGAAACACTCACTACATTAAAGCATTAAGGATAGAATTGGATAAGTAAAGACCTCAAAATATAATAGACATGAACTGGCGATACCAAACAACGGGAATGACATCTTATGTGTATCATTGTTCCATATCTGTTTCCTATAGTTGAAATACATGTATATCACACCTGTCAGCTACTTCTAATCAATATCAAAAATGGATCACTTTGATCCATTTGTGATATTCCATTAAGAATGATTTTGTGTAACCTTCATTATAAATTATACAAATTGAAAATAATGCCTCAAAGGTATTTAATGGTATTTAGACCTTTTAACTGAATACCCTCTATAGATTGTATACATATATACATTGCACTTTGTAGTTTTGAGTTGATTCGTGCAATGAATTAATGAAACCATAGTTCTTATTATTTTAATTGTAAAATAAGATTAATGGGCCTTGCAGCCTCCATGTTTTCAGATGTTATTTTTGTAGGATATTTTATAATGTGGTTGTTGATAAAATATGTAAAGATTGGGCAATTTATCATGTGATAATCAGATTGTATATACCAGTAGTTTGTGCACAAAATTAACTTTTTTAAGCACCCATTATAGGAATATTGTAAGATTAGTGTGACAACTGTCACTAGCATTCACCATTATCTGAATGTTTTCCCATTTGATAGTCAAAATATTTTAAAGGGCATTGCCAAGATTTAATTCATTTCATTGCAAAATTTCTAATCTGCATTGATATTTAATTACCTGCATACAAGATTAAAAAGTCAACAAATCATCACCTTGAACATTTGAATCAGGCAGTTTGTATGTTTCTATATAAATCTCCCAAAGTAAAATATCAAGGGGTACTTTTTTCCCAACTAACTTATGTGCCTATTTAGTCCATGGAATTGTGTGTCTGTTTTCCTCCAAGCTGTCTGTATATATCTTTATAAATTACATGATTTAGTAATACATGTAGTTTTTTCCATGTTATTTTATTTAATTAAATCATTGGCTAAAAGTATCTAATTATTTGCACCTGAGATTAACATTCTAAATATCATACAGTAGTGGTATATTCATCTCAGATTTGTACATTATAAAGCTATAAATACTAGGCATAAATGTTTAAAATGCACGATTGAGAAATTATGTACATTTATTATAATGATATACATTTTACACTGTAGACTATCTATATTGTATAATTGAATAAATAAGCAATTGGAAAATAAGTTAGATTCTATATTCTTTATACTCTACTACTCTAGCATAGATGCGTAGATGCCTACATTGTATACTACTGTAGATACCCGTTTTAGTTTGACGGATTGGCGGATTCAGAAAATCTGCCAAATTAAAAATCTATCAAATTTCAGTTTGGAATTTTTGTCCAGTGCACTTCAGAAATTGAACTCCAGGGGCCCCTTTTCCTGTTAACATGTCATCAATTCTACATTATTCTAAACGAAATACAGAAAATGTCTTAGTAAACACCTGTCCTAATGACATAAACATCTACAAAAATTAAACTTCAGTCCTGAATCCGCCAAATTAAATAGCCACCAATATTTGAAATTGAGCAAATCCGCCAAATTAAGTAGCATCAAAATAAGTAATCAACAGTATGTGCCACACATTGGATGAGTATTAAACTCAATTTTCTCCATGACAGCAAGACATAGCAAAGAGGTCTCATCTAAGCCCTGGAGAACCCATAATATATTTATTTTGTTTTTAACACATCTACTTGGCACCAACCCCTCTGGTCCCTGGGATACCCTTTGATGCAGACGTCCTCAAACAGCTAAATATTATACTTAATTTCTTACATGAAAGTGATGGCCAACCTATAATGCCAATACGGCGATTGGTGGCCGAAAATGTGTTGACTTTACCTCAATAAAGTTTATACTATAAAAAAAGAAATTAAACTCATCAAAAGTATTGGCCAAGTTATTTATCAAGAGTCTAGACCCTATAATCTTGAAGAAACTTCTATCAGGGAATAAACTCTGCTTAAATCCCCTGCAATAGCATGAAAGCAGGCGAGAGTCTGGACTGCTTATAAAAGCCGGGTAGACAGGGCTGCCCCGACTATAGTGACTTTGACTATCAGAGTTTTGACTGTTATATTTGAAAAGTTATGCCAATTAAAAGATAATAATCATTTTCACAAAATGACAATTTATACGAATTTGCATTGGTCCAGGGTTTTGGGAATTGGTCCAAGGCTACAATTCCGCGACACATTCACTAATATGCTTTCTATGCTCCCCCCTCTATCCCATTATTTGTACCCTATATAAAATACATGTACATGTACCACCAAACCTTGTTTGTTTTCAAGGCAATGTGCTTTTGTTTACAACGGAAGTCATAGTAGTAGCGAAATGAATAAAATTTGTGACAAGGATTTTGATTGGTTATTGAAAATATTCAAAACCGGAAGCCGCGAAAATTGACAAAAATATTTTGCAAAGTTCGTTTTTATAACTGATATAACTAGTTATTTCGAAGAAGGTAAGTTGAATTAACTAACGTTAACTATTTCTTCGTTGATCAAGAATCGAATCGACACGCTTCTTAGTCCAATTAGCCCATAAATTTAATGAAAATTTGCTGTATAGCCCTTTTTTCAAAAATAAGCTTACAGTTGGGGACAAAAATAAATGACAGGTCGATTTTCGATCACCATTTCCTAATTATGGTGGTCTGAAAGCCCATAATTTCCAATATTGTCTAGATACATATCCCTTAAAATTTGTATATTTTACATTTTGTATAATCTCATCCACTGATGTATGGCCTCTTGTAAATTCTCTTATTTTTAACATGGGAAATCCTCACTTCAGCAAATCCACCTGTCATTTATTTATGTCCCCAACTGTACAAAAAATGAAAAGGCTAAGAAATTCTCCATCTAAAATGTCACTCGACTTTTTTGTGATTATGAGTCAAAGAAAGCATTCTTGAGTTTCAAATTGACTTCTGTGGTAACTTGAAACCATCTTCTAATTTATTCCACTGACCTTTTATTGTTTCTCCAAATATAATCTTTGAAAATCGGATTTTAAGGGTGTTAATCAGGGTAATTCTGTGCCATTTTATCAAAAATCTTGTTGCTATCTAGAAACGAGCAATTGTGATCTTGTTGTTACCTAGGAACGAGCAACTGTGATGTCACGTCACACTCATGTTAATTCTGGAATCACATGGCAGCCATTTTGGAAATTTCAAAAAAGTTCCCAATTAAAAAGGCTAAATGCTGTTTACAAATTGGAAACTATGGCAGAATCAACAAAGGGTTTGTGAAATAATTAGGATATGGTTTCAAAATTATGCACATGACAATATATGACTACTAAATGCAGGCAGGGACTTTTAATTGCCAAAAAGTCGAGTGACATTTTAGATGGAGAATTTCTTAGTCTACTTAAAATAATCTGGATTTACTTAGAGTCCATTTCACTGCTTCAGTTCGTCAGTAGAACGGCAAAAATAAGAAATTGGGAGACCATTGTGCAATAATATATGGAAAAGTATATTCATAATGTACATGAATGACATTTGTATATTTCAGATTTTTTAGTTTTTTGTGCAATAAGCCTGTGTCGTCTTGTAATTTGAAGAATTTCAGCCATGTTAATCTTATTGAAAATAACATGGCAGAGAAACATCCAAATATAAGAGGCCACACACTTTATAAGCCAAACTAGAAGCAATCCAAGATATACAAATGTCATTCATGTACATTATGAATATACTTTTCCATATATTATTGCACAATGGTCTCCCAATTTCTTATTTTTGCCGTTCTACTGACGAACTGAAGCAGTGAAATGGACTCTAGGTCCAAAGCACTCTCTATACTCCGGCTTTGAGTGATTGTTTACAGCCGCCCCGATATTCAATATTTGTAAATCATGGTGGCACACGCACAGTTGTTATGGCACAATTATATGACACATACCTTTAGTACACATTGCAGAATATCAGCTTATATCCCAATATCAACATGATTAATATTCTTATAAATATTTATAAGAATTATTAAATGGGAGTTCTAGGTGCATGTACATTTTTCTAGATTACATACGAAATCAATGAAGTTACATCTGCTGCACACTGACCACTATCAATCTTATTCTATTATATTAGATATTAGATAGATGGTGCTGGCTGTGATCTGCTGTAAGCTAGAGACTCGAGTAAATCTGGATAGTCATAGTGAGTTAGAATTTATTCCTGTTGCCATTGGACTCCTCAGACTTGGACAATGAAAAGAAAATGATCAAACAACACTATATGGTGACCAGAAAAATGAATGTCTCCATAGGCTTTCAACATAAGCCCATGATGTCTCAAATGACTGCTATTAGACTTGTCATATGCAAACCTTACATGACTATCATGGGCCCGGGAACATAAAAATAGGGTTGAATACACCAAGTAAAGAACTACAAGAAGTACAGTAATCTCTTGATGTATTCAACTAAATCTTTTAGACATGTTCTTGGGCCTATGATGACTAATTCACCAAAATATTCATTCCATTTAGACATCTATAAGATAATCATTATTATGATTATTTAAATACTTTTGAAGTTTTAGTTGTCTTGGATGGAGCAGGATTAAGCAGAGGATCATTTAATTGTTTAAAGCAGAGACATGTTTAAAGTAAACCATTTTGTGATCTGCCTTTAATGACAATGAAATAAAGAGGGCAGGTAGGTAATGTTGGCCATGTAGGTAATTGTCAGACAGATGACTCCATACACTGAGTGCCTGACAATTACCTGCAGGACAACATTGCCTCCCTGTACTCTAATCTGACTGTTAGATTCATCCCGATTTTTGGAAAGACGTTGAAACCATAAATGAATTTAACCACTTTGGGTTGATGAAGCACTTGTGAGATCACAAGTGTTCCAGTTAAACTTTCCGGAACTAAATAAATGCTAAAAATTCCATTATATATTTCAGGAAAGGGACCATGAACATGTCAACGATGAATGAGTCTCAGGCTGTCGAACCAAGAAGTTTTGAGCAAACAAAGGACATTCTGTCTGAGATTGTCAACGTTTTAGACCAGGAGAAGCTTGATGTACAGACGTTGCAAGAAACTGGCAAGTTATGTGGAGAGCTATTGGCCACTCAGAAACAGATTGAGGATATCATTAAAGAAGATATAAGAGGTAAATGTAGTGTGTTAAAGGCATTATGAAATGGCTTCAGTTAAAAAGGCAATGTCTGTAATTTTGGTCTTAAATAAACCCGTAGTGTTTTAAAGATTTTGATGCAAAACATTTTTTTCTGATGATATCAGTTTTACAAAACTGAACATTGCATTTTCATAACAAATTCAATGCTTTTCACAACTTCTTCAAAATGTCTACAAATTTTGTCAGCATTAAGCAATTTTGAAATTCCACCATCATTCAGTCCCGCATTCAGTGCATTATTTTATATTATGCATACCTTGTTTCAATGTGGCATTATCTCACAGCAGGAGGAAAGAATGTACAATGATATCCCATCTTGCATCAAAAAATTGGATCAACAACCATTTGTTACTTATTTAATTATCTAATTACAAGATATTACAGAAATACAAATTGACCTTTTATTATGTCACCACCAGAAGTAGTGACATATTGTTATAGTCTCCAACTTTTTTGTGGACAGTGTTTGATCATGGTTGGTGTTCAATGTCTGCAAGAAATGGCAGGAGGTGACAATTTGCATGTTAATGCCTTGTTTCTTTTCAGAATAGTCTATTATTGATAGTTTAATTTTCCTTTCTTTCAGCTTTATGCCAGTGTAAGGAAGAAAGAGAAGCTGAAATAAAAACCAGTGAGGAAAATGAAAAGCTTGAAAGGGAGGAAGAGAAACTAAAGGAAGAGCTTAAACAGTCTAAAGAACACATAGAAAACGTTTCAAAACAAGCTGATCAGTTAAAAGCACAAGTTAATGCTAGTAAAGAAGAGAAAGATAGATTGACCGAGGAAAGACGAAGAATCAAAAAGAAAACAACGGAGACATTACCCTCCGTCAGGTAGTTACCAATGTGTCTTTTTATAATCTTTGGAAAGAGCTCTATAATACGAGTATTTTAATTTATTAATATTGACTCTTATTGTCGTCATCTTGTGCTGATAGGCATTATCAGGAGAGCAAGAAAACTGTTCATCCATTTAACTTGAACATTTTACAGATGGATTTATTTGTATGCTCTTCAAGTGCAATATTTATTAGGCTAATCGATGTAAACTTTTCAATTTAAACAAACATTTTGATTAATCATGTCTTCTAATTCAATATTTTTCAAGAATGCAGATATGGCTTTATGTTTGATTTAAAACCCTACTACTGTATTTGGTATTTTTTTCTTTGTAATGTTTAAATATATTCTAGGAATAAAAAATAATTCACACATAGCTTGTCAAGGTGTGTCTGATTCCAGCCAATCCGAACACAGTATTTCATATAACTGCAAGTTGAATTATATAACCAATAACTCACCCAAGGTCATTTGTTGAATGGTTGTCAAGGTAACAATTTGACTTTTTAACGTATATATAATTTATGATTAAAATTCTCTTTCCATTTCAGGCACACTGTGAGTCTGTTCCACAATGTGACAAAGATCAGTTGGCAATATGATACACAACCCCAGGAGGTTAAAGGATGTATCCTTTCAAAATATATAAATCCTCTCAATAGAGAGGGAACCTGGGGGAGAGGGAGGGAGAGAGAGAGGGGGAGGGAGGGAAATAAAGATTACACGCAGATGATACTGGCAGTTGGCAGCTTAATAGTGCAAGAAAGAATTCGACAGTCCAAGATCTTCAAAATAATTATTTTTACCACATTATTTAGCACTAAATAATTGAAATTTGCAAATCCACAAATTATACCAGCAAATTGTTGCATTGTCTTGCCAGTCAACTCCAAAGTACTAGTAATTTTTTTCCAGCTATGTTCCTTAACTCCCTTCCAGTTATTACCAACAAGAGTGAAGTAAAACCATTCTCATTAAGCAACAAAGAGAACTCTAAGTTCTTCATAGCCAACTACCTATGGGACCAGATGGAGGTGGACTGGTGATACTGGGACCAAAATCACTGAGAGAAAATAATTCACATATGAAAAATTCCAGGATCTGTATATAATAGCTTTGTGAAGATGTATGTAACGCAGTGCTGTGTAATGATAGAGGACATAGTATATAAGAATCATGGGAAATTGAAACCAAAAATATTATACATTTATTTGTTTAGCCTGAAATTAACCCTTTAAAGACTGAGACATCTAAAGGGAAAACCTTTCCAAAAATATCCTGCGTAAGATTTGTATATTTTATATTTACATGTATACCACACCTAATGTTTATCATATGATGTGATAATAAAAACCAAAAACATAATCAGTGCTTTATGTTTCACATATCATATGCTTTATAATTTTATGAAAACAAAACAGATGCTTCTGGTATTACTTGGGTTTCAAGATGAACTAATGATCAAAGGAAAAACTTGTTGAAGTCAACCTAAGATGACTAGACAAGTAGAACTTTGTCAATCAAGTTAAACCATAAAACAAAGTAAATGGTGAACACAAGTGTTCAAAAAAAACACAAAATGGTCCCCTTAAACTAGACCCAGAATGCCCAGTCAGGTCTCGATTTTCACACCAAGAAAGATCATTCAAAACTTCTTATCAGACGAGAAAAATGAAACGCCACCATCCAGCCATCAAGTTGATGACAATATTGAACATCTTGACTGTTTCAACTGTTCTAGGTAATTAGTATGGGTTCTTTATTGCAGCATGCTGTTTTTTTGGATAACAAGTAAATATAATGAACAAAACACATAAATTGCAACTATTAATATTAAACATTTTTTGCATAATGATTATGTTAATTTATTCATGAAGCAAGAACATGAAGTTCTCTAACAAGATTGATCCTATGGTAGAGATAAATAGAAATTATAACTATATGAAGTTAGAACATATAGATAACACCAAGGCCAATATTTATATATCTGCCCAATCAAGGGATTATCTGAAGTCTCTGAATCTAGATAAATCATCTGAAAATTGTCAATTTAAGTGACCACAATTCTATAATTCTATTTAGTCCTCAGTCTTTCTAGGCTGAAAGCTGATAATCTAAACTGATAATTCTTTCTGTTTGTTTTTTATCTGATCTTGTGCCAAGACCATTTTAGGTTCAGAATGTACAGATGGGATTGGAAGTAGATAAGTTTCATTTAGTGATGGCTGAAAAGTGTCTGAATCTAGAAAATAAGCTGGTGAGAAATTCATCAACTTCTTGTGTGGTGCACATGAGCTTTTTGTGGATTGTTCAAAAATAAATAGGACATTTTACCAGATAGTGCACGTTAAGATTAGCTGTAATGTCTCGTCTTTAAAACGTTTGTTGGAAAACAAAAATAATTGTTAATTTTTTTGTTTTTTTGTCGGAAAAAGTGACAAAATCTGTCGAGGCATTGAATTTTAAAAAGATTTTGGAAAGTAAAAAAGCCAAAGTTTATTCTTCCATCGCCATTTGAAATATTCTGCCAAATAGGAGCCAATTCAATTCCCTCCACTGTTAGTTGTTAATTAACTGAACTATTATATGAACTTTATATGAACTATTGTATTGTATTATATTGCATTGTTGTCATTCTTTATATGTGTGACATGATGACTGACACTGTGTATCAAATACCAGTACTTGAGTTGTTTTGCTAAGTTGACAACTCTATATCTTCCTAAGTGTGATTTCTATTGTTAACAATAAGAAAAACAAAACAGTATAGGTCATTTTGGGCCACATTATATACAAGTACATACAAATAACTGAGTTTGACATGAAAAGGACATAAAAGCTTTAGATAAAACAACCTTATATACGATGTATTTAACAAGAAACTTGTTTTTTGCAATAGAAATCCTATTTATTGTGAGAATTCTAAGACGTCATAATATTATAAAACTAGAAAACTTTATTATGCACTACATCTGATCTGATAGATACATTGTAACATCTGATCATAATATTATGTTAGTCATAACATTACATAGTTAGTCCTATTACCCTCTTTTCTCCATTGATTAACCTCTATGATATAAAAATAATTCACAATCATCCTTATGAAAAGAATATTTGTTTATTCATTCATGAAGTCATGCTCTGACTCTGATGTTTCTATGATATGCTGCAACCGAAGCTTTCAGCTGACACCATCACACTAAAGTGTGTAGATAATGAAGTGTGATTGAATGCATTAGTGACGTATGTGAGGGTGTGATCTATCATGGTATGGACTTATTAGAAAATATAGCCTTGTGTAAGATCCGATCCAATAATATACTGTAGATACACTTAATTTGGCTCCCGTTTGAATTTGACAGATTGGCAGATTCAGAAAATCTGCCGAATCAAAAATCTGTCAAATTTCATTTTGGAATTTTTGTCCAATGCACTACAGAAATTAAACTCCAGGAGCCCCTTTTCCTGTCAACGTGTCATCAATTCTACATTATTCAAAAGACATACAGAAAATATCTTAGTCAACACCTGTCATAATGACATAAAAATCTACAAAAACTAAACTTCAGTCCTGAATCCACCAAATTAAATAGCCACCAATATTTGAAATTGAGCAAATCCGTCAAATTAAGTACCGTCAAAATAAGTGTATCTGCAGTAAGTCAATGGCACAGACGTTGTGATATAAATTGCAATTAGATAACAGAAACACCAAGACATGGCAAATTCAATCAATCATTTTATCAAGCGCAGGCAAGATTGCCACCATCATTTCTGAACAATCACTTAATGAAAAGATTTTTGTACTTTGCAATGAAACAATAATAACTACAATGAAACAATAATAACTAACTAATAAAAAAAAGAATGTAAAATCGACAAGTGACATTCAAGCAGAACTTGTAATATCGGATATCCCCTGAGTTTTATAATCTTATGGGACAACCATGGGCTTTCAATAGAAGTCCATGGAATAACAAATAAAATCTTTGATAGGTTTATTCAATTGTCTATGGTTGTTTATCAGATTTGTATTATATCCACATTTCTAAGTAAAGAAGAATGTAACTATATAATGTAAAAATAATGTAAAAATAAAAATACAAATAGCACATTTTTGGCAATTTGTCACTGAACAATCAAATAAAGCTTTTAAACTGTCAAACCATGAGATATGGCACTGTATGTGATAGATAACACTCTTGATATTACTTTTTCCATTCATTGTTTAGATATCTGCACTCACACTTTTTTTTTCAAATAAACATCAACGATGCATCGCTACAAACGGAAAAAGGAACTACTACTTGTGGATGGCTTCGTAGGAAAATTAAGTGAGTGTCCTTTACTGCGTCATCAGCAGGCGTCTCAGATCGTCACATTTCGCCCCTTAGCCTGTATGCATAATCTGAGTGGGGCAGGACAACTCTTTAGGAACAAAGCAACCTTCAGCCAACGCCCAACTCCTTGGCAGGTCTTTCTTAATCCAGATGCTTCTTAGCAATCGCCATAGACGTTTGAGCAGTTTCGGGCAGTTCTTGTACACCCTATATGTCACACCTGTTGGGCCTGGTGCTGAAGCTGCTCTTGCCTTTTTGACAATAGCTCGTACCTCGTCAAGCTTGAAATCTGACTGGTCAAATGGTGCAGTTGGTATATCTGTTGGGATGTCAATCGGGAACTCGCCTAATGGCAGTTCTCTGTCTGGGTCACTGTGTGCTGCTGCAATACTTGCTTCCACTTCCTCCTGTGTGCTTGAAAGACGGCCACTCTTTGGCTTCCCTAGTAAATCTGAAGTGAACTTGTATGGGTTTTCAAAGAAGGCCTTCCTTGTTCTATGCTTCTCTCGTTGTCTTTTCCTGAGAGACTCTACCTTACGAAGATGAAGAAGTCTCTTGTGAAGAATCTGCTGGAGTTCTCTAATTCCATCTCTTTCGCTGGCCAGTGATGAAGCTTTCCATCGACGCTGAAGGCTACGCCGCTCTTTCCGGAGGGAAGCTATCTCCTGCTGTCTTCTACTTGGCCCTGCGTGGTGCTTTCGTTCTGATGTTTCACTGACTCCAAACTTCTCTTCAAAAGTTTCGTAAACGATTCTAGTCATAGTCTCTACCTTTCCCTTTGCGTCTCCTCGTAATGTGTTTGTGAGGATAATGTCAAGCTCCTCGTCGAGTTCTATCCATCGCTTATCGGTTGCTGCAGGTAAATTTAGTCTAGGCTTCCTCCCTTGAACGAGATGTTCAATTGGGCTGGGTAGACTCTGAATGAGAGGATTAGCTTCAACTAGAAGGTCTGGAGCACTGTGGTGTGTCTCCTGGCTACAAACCTTCACCGAATTATTAGCAGGATCTACAGCCTTGGCTCGCGCTTCAGCTGAATGACCTGCTTGACGTTGTTTTAGCTTTTCCTTACATTTGGTTTTCCCTTGGTGTATTTTCACCCCTCTCTCGTTCTTGAAAGTGCCGCCGCAACTTCCGCACCGTCTTCTTGTTTCTATTACGTCAATGTCTTCCTGAGTCCTAATCGTAGTCCGTAATTCGTTGCTTTGGTCAAAATCCATACTTCCTGTCGGGTGCAGATCATCCTCCCCCGCCTTTCGGTCTGCTTGGGGGCATTCTCTCATTTTAATACTTGTAGCTATTGTGAGTTTAGATGCTTCGGGGTGCTGACCCTCCCTTAAGAAAAAAGCCATGGTAACCATGGTATTCCATGGTGTGCCCATGGTAATCCATGGTTTTCCATGGAAATTCATGGTTTTCCATGTTATTTTCCATGGAAATTCATGGACGCCCATGGTAATCTTCCATGGATATTTACAATGATTTTCCGTGGTAATTGTTGGTTTGGTAATTGGTTTTTAAAGGATGTGTCATGGAGATGTAAAATCAACAATTTTGGTAGGATTGTATTTACCAAAATCTCCAAAATGAATGTTTTGATGATATATCCCAGTTAGACTGAGACTTATCATTGAGAAAAAAGGGTGGACATTTCATTTTGAAGGTATAGCAAGAACATTCATCGAATGTTAGACTCAGCTTACAAATGAGAAAATATGTGAAACAGCAGAGCAGAGAGTAGGCCACAAGATTTCAAAAACAATTGTGCAAAGGTCTTTTGTGTAGATCAAGACTAGATAGAGATTGCTTATTTTTTAGGCCAAACACTACTTTCCTTTGAAAAAGATTAAGTCAAACTAGCCCAAGCTCTGTTTTATTTCAATACTTTCTTTAATTTTCAGTTTTAAAAATCAATATGAAGTAATTTAAGAAATAAATAACTCATTTTCTTTAATTACATTTCGTACATATGAGAATACAATCAAAAACCATGGTTTCTTTCTTTGAAGTTGAGAAAACTGCAATCAAAAGCTATGGAAGACGGTTGATTGCAATCGAAAGCCATGCTTTTCCATGGTTATTTCTTTGATGTTTTGGAAAGTGCAATCAAAAGCCATGGTTTTCCATGATTATTCTTTTGATCTTTTGAAAGTCCATGGTTTTCCATGGGCTATTTGTTTGGTCTTTTGGAAGCAGAAAAATGAATAATACATTATGTTTCTAAATGAACTTCTCCAAATTAAGTCCCATTCAACTTTTATAAGCATATTATCTGAAAAAATCCACATAAAAGTATTTTGACTTGAAATTGAGATGGGGGATTAAACACAAGCCTATGGCTGCAAACTGAAATGTTATACCTAAGTGATAAAAATTCAATTTGTCTATGTAAGAATATTATATTTAAAAAGAAGTTGCATGAAGGAAGGGGAGGGGGTTAACAACACCATTTGGCTTAAAACATGAAACATAGTATAAGTAATTAAAATTGATTTGTCTTTGAATAGGAATAAATAATCATTTGCATAATTTTTAAATATTTGGTTGCCATTATTCTATGTTAATTAGGTGTCTTAACTCTCAAATCAATGTCAAAAGATTAATCTCTTTACAACAGATTATAAGAGTTCATTTGCATAATTCTTAAATATTCTGATCTTAATTGTTATTATATATAATCTTACTCTTTCTAATGCTCCCTCTTCAGTAATTATTATTGTCTGTGAGTGTAGACAGTGCAAGTCAAAAACTCATTGTTGATCAAATAAAACCAAATAGGATTTACTCCAAGTAAAAATGTTTATTCAGTCTGCAATAAGGGAATCCAGTGAGCTGATTTTATCACTTATTTTGTCTTTTTTTACATAAGTGCCAAAGTTAAATGATAGCAAATCCCAGCAAACAAATTATTACTTTTAATTGTGGGGTCAAATCATCAATTAAAAAAATATTAAGTAAACAGTTCTTTGTCATATGACACTATGTACAGAATGTACTAAACATATATTCAGATTGTAAAAACATGGTTGTATTTCAGGCCTGAAACCAGCTTTTGTCAAGAAGGTTGACTTTCTCAAAGATTTTGGGGTGGGGGGGTGTCATATTCTTTTATCTATGATTAATGAGACTAATTCTCAATCCAGCTTGGATTCATTCGTTAAAATATTGATTCAATGTTGAAGATTTTGGTAAAAACAAAACCTGCCAAAATTGTTGATTTTACAACTCAAGTGTCATGGTAAAAACATGGCATGTTAATGAAAAAACAATTACCAAACCACCAATTACCACGGAAAATCATGGTAAATATCCATGGAAGATTACCATGGGTATCCATGAATTTCCATGGAAAATACCATGAAAAACCATGAATTTCCATGGAAAACCATGGATTACCATGGACGCACCATGGAATACCATGGTTACCATGGCTTTTTTCTTAAGGGCTGGCATCTGTGTTGTCGTCTTTCCGAAACTGTCATCTGCTCTTTCGCAGAAGTCAATGGGCCTTTCCCCATGGTCACTGAATTATCAGGATACATTTCAAATAAACATCAACGATGCATCGCTACAAACGGAAAAAGGAACTACTACTTGTGGATGGCTTCGTAGGAAAATTAAGTGAGTGTCCTTTACTGCGTCATCAGCAGGCGTCTCAGATCGTCACATTTCGCCCCTTAGCCTGTATGCATAATCTGAGTGGGGCAGCGATGGTAAGGTCTTAAACATCGCTCGCTGAAGGACACCACTTGTCATTCCTCTTGAGCCAGAGCCACCGTGAGCTGGACTCTGCCACAGCACCTACTGCCTTAACTGCCGACTTCAGCTTGGATGGTGTTAGTCCTAGCTGAGATAGAAGGTAGCGCAGCGAGGAGGCTGGGAACCCCCTACATCCCACTTCTATTGGGTACTGCACTGCATGCCACCCCCTTGTTATGGCCTCGTCTACCAGATCTTGGTATTTGGCTTTCTTAAGCTGATGGGATATGTCCAGTCGGTCTTCCCAGGGTACTGTGAGCTCGATGATGATGATGCTCCTGCTGAGCTGAGATATCAGCAGCATGTCGGGACGGAGCTTGGTGACTACTATATCCTGTGGGAAGACAAGTTTTTGGAAGAGGTCAGTTCTTAAAGTCCAGTCTGTTGCCTTGGTGAGAATGTTGGGCTGGAGTACAGGCAGAGATGGCTTCTGATGGGCTTTGCTGCCTTCTTTGACAAACTTAATGAGTCTTGGTCTTACATTGCCCCTACTGGTGTTGTGGGAAAGTCTTTGCTGGTCTATCCACTTGGCTACCTCTTGGAGGACCCTGTCGTGTCGCCACACTATGCTTACTTGTGCAAATACTTGTATCATATTCATTCATGGATAAAAATCATATCACTCTGTGTCTAACTTTATAAATATCTTGAGTAAGACTAATGCCTGCATACTGTAAATTTAATTGGCCAATACAGTGATGTATTACATACCTAGCAAGGCATTATTACAGATGTCAATCAGAAAGTAAGCGGGTCATATCCACAAACCAAAGTAGACATGGGAATAAAGATGTGTAATACATGTACATCAGTTATGTCACTATGATGTAAAATATGCCTTTGTTCTTGCCCAAATATCGAACCTCCCAAGGTTGGCATTGGCAAAACTCAGGCATATTTCATGAAATAGTGACACAACCTCTAAATATAATTCAGTGTGTTACATACCACTGGCATCTAATGAAATCGCCATGGCAATGTAGCTTTAATTTGGCTAGAATTAATTGGAGATCAGAACAGATCAGACATATTGGCAAATTAAAACTGAATTGACAAATTTATCTAATTTACAGTACGCAGATTTACTTCCAAGCCATGGACATAGAATTTTAAACTGCGTAAAGGTGTCTTAGTTTCTCTATTAATATTCATTCAACATTCTAAAATGATTAATTTAATTCCCCATGAAGAATCGTAACTCTAAACTTCCAATAATGTCCATGCACCATCCTCTTGAATTTTAAATCTACGGGGTTTCCCATCTTTGAATATTGTTTCTAGGGGTTTTGGATTATCGTGTATAAAGCATAATGTTCGTCGTACATTTGCAACAAAATGTTCTGGTTCTTGTTCAGGAGACGTTGAGAGGTACTGGAAATAAAATAAAACAAGATGTTATACAAAATAAGAGGTATTTTGAATATATGAGAAATCGTCTATGTCGCTATATTCTAAGGCATGCAACTAGCCTCTTATTCCTTTCACTATCTACAACTCTCATGTTCCTGTTAAAGAAATAACAAGGCATTAACATGACAAAATGTCACCACCTAGTTGCTCACAATATTATGAGTTCAATCTGAAGTCAGATTTGAATTAAATTGGTCAATTTGAAGCAAGTTGAAAAAAGACTTGTTTTGACCCTGAGAAAGTCATTGAATGTGAAATCTCCAGTCTAAAGTCAGATTTGAACTTCTTAGAACTTGTACATGATTTTTTAAAAAAAAGGTCAATTTGACGCAAGTTGTAAAAATACCTTTTTTGACCTTGAAAAGGTCATCGAAGGTCAAATCTTAAATATAAAGTCAGATTTGAAATTCTGAGAAGATGTGGATGATTTTGAAAAAAATTGAAGTCAGTCTAAACAGTATTTGTTAAATTATTGGAAGTTTAAAAATTTGTTACAGATGCTAACCGCCACCCATCGATTGCAACTGCCACCTGTCGCCACAAAAAACGGAGACCATAACAATATGTCACCACTTTTGGTGGTGACATAAAAATGGGGAGGAGGGAGGGCAACAAAGAGATCAGATAAAATAACGGTACTATTTATCACAATATTATCCCAAATTAATTCTATATATTATATATATGGTCATGTACATAATATGGCTGTTGCGAAGAAAGTCAGTCACCTTTATGTGGCTGACTTTCTTAAAACTATAGATACACCAATGTCTTAACATAGGCCCAAATACCAAAAAAAACGAGAATCTCCCAACTAACTGGCTTTGGATCGGCACTTCTGTTACAACCTTATATGGTTTACCAAAATGGAATTGTACTTGTAGATACATTCCTAGTCTAGCTACAAGCCCCCCTGACCCCCTCCCCCTACCTGACTACACACCTTCACACACTTGTTGGATGAGTAGTGAGGGGATCAGTAGAGTATGTGGGGAGAAAGGTTGTCCACTAGAGGTGTTCACTAAGACAGGTTGTACTGTACCTGTCTAATATAGTGGTCTGGCAATCTGACCCATAAATCCAAGTTCTCAAATGGGTCATAATCAAATGGTCCTATGGTCAATTGCTCATTCTCATTGTCATATATATTCAGCATCTAAAATAAAATGAAACATTTTAAATATTTATAAATGGAAAAAGACAACAGTAACAAGGCATTAACATGTAAAATGTCACCACCTGCCATTTGTTACAGATGCTGAACACCAACCACGTAATGCTGAATGCTGAACAACATCTGTAGAAAAGTTTGAGACCATTAAACTGTAAATATGTCACCACTTGTGGGGTGGTGACATTAAAACTGAATTCACACCAATACAAATTGAGGCACTAGATGCATATAATATTGTATTTATTAGTTAAAATGATAGAAATACATGTAGTTTAAAATCAATATGAATTGAGCATTTATCAAAACGATCATTAAATTGTAGTTCTGTGTTAAGGTGCTATTGTAATAATTTTAACTAGAAATTGGCAACTCCACGGAGTTGCAAATCCCAAAGAACACTAGGCTATATTCATAAATCTGTAAATGTCAAAATGTAATATTTACTATATCTAATCTAACCTTGGCTAAATGGCAGATATTAAGACATACCTTATCAGAATTTCCACTGATTTAAGCATTTGGGTGACCATTTAGTCAAAGATACAAATCATCAAGACAATAAAATATTTGAAATCTAATAAAGTAAATGTGGTTGCCATCTTGAAAAATATTTTTTTGTATAAAACTATTAAGCAATAAACATCTTTCCATCAAATATGAAAAAAATCCATCCACTAGAATTGGACTTATCTTCTGGATGGACTGACGAATTGACTGACGGAGGGCTTCACTATATACCTATCGAACTTTGTTCATTGGGATAATTACATCCAGACTACATTTTAAAGAAATTACCTGTGATGTACATACTATGAGCGTTTTAAAACACATAGATACTGTACTGACTAACTATAAAAGCAATGTGGAGTAAAGAAACTAAATAAATCAATTGACATATATGACATATATTTGACATATAGATGTGAATCAAATGTGCCTAAAGAATTTTGAATAAATGGGCACAACTGCCAATACCAGACTATTTGAGATGAGAATATACATTTCAAAAGATTTCCTGCTTCCAGTAATTTGTTGTGAATTTTATACATCTACCTGTCTTCCTCCAGTGAAGTGGCGAGCTGACCTAAGTGTACGATCAGGACGAGTTGTGCTGAATGATGCATTAAATACATCTCCATTCGCAACATTGACAGCTGTAAGTACAGAGGCAACATGTACAACATGAACATCATCTACAACATGTTGTACATCATCCACAACATGTATATTAATCACAACATGTACATCATCAACAACATGTATATCATCTACAACATGTTGTACATCATCCACAACATGTTGTACACCATCCACAACATGTACATTAATCATAACATGTACATCATCTGCAACATATACATCATCTACAACATGTACATCATCTACATGTTGTACATCATCCATGACATGTACATTATTCACAACATGATACACACATGAACTGTAGAACAACAGTAAATAGCATTATACATCTCTGAACTAGAAAACTGCAACTCCACAGAGTAGAAAATCCCAACGAACACTATATTTATTTGTCATATCCGGTATTTAATTTATTATAGGTTTTAACCTGACTGACTGACTAATGGATGGACAGAGGACTTCATTATATCCCTACAGAACTTCGTTCATTGGGATAATAACACATATACAACATCAGCTATTGAATAGCTATTTCAACATCTGAACATAAACAAATAACCTTTTCATTCCCTGGGGTATGGAATGCCCCCCTGAGTGGTTGATCTGGGCCCCGCTCACTTATTGTCGCTGGGGTAATATTTCCATTCTCAATGGTTACAGCTAAAACAGGACATTTTACATTTTTCATGTCAAATTCAGATCCCAAAGGGCATGAAGTAATAAAGTGCTTTAAAATTAAGATTCAGAGTTAAGCTTTATATCCATTCTCAATGGTTACATGATATAATAAAATGCTGTACAATTGTCCACCATCTTTTATCAGAATAGTGCACACCTAGTGTGATGGTGTTCAGTATAACTATATCCCTGACATGTTTCACAAAGTTCATAATACATTGCTAGTATCTTCGACCAATCAGCTTCTGTCAGTTATTGTCTAATGAATAAGAGCTTAAATAGGCCATGAATTGCTATGATGGGGTTATTCTCCATAATTTCAGTTTCAGGAATGAATAACTTTTTTCAGAAAACATGTCATATAGACTCGTGTAACTCACCTATTCCATATATGACTGGGAATTCTAACGCATCTTTAGTCACATTATTCACATCTGAAGAACAGAAATACACATTTTGGAATCTAATCTCCATTTCTCATGTATAAATACATATAGAATATAGGATTAATTAAGACAACAATTTTTGAATTTAGCAATAACATTGTTTAACCCAGATATAAATTCTTCCATCATAATAATCATTTTGTAATAAAACAAAAATCAAATACATTTAACATGTTTACAAGTCAGAATTTTGCAGTTTGTATAGGGTCTATGGATAACAATAATGAGAATACGAATAACACCTCCTAATGTAAAAATAAGGGGAGCCAAATTTGCCCCCTTCCTCCTTAAACCAAAAATGCTGTTAAACAGCGTTCTCCCGTTCTCATAGATGCATAATTCAGCTAAAAAGTCATAAAGTGAATCACTAAAACTTGCAATCTCCAAGTCCGATGTAATTTTCGCAATGTCGTTATGCCTTCTCTATTGAAAATGTTTAATTTCCTGGGATTTTGAGCTTGCTCATTAGTCAAACTAGATCTTGTCTTATAAACTAAATAAGTAAAATGATTTAAACTCTAAATGTCAATGCAATCTAATGACATGTGATTTCCTAACTATGTGGCATTATGGGACATTTATGATGTAAGATCTACACAGAGACTTGCAGCAGAGTACCAAATGAACTGCAATGGAGCTACATGAAATTCAATTAAGAATGACAAACCCATACATTAAATCACTGAATGCTTACAAGGAAAAGCTGAGACCCGGGAATACGTTAAAAATGTTTAAAAAGTCCGCTAGTGTACTGAGTTGTTAATGCGTGGTGTATACTGCATACATGTGTATTATACTCTTTTACTAGATTACTTACATGTATAAGAATAAGACTGATTTTTATAAGCTTAATGGATAAAAATAAGACTGATTTTTTATTAATGACAGTATAGCCGGGCCTCAGAGGAAAAGCATACAAAATAAATCATTGAGATTGGTCTAAGAAGGATGAACTTTATTTGTTTATAAGGTGATCTACTGGTTATTATCCAGGGTCAATGTTAACTAAGATAATTCAGTAATTAATATACTCTGAAGCTCACAAAAGCAAACACAGATTTAAACAAGAACAAGAATTATGAGTAGATTTGTTTCTAAACACTAACTCTAATATATGCCTCCAGTGATCACAGTAAAGTTGAAAGGTTGCGTGTACTGTCCAGAAAATATATGTTTCCAATTCAAGTTAATTATTCAGTTATTCAGCGCAAGCAGTTAAGTAAAATTGGGTACAAAGTCTTCTCGACATTGATTGATTATTACAAGAAGTACAAATTACATACATGGATACCAATAAGTAAAGCATCAAGAGCTTCAATTAATTTCCTTGTTAGAGTACATGTAAATTAGGCTAAGTACATGTAAAGTAGGCTATAGTATGAGTAGTTTTATTTTTAGGCATTGTATCTCTACTTCCCGACAATAAGCCATACCTAGTGGAATTAAATTGTTTCCTGCCAACTATGTCAACAATTATTAAGAAAGAGATAAATTAGTATTAGTGCAATACTGAGATTGGCTCCTTTCGAATCATTGTGCATTTTCAAGTCCATGGTTTAATGTAATTATAGGCTTTTCTGGTATTTAGTATTCTAAATGGGCCTATCCCATGGACTCTTAGGAGGATCTTCACCCAATTCAAGGTGAGCAGAGGGAAGGAGGAGGAAACTTGAACAAAAATCAATTAACTTCCTTTTTATTTCAATTGTTGTTAGCCATACAGTAAAACATGTCTTAGCAAACACTTCTCTCTTGTGAACACCTGAGTTAAGTGAACACCACTTCAAGACACATCCTACATTCTGTTTTGACGTCACACAATACTCGTATTACCAGGTGCAGTGTTGACGAATACATACCGGGTGAAACATTGACTTTGTTCACAGTTTATAGAAGGCTAGGCTTGAATACAGTCATGTTCAAATCCTGTATAAAATTTCCTTTCTGTAGTGAACACCTACCTACCGTGAACACTTTTTGTGGCTCTATACGTATTCAATATATCCAAGGTTTTACTGCATTTGTATAGTACCAGATGATAATTTCATCAGATGCCATGCTATTTCATAAGAGGTAGATATTGAATTACGCATGCCATGTATACTCAATGTAATAAGCCATGTCACGGTGACAGACAGTTTAAAAATACAACTTAAAATATCTTGAAATATCTTAAATATCTTGCAATTCATCATGATCTACTCGTATTGTCAATGTCTCAATAATTCCAGGGCAATGAAGCGTATAAAGCTTATGTACATTGTACTGTACACAATCTTAAGAAACAAACACAGCTCTGGATTTATTGACATTTTGATAATAATAGATCTTGATTTATTGCAGAGGATTTAATTATCTTGCAATGACTGTTCCAAATGATGTTGGAACAGGTTGGAACAGGTACAGAGAAGAGTGGCCAGGTTTGCAACAAAATGTCACTCAAGGGAACCAGGTTGCGTCACCAAAGCTCTTCAAGACCTACAGTGGTAGTCACTGAAAGAGCGTCAACAGACCAATGCCAACACTAGGCAGTATCATCCTTTTAAGTACATACAACCCTCTAGAACATACTCTTCTACACTCGTAAGTACATACAACCCAACTAGAATGGATGCATACAAATTAAGTTACTTCATTAGGACAATAGAGAGATTTCGCACCTAGTGAAAGTACAACTTATAACGTATACTTATACTTATAGGTAAACGTACAAGGTGTTTCATAATGTGGACATTTCGTCAGGAAAGATCTTCTCGGACTGTAATAAATACAGGTCAAAGGGATGCCATTTGTACTTTCTTGAATGGTAGCATGTTTAGTTGATCCAAATGTGTTTGTCTAGAATAAAATAGGCTCATATATAGTACGTATGTTATAGACCCATCTCTTCTCAAATTGACTTTTTGGAGATGCTCGTTATGAAACACCCTGTATGTCATTTGTTGAGCTACTGAATGGGTCGTTTCCAGGAATCGCTATAACCTACTGGTTTAATTGGTGTTTCAAATTGATGGTTAAAGTATTTGATTGGATACTGTTACCACTCAGCCAATTAATTTTTAAAAATGCTTGCGGTCAATTGTTCCACACACATGTAGGCAAATCTTTATACGGAGATCCAACTGTATACGTTATCATCTACGTAAATATACCGTTTTGTAAGTTCATTGAACTTATACTGATCATGAAAACATTGAAATAATCAACTTGTTTATGTAATGACTCACTTTAAAGAATCATGACTCACTTTAAAGGATCGTGTTTATAATACACTACAACTACAAGGACACGGAAGCAAGCATTTAATTATAATGTGCATAATCTACACGTGCAGATGACAGTGCATTCACAGTCTAGTTGATGGAGCTTTTCTATAACGGGAATAGTTATGTTCCATTAAGTACAATTTAAAATTGATTTTAGTAAATATAATAGTTCGACATAAAGTATACGTATAAGTTGTACTTTCACTTATGTGCGAAATCTCTCTAATAGCTTAATGGAACACACTGCCAGGTGACATCTTAGACTGTGACAGTCTAAGTGGTTTTAAATCATATGTGCTATATAACACTCTGCCAGGTGACATCTTAGACAGTGACAGTCTAAGTGGTTTTAAATCATCATACTATGCCAATAACTGCAATAAGAACGCAGTATGTTTTAATATAGATCTATTTTTACCCACATCACTCAACTCATTATTTTAATGTATATGGTCCCCAGTGCATAGCAACATGTCTCCACTTAAACAGTGGCGATGTCAGTGTGGTATCCTGACATTTGTAACCAGTGTGAGATGGAAGTTCCATGGGGGGAACATGGGCCAACTGGGAAGTTCATCCATTTTTAAAATGAGTTGAAACCTAACCATAGATCTATTTTTAAATGTTAAGGTTTAAATCATATTCTATTCAAATTCTATAACTGTTCAATTATATATCTGGTTCAAATGGAATTATTAGCATTTTGCAGATAATTGACATAGACATAGACATCCAATGTAATTAAGCTGAAAACTCAAAAAAAATACAAATTGACTTCATGTCATAATGTGATATTGATATGGCTCATTTGGGTTATCACATAGGATATCTGTGACTTTCAATGTGATAGTTTGAATTATCAACTGGTCATGTGACGTGATCTGACTTGTCATATTCCAGAGTTTTAGTTTGAGGTATAATAAATATAATTATCATCTAGTACTATAAAAATACAACTTACAAAAATTGCGGTGCTTTTCTAATTTCACTTTTGATCAGGTTCTTCTCATTCTTTACCTTATTCATAAGGCTTGCCTCAGCTCTCTTCGTATTTGTTGCCTTTGGTAGTATTCATCGATTCATTGATTATGTACTGATTCAGAGCTTTTCATTGGCCGATGAATTTCAAAGACTGTCACCATAATAATCATCAAGAAAAATGTGATATCTCATTGTTTTTACAAGGTACAATGATGGTGATGCATAGGAATGTGATGCTTTCAAGTATGAGCCAAGTGGTAAGATGAATTTATCTCAACAGCCAATTTAATTATGCGGATAGACTTCATAAATATTCTACGACCACAGAGTTTTATATTTCCTTACCTGTTATACAAGCAGTCTCAAGATAAACATCTTCATTCATCTCATGGAATGTCTCTGCAAATAAACCAACAAAAAGAAAATGTTGAGCTTGTGTTATTTTCTATATTCTCATTAGTTAATGAATGAGACTGAAAAAAATCAATGATAAAAATAACCTTTTCTACTTTTGTCATAAATCTTGATTAAAATTATAACGAAGCATTTTGGGGTCAACAACCTGCACTATCCCTTGAGAGACACTGATTTACTAGGAGAATGCACGCTGGGATGTTTTGTTTCTGATAAATCAAAGTACTCAACATAAGATTGAGGGAATCCGATGAATGGAATAATGATAAAGCCTCATCAAGTGTCTTCTCGCCTACATTCACTATAGTAATACTTCTCTTAATGATCATTTTCACAATTAGAGAAAAAAGCCAAGAATATCAATTTTGATGTTTATCTAAGATCAAGTTACAAGCTAATGAAGACAAACAGTGTGTGGCAAACACGCTAAATGATACAGGAATACCAAGAAATCACACCAAATGTAATTCTGGTTTAGAGAGAAAAATGATGAGGAAGTGATGATGTCACACATGACAATTTCATCAATGGGTGTCATTAATATCTCCATCTATTCAACGCCACAAAATGAGTCTTATTACGAAAGATGAATTATTATCACTTTTGATGCATCCCTTGTGTTATTGAAAATGAATTGCCACTCAAGGAAATGTGTATCAAAGGTAAAGTAATGAATAAAATGAATAATTGGATCTGAAACCTCCTTAGAAATTATAGTGAAGAAAATTGATTGATTAGGCAGGTAAGAAAGATAACATTTAGTCTTTTTCCACCATGATTAAATTTTGTAATAATTTCTACACAATCATATACACAGTAAATACCAAAACCTTTCTAATCTGAATATCTCTTAATGAAAAGGCTAAGATGTGCAATAATTGTGCATGTTAAAAAAAACATGTGAACACCTGCCAATCTCACACCGGAATGGCCTGACTACGGTAAAGTCAGATGCCGTTGTCACAAATGGTAGACATATCCGTTGCTTCAACTGTAATCACTTGGTCCTCATTTCATGGGATTTTATCGTCGCTAATTCTGTGCATGCTTTAAGCTCTTGTGATAATGTATCATTATGAAATTACATTTTGGGTCGTGAATCGCCACAATATAGCGTCTTCGATATCGTCAATGACAACGGAATCTGAATTTGAGTAATTTAGAAAGACAACGGCATTTGGTAATAACAGTGTCCGTTGTCCTGTATCTCATTTTGATCGGTTAAATTAAAGACTTTATTTCGATGGGAAAACATTATTAACTGTACAATGAGTATTAAGACACTTTGATTGATTATTGTTTTAAAGGAATTTAGTCTAGGTGCTCTTTTAAACATACAGTTCATGTAAATCTAATTGAAGCGACGGTTATGTCCGCCATTTGTGACAACTGTATCTGACTTTACCGTTGTCAGGCTATTCCGGGGTGAATCTGATTACTTGGCCTGTCCCAAGTGGCATTCAAATCACACAGGTTTTACTGTAGTGTATTAATCAAATCAGAAATAGCAACATAACAGGTCATATAGCCCCTGTAAAAACAGAGCGGAGAAGTGATTTTCAAGAAGTAACTGCCAGACACACAAGATCTATTGAAGACGTAAATGCATTCTTTATGGCTGATTTGTTTAATGGGATGATTAAATAGTGTCTCGAAGAGATAAGTAATGTCAGCTAATTGAACAAACATGTTTGGAATAACAACCCACTACAGATTACACAATGGAAAAAATGGTCTGACAGTGCATAAATAATAAGTCATGTCCCTCCATTTGCCTTACTCATTCAATACTGTAGCAAAAAGCACTATAATACTGACGAATTTTTGAAAATTGCCATATAAGGTACCTCTGAGATAATATATATAGTATACATGGGCATACTTTTATAGTGTTATATATCATTTTCAAGCATTATATACTCTTTCAGAATCAATAGGTTTTTCAGTCCCATTTTATAAGTTCTCATGGTTACAAGATTCCAAATGAAGATACATCGGGTTTGTGCTTGGATGTGATTTGACATCCTTCTCAGTCAATGTATGTGCTTTATGATGTCATATCACATCCTTCTTAGAGAATGAGTTAATATCTTAATACCTATCAACATTTCTTCCTCTGTTATGTGAAGCATATTTTTGATTTGAATCAAAATTCACCAGTTTCTTCGGATATCTTAATGTAAAATTGATTTAAATTTAAATTTTGAACAAACAAGGCATTTACATGCAAAATGTCACCACCTGCCATTTGTTACAGACACCGACTGCCAATCGCCAAATACCATCAACAAATAGTTGGAGATTTAATAACAATATGGACTTCTACTTCTGGAGGCAACATAAAAATAAAAAACCTTTTTATACATTTGCACATGTAAAACCTGTGTATCTAAACACACTCAATTCAAACAGCTCTTGATACTTTTTGTCCCATTTTGTATTTTCCTATTGCCTCCCATGTTATCATAATAAAAACATTACATATAAACACCTGCTAATCTAAACACTTTTGAATAGTTTACTTATGGAGTTTGAATTCAGAAGTTGAACTGTATTTTATAAAATCTTAAAAATGGACTTACTTAGTATTTCAATGGAAAGTTGAGCTGAGAGATTTCTGCTGTCTTTGAAGCCTCCAATCATATGGACTTCTACCCTGGAATATTAAATCTAATATAAATTAGGTATACAATCCTGAGATTATCTAATAAGTGGGGAGAAAAATGGCTCTTATTCTGAAAGGACAATGTGATATTGATAAGACACCATACTGACAGAGGGTTTCAGCCGAGAGTCAACGTCATATCATATTAAGGAGTGCAATTCAAACTGCTTCCCATTTATCAATAATCTACTTATTCTATGAGAACATAATTTTCTACTAGATGCAAAATTATCTCCAATTTAGACAGAACAATGCTATAATTGCATTGGGATAAAACAATCATTTCTTTAATCATGAAACTATAACCCTGAACCTGTATTTTTAATCTGTTCCAAAATCAAATTTACAGGACTGAACATAGGAATTTAAGATTGATATAAAATTGGAAACAGGATTTCAGTAAACAAGGTTAATTTAATATCCCTCCTACTTTTAAATGGAAGTATTCGAAACGATTATCATAAAAAGTACATTGAGTATTTGGCTCAAATATTAATGGGAATTTGATTTCAATAAAAATAGCTCAAGGCAAGAATTTTTGCTGAAGCTTTTTAGTAATTTTGCTTTTTCTAATCTTTACCCCTAAGTCAACTTTAACAAGATTTTTTAACTCTGAACATTGTCAACATTTTTATACTTGGTATTATTTGTCACTGGAATCTCTTAATCATATTCTTACCTATGGCCTGAAGCACCCATAAAAAGTAAAGCAAATAAATGAAATGCATTTCGACTTATGACCAAAAATGGATTTTCAACATTGTGTAACAAGATAAGCTGTTGTCTGGGATCCTTCAAGATATAAAATAATTGGGTCAGTTGCTAATTGTATCAAGTATCATCAGGGTTCTCACTAGGCTTTGAGACTCCGGAGTCTAATGTCTTAAAACCCTCTTGCTCCAGAGTCTAATAGATTTTCCGTAGTCTAAAGTGTTTTTTCCGGTGTCTAATTTGAAAAGTATACTAATAGGATATCTCTGATCTCACATGGGGGAGAAGTAGACGCAATACCACGAAAAAAGTAGTCACGATACCGCTAAAGATCCGGGGTCTAAAAATTTCCTGGTGAGAACCCTGATCATATTGCTGATCATCAAATAACAATTATTGTTTTCAAGTGGACCACATACTTTATTTGCTTTGAAATATAGCTAATAACTTGCACTTGAAAAAATGTATCAATGAATCCCTTATACTAAGACTTGCAGTCCCGACTGAACTGTGGTTTAAGGATTTAAGCTCTTGACTCTGTGCATCGTGGACTGATTATCATTCAGTTTGATTATAACTGATAACAATACATGTATTTAATAAAGCAGGCTCGTAGCCAGCTTAGCTTTTGCCAAGGGGGGGGTCACTTTTCAAAAGAATTCCAGGGGGGTAACTTTGAAAAAATGTGGCCAAAAATCACATAAAATTCTGCATGATTTTGAAAGAATTTTTGGCCAAAGGAGTTCGCCTGAACCCCCTGAACCAACTTCCTAAGGGCTAAGGGCCTGTAGAGGTGGAAAGACAGATAGACAGACAAACAAATGGATAAATCAACAGATTAATACTGAAGCTCACATATCATTCTAATTTCAATTGTGAGATCAATGTCACTAGTGAATGGTGCTATTCAACACCAAGAAGTTGTTAGCCTAATAAAATAAGTGATCAATTTACGTATCTATCTCACAGTTTTCTTTCGACTCTTATTACGAGTATATGCCTTAACTCCTGTACACATATAAATTCCCTAGTCTTTCTCATATTGGCAGATGGTACCCTGTATCTGCTGACAATCCAATCTATACTCTAATGATGACGAATGATTTTACAGCTTTGATGCAAATCAAGGAGGACTGGAAGCTGTTATTCAAACTCGATCCTCCGCGATTCTCCGTTACCTGGCATAGATCAATTTAGTAACAATATTCATATTTTAAAGACTAGAACTGCTGAGGAAGCTTCATTATTACCATATTATTTGTCATGTTCATCTTCCAATGAAATACTAGGTCCAAAGAGAACATCATCATGATAAACCATGACATCTCAATTCTTCTCAGCCCTGAGATGCCATGATATAATGAGCCTGATTTGGCGCTCCAGGAGAGCCCAAAATTGAGGATTTTTGAGACCTTTCATCGCAGCTCATATTTCATTTAATTGGGGTCATAAAGCTTGTGTAACTGTGCCTGTTGTAATATCTATTGTTAAATATAATGCCTATTATGTAATGTATTGACATTAAGGTTGATTATTACATGATAACAATAACACTTATTGACAGTTATAACTCTTCCCATTTGATGTGCTCAGATCACAGAATATGCTTCATAATATCAGAGCATGTTTCAAGTGAAACAGAAAGATGCTATGAGTATCAGAATGAGAGAACACTATGGAAATATTTTTTATCATTCTGTTATACGCCTAAGCCAACGGACGATAAAGTTTGAAATATAGCTGCCAATCCTCTTTGCAAGCAAATAAATCTTTTATACCTTCCCTCTGTAGTATGGTCAGAGAGTCTTATGACAAGATCCATCATTTCCCGAAGTCCAGCCTCTGTACCAGAGCCATCTAAATGTCCAAGACAAGTCACCTTGGTGACAGAATGACGCATCACCACGATGTGGCATGTTGTAGCATCGTCACTGCCCAGTGTCTTTATACATGCTGGAAATACAAAGCATAATTAATGTGAAATTTACATATTCTCTTACCCTAATTAAATTTTGATAAATTTAGATTCCTCTTTTATTCCATTTGAACTCCTCTGTGGCAGCAAATGCATTCACAACAAAATGAAAGAGCTTCTGCTAGAAAATTTGGGTGAAAAAAATTCTGAAACTAAATACATGTATGACGTTTTATTTGATATATATTGATAAAAATTGTGGCACAATTCCACCAAATTCAAGGTGAAAATCTGAGAATAATCTATTAAACAAGGTGCCCATGAAATGTCAACTTTTACAAATCCAAGCATTTGTAAAGTATGTTCAATCGGAACCCAACTGCATGTCCCCTTAGAAAAAACATTAATCATACATGTTCTTGGGCCTATACTTTAGAAACATCCCTGAGATTGATCTCATCAATTAAATTTTCTCATATAGGATGTGCATCTGGCTTATTCAGAAGGTTAAGTCCCCAAGACTTTATGACCTTGGGCCCTAGATGCTCACTGTCTCTTTCAATTCAAGCAGATATAGCAAAATTGGATTATAGATTTCATAACTGCATCCCAAGATGGGCATTTGATACAGTTATTACCATAAACAGGTTATTAGCCGTTTTCCTTGGAATCGTGAGTCATAAGGTGTAACATGAATGTAAGATCAGGCATTTATCCTGCTCAATATCAGAAATAAATAATATACTTAGGGAGTATAATCAGACCTAAGGGAATGTGTGTTCACCAGATCAAAGAAAGTAATTGATGGTCTGTTCTTTCATGGCCATTATTGTAACGGGGCTTATTCCCTGTTATATGCAAAAAGGCAAAAGCAAATTTTAACGGAAGTTGAATTTCTAGACCATTTTCAACATCAACATTTTTCAATGTCTTGTAAATTAACAATGAAAGATTAAAACTCCTCAACTTCCTGTTTAAAATATAACACCTATGAAATATGTTATTTTTTGCGCAAGGTCTGTTTTATTCCACCTACTGGCTGCCATGTTAAATTCACCTTAGGTGAACTTAAGGTGTTTTTGAACCTGTTCGTAAAAATATTTTAAAGAGATAATTCTGCTGAAGCTAAAAACATATATTCCAGGTAGACTGGGAGACAGAATGTGTTAATACAGTGAAACCCGTATATCCGAACACCTTCTCACTTTTTTCCGGTCCCATTTTTCCACCCATTTAACTTTCATGTATTAAACAAAACTTGAAATGTGAACATCTCTTTATTTGAACAATAACACTCATGTTTGAAAAATAAACCAGTCTAATCTGAATACTTTTCACAAAATATCACAATGTCATATTTCTTGCTAAATTGCTCAAATATTTTCAATTTAAATCTGATTTGTTATGATATCAAACTTTTGAAAAAGTCAAATGGTCTCAATCAGAATGAATCTTTCTAGCATGACTTAATTCATTCAAATAAATTTTTGGAATGCCATAAAACTTTGTAGTCAATAGAAATATCAATGTTCAATGAAAATGCATCAAAATTTCTTCAAAATCCAGAATCTGTTTCTGAATTTCTGAAGCAATCATGCATTGAACTTTTTAACTGCTCCCTAGCAAGGGATTGAAGATATGTTAATTGTGTAATTGCAGTTGGCACAACCAATAAAATATACAGTACTGTGATCATTGTAACAGGTTCACTTACCCCTTGCATTCATTCTACTTTGCTTCTTAAAAGAGAGCTTCTTCTTCAATCTTTCAGTTTACAATAAATCTCTGAGAAAATAAAGAATTTTGTTTATTTTGATAGATGTATGTACATCTGTGGAGGTATAAGATACAATATCCTACAAGGAATAACTCACTATCATTAGGTGTAACTGCTGCATATTCTCTTTGGTCCACATAGAGTAAACCCTGGGGTTGAATAACCTTCTTTGTCTGAGAACACAGTTCTTTACCATTTTCCTAGAAAACAAAGGAGGAATGAATACCCATAAGGCAGTATGATAAAATGTGCCATAAAGACTAGAATTTGAATATATATATACAGTGATTTCCAAAGTATGGAAGCAAGTAGTGATATAGTGATTTTGAGAGTGTGACATATTTTTACCATTTTTGGAGAACTATGAAAGAAAATTCTAACAAAATATTGGTTTATAATATACTCTTGTTCATACAGGAAAGTCAATGGGACTTGAAAATAAACAAATATTGTGAGTGAATTTTGAAAAATGATCCTACAATACATGTAGATTATTTTATCATGGTCTATATTTTGATCATTTGATCATGACCTCCTGTAAGAAGAAATTCAGATAGCCTAATCAAATATCTTACTTTAAAATGAGGAAACTCTTCAAAGAAATCTGTCACTGAGTCTTGTATCTGGGTAAGCTTTTTTCCTTGGACGTACAATGGCATGGCTGATTAACACTGGCACTGTTTTGTGGTTCTAAATGTCTGAACCATAAACCAATTAATCAAACCAATCCTTCTGGTTTTAAATGTGTGGAAGGGAAGCAAACTTTATGGTTCTGATGTCTGATCCAATTCTCCGGTATGGTCTGGACAATTAACTTTTAACAAATTTGTTCTCGTTTCAAATCAATTAATCCATCCTTTAATTATGATGAGCGTTTAGCTGGAAAACCGCCCTTTCAAGAATGGTTCTTTTGCTTGATATCATTTGCTCTTTAGGTTTTATGATTAATTATATTGCAAAAGTATTTTGTACAGTCCAAATTTGATAGTAGAATTGCTTGTTCCAGTTGTTTAACATATGTCTCATTAATTTGCCCTGTCCCTGAAAAATATAAATAACATATCGCAAGGTCATCAATAAATTCCAATAGAAGATAGCTAGTTACTTCATGTATCGACTAAATATTTTTAACAATACAAGACCCATAAAAATTGATCGAAAAAAGAAGATATCTCCACCACAGTGACAACACCCTTGCCCATAATTAGAGATAATAAATTGATTGTGTATTTATCTAACTCTTTTTGCTTAGTACCAGGGCTCTCACCAGGAAATATTTAGGGTGTGGTGCTAACATCTTCAGAATAACTGTTCAATCGTGATAAATCATATTTATGTTATGTTTTATCCTTTTTACATGCTATTATTGTATATTCAGTCAAGTTGACAGTGACATTGTCACTGGACGAAACTTGACATAGGTAAAAACTAAGGATGATGTTAAATTTTTTTCGACCAATCAAAGAAGTTCTCTTGATGACCACAAGAGTTAGGCATATGACCTCCTGTGAGAACACAGTTGCTTGTAGCAGTTTACCTATTGCGAGTAATGGTATTTCTTGTGTATGAAATGAATTTTTGTATACAAAGCGAGCCACATGTAAACAAACCATTGGAAAGCTTGTTTAGTATTCTTTAATCTCATTCATAACAAAATCTAATCAAATGTTCACGGACTTTTGTTTATGATATGAAATACATTGTATTCTTCAATCTATTTTGATCCAAACTAAAGCCCGGTATACACCAACGGGGCAAAATCCCACTTGCCCCATTGAGTCCCATCTTGCCCCATCGAATCCCAATTTGCCCCATCGAATCCCACGAAGTCCCATGGGACCTTGATGACTTTGCCCCATCGTGCCCGGAGTCCCATCAAGTCCCATGGAGTCCCATCAAATCCCATCGTGCCCCATTGGTGTATGTCGGGCTTCACACAACACGTCATATGATCAAAAATCCCACGATGCCCCATGGAAAGAATGAACATGTTCATTCTCGATGAGACTCCATGGGACTCCTTGGGATTTTGCCCCATCTTGCCCCATCGAGTCCCACCGAGTCCCACGTGGGACCTCATGGGACCTCTCGTGGGACTCGATGGGGCAAAATCCCACGAAGACCCATGGAGTCCCACGGACTTCATGGGGCAAAATCCCAAAAGGTCCCACAGGTCCCACGCAATGTTAAGTCTATGGAGGTCCCAACTTGCCCCATTGGTGTATACCGGGTTAAGACTTACAACTTGTACTTGCCTGTTCTTCCTGATTAAATGTGCATGATTTTCAATAATACTTATCATACTCTTATTATACATCTTTCATTACAAGCCTTTTTACATCACAAAATCATGGTGTCGGACTGTCGGTATATAGTAATGGTTTTAGGTACAATGCACACGGATTTCGGAACAACGCGCATCGGTGTATCATGTTTATTGGTTTTCGGTACAATGCGCGTCGGTATATTGGTTTTCAGCACAATGCGCGTCGGTATAATGGATTTTGGTATTATGCGCGTCAGTACAAAGAGGTGATCCCAATCTGTCATACACTGCAATTGAATATGCTATATTCATTGTTGAATATGACATATTTGTATCGTGTTTACCACGTAACAGTTCAGAAACTTGGGGAAGAATTTTGGAAAATTGAAAAGGCAAACGCGATACAAATAGGACGAGAGTAAATCCTATACGGCATATGGTATATTATTGATGTTTGACCAATCAGATTTCAGTATTTGGTTCGGCACTTGTCAGAGAAATATTTTGTGATTGGCCAAACGTCAATACATATAGGATTTACTCTCGTCCGATACAAATATATGACCTATTGGAAAGTTGAAAAGGCAGCCATTTTCTGGTTATAATGAAAACACGCGCTACGCGCTAACGCGCCACGCACCAACGCACTAATAGAAAATGATCCTTCCCCCACGATGTGTGCGCATGTTTTAAGCGCATGTTTATGATTGGTCCATATCCTTGGCCCAGGGACATGTATAATTAGGGTTATGATTCTCTGGGAACTTGTCGAAACATTGACAGTTTGACACTTCAAAGACTGTATAGATCACCGCTAACCTGTCAATCAGACTTTGATGTGAACTTTGCGGCCGCAGGAAATAAACAAAGCCTCTCGAAAATTACACTTTTCAAGTTACGATTTCTCTAAAAATATAAGACCAATTAAGATGTTCTTGAACACCGTTAAAAAACAGAATTCAACTTTAATTTAGGAAATAATTCCAAAACTAAATGAACGTGTACTTTTCTCTGTATTTGACCTGAAAGAACATGAGTAACTTAAAATTAATAGATATTTACGGCCAATTACGGGGCAATGATAAAACACGCTCGTCAGGTTTACATTACTTTTTAAATCGTCTCTTATTTTAAAACTTTAATTCCAATCTACATGAAATAAAATGTAATAAAATGAAAATACAATCCTGTTTTTAACAATATTCCTGGTAAATAGGTAATATAATTCACTGGGACTGACGTTATTCAAAACTTTTAAAATCTAAAATCAAATTGAGAAAAACGAAAGCAAACATGAAAGGGGGGTTTATAGGGGTCTTTGTAATCCATATACACTATTTTTCACTAGCCCCTCTTATACCATAAACAGCATTTCACCCCTTTTACATGTATAACATACAGTGTATGCAATATTTTTCACATCTCCCTATACTACTATATTTTACAAAAAGCTCAGATAAATACTATATATATCTGTACGATAATTGTGAAACTACCGTTGGGAAAAGTTGCGATAATATTCAGAAGGAAATAATATAATGCAAGAATCCACGTAGTACCAAATGTATAATCATACGGCAAATAGGCAGTACACAGGCCCGAAGCCAGGGGGGGGTTCGGAGGGTGACTTTGGAATTTTTGTAAAAGTCCCCCACCCCCTGGGAAATCCTGGTTACGGGCCTGGCATATGCCATATAGAGACTACTCTATAGAGATCTGGATTACCCCCCAAAAATGTGGGACTGATTTTTCAAATCACCGCCACAACCAGGCCCGTAGCCAGAGGGGGAGCTGGCCAGAAATTCTTCCAAAATCATGCAGTTTTTTACCATTCTGAGAATTTTTGCATGATTATTAGCCAAAATTGTGAAAAAGCTCCCCTAGGAAAAAGGCTCCCCCTCCTGGTAAAAGCTGGCTACGGGCAAGCCCCCACAACTACTTGTGTATTGAAATCTTAGGAGTTAAAAAACGTTGTTAGTAGTTGACACAGAGCTGAATTTTATCTAAGTAACCACTTACCCAGCTTATGTCCAACCCAAGTAATTGTGCAGGCGATTCAGAGAAAAATCAACCCCAAATTTACGGGAATAGGCTGGATCTGCTGTATTCGTTCAAACTGTACTTTAAATTTCATAATAGGCTTCTTTAATTCTTTTAAAACATATGTTTATTTGACTTGTACGATGCCATATACGATAAATGTTGCCCCCTCTTATGCAGTCATACACAATAGATTTTCACCCTCCTCTTATACGATAACCCTATACACCCCCCCCCCCCCATGAAAGCGAAAGAGTGTAACCGGGCACGAAACGAAAAATGGAAAAAATGCGACGCCTGAATTATCCCACTGTTTGGTAAGTCATGTGAGATATAACTTCTAATTCAAAGAGTAAAGATATATAAAACATCCAGGACTTGAAATTAAGAGGTAACATGCGACAAATATACATAATATTAAGTCATTAGTCAAGAAGTCGGGCCCCCGGCTCAGACTTTCGAAACGGGATTTTTCTCGCCGATGGACCTAAATAATGCAATGAAACAGTGAGCATATTCGACCATTCATCTTGTAAGGTGCTACTTTCTATTTTATCTTCCTTTTAAATCAGATAAAACACACTGACAAGCGATAATCTTTGTTCAGTTAACGATCAAACATTGGGCTTCTTCATACTTCTGCTTTCTGATGCGCCACCTAATATCTTCACTTACTCGATTTTTATACATGTTCCCGGGCTTGTGGGAACGATCATTCTGAACAGTGCGTTAGTGCGCTAGCGCGTTAGCGCGTAGCGCGTGTTTTCATTATAACCCCATTTTCTTGAAATATCAGCATTTCCTGGAGTTGCCATTGGTCTCTTACCAGGTTTAGTAAAAGAAGACAATGAAATGTTGCCTTCCTGAAAAAGCAAGAAAATATCATGGGCTTTCAACAAGAATTGAAAACCCATGGAAATACACACGCCTTCATTTTTTTATTTTGTATCAGAAAATAACATGTGACGTGTTCGTTCCACCAGTACAGTACAGTAGCCTGATGTTCAGATTTACCTCTTTTCACTCTAAAAACATGTCATTTGAATAGAGACAAAACACACAAAACACACAATGTTATAAGAAGTAATAATAAAAAACATTTTCAATTTCTTACATACCGGAAACTGCAAACCGGAAGTTGCACACCTGAGAAACCGTTTATCGTACACCGACTGATCGTAGTTGCACGGTCGGCAACCATAACACACCGTGGATCGATCGACCCAATGCATTCTTCCTGGGCCCCTTTTCAAAGTTGTACTAAAACCATTTTACTCGATTTAGATATATATAGGCCTATGCTATGATCTTACCGCATCAAGGCCACACTTTACCGGTGGTGAACCATGACAATTCAAAGTTCATTCTGATGATCACTAGCCTTTCAGGGGTATAAAGTCAGCACTCACTTCAAGTCTGTTTTCGCGGCAAAATTGATTTCATTTCAGTTTCAGAGCAGAAATTTTACGTCACGTGACATGACGTGTGTGGTTAAAATGATTTGCCGCGAAATGAAAGCTGGCTTTAAAAACGAGTTATTCGCTCTTATGTTGAGCCACTCATTGCATGATTGAGGCTATTCTCATCAATTTTGCGATGCCAAAGCGGCCAAAATACAATTATTAGGCCATACAAAAGTTTGATATAAGGTCTAACAAATGCATTTCAATCAATTCCTTTTATATAGTATGCAATGTTATAATATTGCAGTGCTCTTTTCACAAGAATTTATTTTTGTGAAGTTCACTCAATTAAAAATATTGGCTATTGGAATACGTGCGAATGTGAAAGTAATGTATATTCTACTTTGATTCAGCCTTCGTAGTAGCATGGGCTTTCAACTAGAAGGGTAGGCAACTTCCCATATTTCATACATAAACATTGCCTTTGGGTTTTCAAAATTGGAGAATGAACACATTCCAAGAAAATCTTATTTTGTACTTTTTATTGATGATTAAAAGAAATAACTCAAAAATAAAAATGTGATCTTCTACATACATCTTGATAATTTAATAAAAATTGGAATTCATCATAATTATGACAATACAGAAAGTGAACATTCTCCCACAAATTATGTTTTTATTGGAATGTGTTCTTGAATAATTACCCACAATGCAATACTCAAAGAGAACATCTTGATAACTCTTATTCTTATTGGTCTCTTCTGTTTACTTTTACATGATATTGAATATATTTTATGCTTAAATCATATTAAAAATAGATTTTTATTCAAAATAATACTAAAACATATACATTTATCTAATACTTTTTGAAATATTGCCATAAAAGGGAAGCATGGCATTGTTCATTTTGAAGGTCTCATGTTATTACATAGAGTTGCATACCCTTCTAGTTGAAAGCCCATGGTAGTAGTTTGCAACAACAACTTTTCAATCTTGGCACACCGTGGTACGTTAAAACTGTCATGGTCAATGTGACCTCAAATAGTGCGCAAAAATAACAACATTTCAGAGTTTGACAGTCTTATCTAAATAAATCGCGTTGTGTGGGGAAATATCACAAGCTTTGTAGTCAAAATAACAAAGGGATGTTATTTGTGCTAAATACAAGATAAAAAGAGATTCTAAAATTGGTTTTAGTACAACTTTAAAAACATGTAGGTAAGTGAGTTTTCTTCTGATATCTGAATTATTTATAATTGTTAACCATGGGTTTATGCTATACTCTGTGTTATAAATGAGAAGTATGAAAATACAAAATATTATTTGCTGTGAGACTGGAACTCACCCTTTTATTACTTCAATCCCATTATAAAGAAATCCATTTTGTAAATAAAACATGTTTGCGAATCATGTTTTTATATTTGAGCTCAGATCTCCTAAATTATGAATGAATTCATTTTTTCTTGGAATGTGTGCAGGAAGCATTTCTGAAAACTCAAGGCAATGTAGCCTTTTCCAAGGCGGTGTGTTTTTATTTTTTAAAATTTTATTAATATAATTGAATATCAAAATAAAATAAAGGATAATGCAGAATTGGGCAATGCTAAAGGCAATGCTCTAGTCCCAAAAATCACCCCACCATCTCTAGAAATTCTGTTTCTAACCAAAGAACTTAAAAATGTTTCCTACTATTTACCCGATCGAGGAAACCTCGATTCATTTATCAAACTCTAGGTGGCGCTGCGACGGACCAGAAAAGGAGAAAATGCATTTTTATACAGGAAACCAAATTACTGGTAACAGCTACTATCCGTCCGAACTATATTCTTACGTACACTGTATGAGCAATGGGAAGTTGGGAAACCCTTCTCTTAAAAGCTCATAGTTCAACTAATAATCTAAAAAACATTTATAAGTGTTCAACCAGAGACAATAGAGAGATTTCGCACCTAGTGAAAGTACAACCTATAACGTATACTTATACTTATAGGTAAACGTACAAGGTGTTTCATAATGTGAGCTTTTCGTCAGGAAAGATCTTCTCGGACTGTAATAAATACAGGTCAAAGGGATGCCATTTGTACTTTCTTGAATTGTAGCATGTTTAGTTGATCCAAATGTGTTTGTCTAGAATAAAATAGGCTCATATATAGTACATATGTTATAGACCAATCTCTTCTCAAATTAGAGAGATTTCGCACCTAGCGAAAGTACAACTTATAACGTATACTTATAGGTAAACGTACAAGGTGTTTCATAATGTGGGCTTTTCGTCAGGAAAGATCTTCTCGGACTGTAATAAATACAGGTCAAAGGGATGCCATTTGTACTTTCTTGAATTGTAGCAGGTTTAATTGATCCAAATGTCTTTGTCTAGAATAAAATAGGCTCATATATAGTACATATGTTATAGACCCATCTCTTCTCAAATTGACTTTTTGGAGATGCTCGTTATGAAACACCCTGTATGTCACAGTGGCGTAGCGTCATAAAACGCCATAGCGTACTCTCAAAGTTTAGAGAAAAGTGAATTTTTGATATTGAAATGACCCACGTTTAATATTCTGAAGTAATGGCCTAACATTTTATTAATCCATATTATTTTTTCGTAGTCGGAATTTCGTATTTTAAAACACCCCAGAACGCTTCAAATGCAATCTAATTTTTTAAATTTTCTTGGGGGAAAGACCCCCCTCAAAGCTCGTTCGCTTCGCTCGCTCATGGCGTACACTCATAAAATACCCACGCTACGCCACTGTGTCATATGTTGAGCTACTGAATTTACTGTTTCCAGGAATTGCTAGAACCTACTGGTTTGATTGGTGTTTCAAATTGATGGTTAAAGTATTTGATTGGATACTGTTCCCACTCAGCCAATTTATTTCAAAAAATGCTTGCGGTCAATTGTTCCACACGCGTGTAGGCAAATCTTTATACGGAGATCCAACTGTATACGTTATCATCTACGTAAATATACCGTTTTGTAAGTTCATTGAACTTATACTGATCATGAAAACATTGAAATAATCAACTTGTTTATGTAATGACTCACTTTAAAGAATCACGACTCACTTTAAAGGATCGTGTTTATAATACACTACAACTACAAGGACACGAAAGCAAGCATTTAATCATAATGTGCATAATCTACACGTGCAGATGACAGTGCATTCACAGTCTCTGGTTGATGGAGCTTTTCTATAACGGGAATAGTTATGTTCCATTAAGTACAATTTAAAATTGATTTTAGTAAATATAATAGTTCGACATGACCCTTTAAACTATACGTATACGTATAAGTTGTACTTTCACTTATGTGCGAAATCTTTCTATTGACTTTTTGGAGATGCTCGTTATGAAACACCCTGTATGTCATATGTTGAGCTACTGAATGGGTCGTTTCCAGGAATTGCTAGAACCTACTGGTTTGATTGGTGTTTCAAATTGATGGTTAAAGTATTTGATTGGATACTGTTCCCACTCAGCCAATTAATTTTAAAAAATGCTTGCGGTCAATTGTTCCACACACATGTAGGCAAATCTTTATACGGAGATCCAACTGTATACGTTATCATCTACGTAAATACAAGGGGCGATCCATATATTCTGATAAAAATGCTCTCACTTTGTGATTTTTTCACATATCCCTTTCATTTTTTCAGAACATGTATATTATGTAATTACACATACGATGCTAAAATATTTTAGCTGTATCTTAAATTAATTTTGAAATAAGGTTGCCGTGGTAACCTGTATTTTGGGTAGGCAGGTCAGTTAAATTATAACGTCTAAAATAGATAACTATGTTAATTTAATCATTCCTCGGTACCTATTTTAAGCAGACCAAACGCATCTTCCAGTCATTGCCAACTATTCATTGATCACTTCCATACCCCTGTTGCCCTTGTTTGATAATTTATACAGTGGGATAGCTATCTTTTCATAAGTAACATCTCAATTTATCGTAGTGTTATTCTCTGTCCGCAAGCTCTTCTTGCAGTCAGATTGCGGATGATCTTCAACAGTGACCATGCTTTCCTCTTTACAATACTACTTATATATTCTTTATGCATATATAAAACCTTGCCCATGCACTTTATGAGTCCATGTATGTCTCTGACAGTGTCCTCTTACTTATTCTTGAAAGAAAATCAAATCTAATGGTATTCCTTAATGTATCCGTTAATGTGACACTCTGCATCAGCCACATTAACATAATCTGACAATTTGATTTTTGGTGTGTCTCATAACATGTAATGTCAATTGGCCCATTCTGTCCTACAATGCTATTGTGATTTGTTGTGGTGTTATAGTGAGCACATATAAACATTTGTTTAGCAACAAACAACGAGTAACAATACCAAATTCTTTTAGAAAAAATGCATGATTTCCGCATGCTTTAAAATAATTAAAATAACAAGTTATTTTGATATTTTTATGTTATAATTAAATTGACCTGCCTACCCTTAATACAGGTTACCGTGGCAGCCTTATCTCATTGATAATTTAAGATATAGTCTAGCTATAATATTTTAGCATTGTATGTGTAATTACATAATCTACATTTTCTGAAAAAATGAGAGGGATATGTGAAATAATCACAAAATGAGAGCATTTTCATCAGAATATATGGATCGCCCCTTGTATATACCGTTTGGTAAGTTCATTGAACTTATACTGATCATGAAACAATGAAATAATCAACTTGTTTATGTAATGACTCACTTTAAAGAATCATGACTCACTTTAAAGGATCGAGTTTATAATACACTACAACTACAAGGGCACGGAAGCAAGAATTTAA